GATAGATAGATAGATAGATAGATAGATAGATAGATAGATAGATAGATAGATAGATAGATAGATAGATGGATGAATAGATGGATGGATGAATAGATGGATAGATAGATAGATAGATAGATAGATAGATAGATAGATAGATAGATAGATAGATAGATAGATAGATAGATAGATAGATAGATAGATAGATGGATAGATGGATGGATGGATGGATGGATGGATGGATGGATGGATGGATGGATGGATTGAAAGAATGGATTGACTGATATATTGGATGGATATATAGATGGATTGTTTCTATTATTTTTTTATTTAATTTTCATCATTTTTTTTTCATTATTGTAATTTTTATAGTTTTTTTTCATTTATATTAGCTTTAGGTCTTTATGTTTATAGTTATTAATAGTCTGTATTGTAATTTTAATTTAATTTAGATATTTAGGTACACTATAATATAAATACTTAGTATTTAAGTTGATGTGTATTTTGTTTCAAGTAAAAAAGAGGTTTGTTTTATACAGTGGTTTGTGAATAGATGTCTCTGCATTATGCAAACTAATTACTAATTATTAAGTAATTACTATGATTTTCCTCATACATTGTAATGAATCAAATAAAAAATGCATGTATTATTGCAATTTAATGCATAAAAAAACAATAAACTAAAACAAATATATATCTATTTTTTATTTAATTATAACTAAAATACTATAATTTATTATTATATGACTATATATATATATATATATATATATATATATTTTTTTTTTTTTTAATTAATTTATTAATTTTTTTAAATGTATTTTTTTTAAATTGTCTTCTTGTATTTGCAGAAAAATGTTGTGGTCGCCGCCAACAAGGTGTCCAGTAAAGTGACGGCTGTGTCTTTCTCAGATGACAGCTCGTACTTTGTTACAGCTGGAAACCGACACGTCAAGTTCTGGTATCTTGACCACACCAAATCATCCAAGGTACATCCTGCTGGCCTTGACCCAATCTTAAATGCACAGTCCATTACAGGAACAGTTCATCCAAAAATGTTAAATAACTCACCATTTACTCACCCTCACGTGGTTTTAAACCTTTATGGGTTTCATTTTTATGTTGAACACAAAAGAAGATATTTTGAAGAAAGCTGAAAACCTGCAACCATACTATGGAAGTCAATAGTTGCAGGTTTGCAACTTTCTTCCAAATATCAACCTTGTGTTCAAAAGAATAAAGGAAAACAAGGGGAACAACTGAAGGGTGAGTGAATTATGACAGAATTTTCATTTTTGGGTGAGCTATCCCTTTAATACTGTACTAAATATCATCAGAATCTCCTAATTGTCATCTCTACCAGGTGAACGCCACAGTGCCATTATCAGGCCGCTCTGGTCTTCTGGGAGAGCTAAGGAATAACTTCTTCAGCGATGTTGCGTGTGGAAAAGGCCGAAAAGCGAGCAGTACATTCTGCATCACTACGTCTGGGCTGCTCTGTGAGTTCAACGACAAAAGAATGCTGGACAAGTGGGTGGAGCTCAGGGTGAGTCACGAGGATGCTGATTGGTGGTTGTGTAAATAAACAACTTTGGCAGCTACTTATCGCAATATGAGGAGGGATGCTTCAAATTTTAAAGAGCCTTTGATTGGACAGAAAACCTGACGAGACGCTGAAGTGCAGGGTGATGTCGTCAGAAATCATTTATACATGTTTACAGAAGCTAGAGACCAGCTTTAAATGCATATATCTTGTGAATTAGAATTTTATAATCATTTTAATAGATAACATTATGGCTAAACTGTTCATTGCATATGCTAAAAAACGTCAGGTTTGATTACATGGGGTCTTTGACGATTTTGTATTAAAGGGGTGGTCCACTACGATATCATATTTTAAACTTTAGTTGATGTGTAATGTGGATGTGTGAACATAAACAGCATCTCTGAATGTAAAACGCTCAAAGTTCAATGCAAAAGGAGACATTGGCTTTTACAGAGTTAGCTTAGCAAAGCCTACAGCGAACAAAGTTTGGGGACTAAAATGAAAAATACATCCGGACTAGTGAGATTATAAAGGTTTCCAGTTACAAGCACACACCCTGCTCAGTGAAGGGTGCGGCCAGATGTGCTGTAATGTTATAGCAGAGAAAGCTAAAATGTCTTCTAAACGCTCTTATTTCCACAGAGCTCGTTCTGTTTCTGTATTTAGTCTTCCAAAAGACATGACACAAAGACAGAAGTGCTTACAGTTCAATATTAATTATGTTCCAGAGAATTATAAAATAATATAGCTAGCATTTGACAAAGGACAGCTTCCATAATCTTTCCCAGTTCAGTGCTGGATTCAGCCAAAAACTTCAGAGTGAAGGAGTAGCTCCAACTGTAATAGCAGAAGCTGTGGATTGTGAGCCACAACCTGTAAGTGTTTTTATTTGTTAAATAATAAGTGTTTGGCAACGTTTCCAGTTTAGCTACAAGTTCATATTTATCCATCAAACCGCTGTAAACACCCACAATCTTCACCAGCGCTGCAGTGTCTTTTTATGCAGCGGCTTTCCCTGCATATATCAAATAACGATTTCGCAAAAGATATGTGAATGTATCATTTTACTTACACATGCTTATTCCGAATATATGTGAGAGACACTTGTCAGATTTTATTTTAGAGAGCAGGCATGAGGTTCAGCTTTGTCCTCTGTGTCATTTTCATACTGGTTCAGACACAAACTGATTCGGCTAATATGACATTTGTTTCCATGTTAGATGAGTAACTGTATATAGTCAAAGTAGGATATGTGAAAAAATAAGATGATTTTTTACAAATGAAGCATTAGCACACATTGCTTTGCATCTTATAAAAACAACCAAGCCTTAAAAATAGATTCTGGACCACCCTTTTAAACACACCCATATTGAAAACTTATATTTAGCTGTTAATTAAAAAGACAAAAAAAGCATATTTCTTATAAATAACATATTTTGCAGTCATCCCTGCTACTCCAAAGCAATTTATTCTTGAAATGTAACTTTTTTTGTTGCTGTGCTTTTTTTAGTTTTTAACTTTAGGCTTCATTTTCTGTGTTTTATCTGTTAATACAGTTGAAGTCAGAATTATTAGCCCTCCTGAATTATTATACCCCCTGTATTTTTTCACCAATATCTATTTAACGAAAAGAAGATTTTTTTTTTCAACTCATTTCTAAACATAATAGTGTTAATAACTCAGTTCTAATAACTGATTAATTTTGTCTTTGCCATGATGACATCAAATGAAATTTGACTAGATATTTAAGACACTAGTATTCAGCTTAAAGTGATACTTTAAAGGCTTAACTAGGTTAATTAGGCAAGTTAGAGTAATCAGGCAAGTCAATTTATAACGTAAAAAAACTTATCTGCTTTTATTCTAGCCGAAATAAAACAAATAGGACTTTCTCCAGAAGAAAAAATATTATAGGAAATACTGTGAAAAATTCCTTGCCTTGTTAAACATCATTTGGGAAATATTTAAAAAAGAAAACAAAATGTATAGGGGGACTAATCATTTTGACTTCAACTGTATGTTGAACGGAGGGTGTTGATGTGTTAATGGAGAGTGTATTAACTCTCAATGCCGCTGCTGTTATCATCTAATATTAGTGTGTTCTGCTTCTCCTCTCACACTGTCCAGAAAAATGACAGTTTCGCAGTAAGTTCTACATCAGGGATTCAGCCATCTCGTCTCATTGTGAAGTGATTGAATGTAATACCACAGTGCTGCTGTCAGTCATGCTCACCTGTTTGACCACATTCACCTGACACTTATCACTCTAATCTCAAACAAGCATTTCCCTGTATGGACCCTTTTCACATGTCCGGGTTTCTCAGCAGCAGCAGAAGTCCTCATAGTTGGGTAAACTTGGAGCTCAGTGAATGGGAGAGTATAGCCAATATTTTTTTGCAGTCATATTTGCTTAAATAATAAAAGAAAAACTCAACTAAAAATAGTGTTATCAAGGCTTTCAGAAAAAGGAAACAAGTTGTGTGAGACTGAAAATGGCAGAAGAAAAAACAATGTCAAATTTACTCTCCCACTCATAGATGCTGCATTACAAACACCCTACATTACAATTGGTCACTAGTTTTTTGCAATTTGATCCAAAGATCTTATAATACAAAGTATAGCTTTTTTTAAATTCTAAATACTAAAAACTTTTAAGGATTTAAGATGCTGATGAGTGTTAAACATGTCATAACCGTTGTGTGAAAAGGGTCCATTCATGGCTAAAACCACAGATAATCACCAACCACTAAATAGCCATAAGTTGTTTCGTATTTGACTTCAGGCTTTGTTTTTATTTTATTTTATTGTTACATTTGTTTTAACATTATCTTATTTAGCTTATATTGTCTTGTATTTTCTTTTCATTTATTTAATTATTCATTCATTCAATATTTTTTAATTTACTACGTTTACTATTGTAAAACATAAAAACAAATTTGTGTGTATAATAAAGAAAATCAAACAAGGAGTCTCAAAAACCCTTTTGTATGAGGAACTACTTTCTTTCGCCATTCATTCACATCTGTAGCTGACGTCAGAACAGCAAAAGCCGTTGCTACTTCACAAACGTCACTTTAGAGCTAGTGTTTGAATGATTCTCTAGCGTAATGTCTAAAGTGATGTCTAAACAGGTGATTTTGCTCACATTTTAAGATTATAAGGCAGAACCTCATGAAATGCCATCAATCTACAGAGATTTCCTAGAATTTGTCTGTTGCAATTGGGATTTTACAAAAATGAACCCAGAAAAAGCCAGAGCAAAGCAAACACCACTATTTTCTGTGGTTTAAATACAGCACTACAAAACACAAAAGAGAGAGATCAACTTACAATTTCACTTACCAGATTTATAATGATTTGCTCAGCTGTAGTTTGAAACTTGTGCTAAGAAAATGCTGTTTTTTCCCCTAAGGACTTATGCAGCCTTTGTTGCCATCTTGTGGCCGTATGTCAACTGTCACTTTCTTTGGTCTCTTCAGGAGATGACCGCTGACACACTGAATCTGAGGCTCTGAAATTATAAATAATTTAAAATAGGCACTATTCTTATAAATAAACTGCATAGTTACAATAAAAAACAACTACATTCTCTGCAACAAAAGCCTCAAAAGTACATTATGTTATCCAACAGCAGGAATACTTGTCAAAAACTGTAGAGTGTCCATTGCTTATCACTGTATGTGGGCGGAGTAATACACAAGGTTGAAGGGTGAAGAGGCTGGACGAGTGCTGTTATTTGCAGAATAACTGTTGTGTGTGTTTGTGTGTGTGTGTGTGTGTGTGTGTGCGTGCGTGCGTGCGTGCGTGTGTGTGTGTGCACATATATGTAATATTACATGTAATATATTATATAATTATTATAACATAATATTATATTAAAATATATATATTATTTTTCTATGCATAGCTGTAAAACTTGTTTAATTGTTATTTTTTTATTTTAAAAGTAATGTTTCATTTATATTTTAGGTACCAAAAACAGTTTAAACTATGAAATCTGCTTGTAATATGCATAAAGCTTTAAATATATATATATTCAAAAGAGAATCTGTGCTAAATGAGTCTTCTAGAAAAGCATGAGAATGTCAAGCGGACATGTTGTAAACTTGAGCACATGATTAAGAGCCGATACGAGACCCTCTTACTAAAACTAAGTGGGTCATGAAGCAGGTGGAGCTGCACAGTTCTGCTTTTGTGGCCTTTCTGGAGCCACTGCAGAGAGTCAGAAACCAAAGCATTCAGCCTACAAAAGCCTCTCTGTCCAGCAGTTTATCAACCACACCAGACACCGTTTCAGCTTGTTTATCTGAAAAATGAACTTTGCTCACACAACATGAAGCTTATTTATCAAATACTCTTCTCTGTCTGCAGCTTATCTCTCTGTCAGTTCAATTAGATTTCAATAAAGGAGGCTCTTACAATCCCATATTACATTACTCTCAACAGCAGCATTTAACCGCTGGTGGAAACACACAAATAATCGTTCCTCATTTAACTGGTTCAAGCACTAATATTAATTATCTTTTTTTTGTATTTCATCTCTTTATTGCTGGCTGTTTCATATTGTTGTTTTATATCTCATCAGATGTTTATTTGAGCATCGTGCAATTTTCCATGTGGAGTAATGAAACATCTCATCAGTGTAATGCACCGAGCTATCATTAGGTTCAAGTTCAAATATAATATACTTCATATTAACTTGGCTCATACAGCAGATATGGCTTTGTATTGTTGTAAAAAAAAAACTTTTGGCGGATTCCCAGTGATTATAAATGCCCAGTGTTATCCAACAATTTGTGTGATTTAATTTAATTTAATTTAATTTAATTTAATTTTATTTAATTTAATTTAATTTAATTTTATTTTATTTTATTTTATTTTATTTTATTTTATTTTATTTTATTTTATTTTATTTTATTTTATTTTATTTTATTTTATTGTTTTTATTTTATGTTGTTATTTTATTTTATATTTAATTCAATTTAATTTAAGAAAAAATTTAATTAATTTAATTAAATTTAATTAAATTTTATTTATTTATATATTTTACTTTATTTTATTTTATATTGTTTAATGTTTTTTGTTTGTTTAATTTAATTTCATTTATTTATTTTATTTTATTTTATTAAATTTTCAGTTTCATTAAATTTCATTTAATTTTTAATTTCATTTATTTTTATTTAAATAAAATTTTTTATTTTTTATTTAATTTATTTTAATTTAATTTAAATTTATTTAAATTTATTTAATTAAATTTAATTATTTGGACTTTGAATTTATTTGAATTAATTTATTTTTTTAACCTCAGTTCTCAGGGACAACTATTATGTTGTTAATATAGAAATATATATATGTATTTAAATATACTGCATATTTATTTGCTTATGCCACATTAACAAATTGACCAAATGCATTTTTATTTTACAACACATAATAAATATGCACAAAAAGTAAAATATGTTTGTCACATGATGGGTAATATATGACATTTGTTTTTATATATTATGATTATTAATGAATATAGTAAGCATTTTCTTTTAATTATAAAAATTTACCAATAAAATATCAATAAATTCATTTGTAATGCTTCATAACACTTAATGCAAAGAATTGAGGTAATGGCCGGATCAGGTCATGTCTCTAAAGTTTCTCCAAATCTCTGTCTGTGTGTGTCTCAGACCAGTATGGCCACGTCTCTGTCGGTCTGCGAGGATCTGATCTTCTGTGGTTGTGCTGATGGGACTGTGAGAGCCTTCACCCCCACTGACCTGCACTTTATCTGTACCCTTCCTCATCCTCACAGTCTGGGTACAGACATCGCCACGCTCACTGAGGCCAGGTGAGAACACATTCACACACACACACACACATGCACTTACAGTCACACAAACACGCACACTGTGGATCATGTGAATCAGTGAGTCGTTAACTGGAGACTCTCTTTGACTGAATAACTTGAACTTGAATCAGTGATTCTTTAACTGGAGACTTGCTTTGACTGAATTATTTGAGTAAGTGAGTCTTTAACCTGGAGACTTTCTTTGACTGAATCATTTTAATCACAGAATTGTTAACTTGAGACTCTCTCTGAAAGGATCATGTGGATCAGCGAGTTGTTAACTGGAGACTCTCTTTAAATGGATCTTTTAAATCAGCGAGTAGTTAACTGGAGACTCTCTGACTGAATCATTTGAATCGGTGAGTAGTTAACTGTAGACTCTTTATTACTGAATCGTTTGAATCAGTGAGTTTTTAGCTGCAGACTCTCTCTGACCGAATCATTTGAATCAGCGAGTAGTTAACTGGAGACTCTCTCTGACTGAATCATTTGAATTGGTGAGTAGTTAATTGGAGACTCTCTCTGACTGAATCATTTGAATCAGTGAGTTTTTAACTGTAGACTCTCTCTGACTGAATCTTTTGAATCAGTGAGTAGTTAACTGGAAACTCTCTAATACTGAATCGTTTGAATCAGTGAGTTTTTTAACTGGAGACTCTCTCTGACTGAATCATTTGAATCAGCGAGTAGTTAACTGGAGACTCTCTCTGACTGAATCATTTGAATCGGTGAGTAGTTAACTGTAGACTCTTTATTACTGAATCGTTTGAATCAGTCAGTTTTTAACTGGAGACTCTCTCTGACTCAATCATTTGAATCAGTTAGTAGTTAACTGGAGACTCTGACTGAATCTTTTGAATCAGTGAGTAGTTAACTGTAGACTCTATTACTGAATCATTTGAATCAGTGAGTTTTTACTGAAGACTCTCTCTGACTGAATCTTTTGAATCAGTGAGTAGTTAACTGGAGACGCTCTATTACTGAATCGTTTGAATCAGTGAGTTTTTTAACTGGAGACTCTCTCTGACGGAATCATTTGAATCAGTGAGTAGTTAACTGGAGACTCTCTCTGACTGAATCGTTTGAATCAGTGAGTTTTTGACTGGAAACTCTCTCTGACTGAATCATTTGAAACAGAGAGTAGTTAAATGTAGACTCTTTATTACTGAATCGTTTGAATCAGTCAGTTTTTAACTGGAGACTCTCTCTGACTCAATCATTTGAATCAGTTAGTAGTTAACTGGAGACTCTGACTGAATCTTTTGAATCAGTGAGTAGTTAACTGTAGGCTCTATTACTGAATCATTTGAAACAGAGAGTAGTTAACTGTAGACTCTCTATTACTGAATCGTTTGTATCAGTGAGGTTTTTAACTGGAGACTCTCTCTGACTGAATCATTTGAATCAGTGAGTTTTTGACTGAAGACTCTCTCTGACTGAATCTTTTGAATCAGTGAGTAGTTAACTGGAGACGCTCTATTACTGAATTGTTTGAATCAGTGAGTTTTTTAACTGGAGACTCTCTCTGACGGAATCATTTGAATCAGTGAGTAGTTAACTGGAGACTCTCTCTGACTGAATCGTTTGAATCAGTGAGTTTTTGACTGGAAACTCTCTCTGACTGAATCATTTGAAACAGAGAGTAGTTAAATGTAGACTCTTTATTACTGAATCGTTTGAATCAGTCAGTTTTTAACTGGAGACTCTCTCTGACTCAATCATTTGAATCAGTTAGTAGTTAACTGGAGACTCTGACTGAATCTTTTGAATCAGTGAGTAGTTAACTGTAGGCTCTATTACTGAATCATTTGAAACAGAGAGTAGTTAACTGTAGACTCTCTATTACTGAATCGTTTGTATCAGTGAGGTTTTTAACTGGAGACTCTCTCTGACTGAATCATTTGAATCAGTGAGTTTTTGACTGAAGACTCTCTCTGACTGAATCTTTTGAATCAGTGAGTAGTTAACTGGAGACGCTCTATTACTGAATCGTTTGAATCAGTGAGTTTTTTAACTGGAGACTCTCTATTACTGAATCGTTTGAATCAGTGAGTAGTTAACTGGAGACTCTCTGACTGAATCGTTTGAATCAGTGAGTTTTTAACTGTAGACTCTCTCTGACTGAATCTTTTGAATCAGTGAGTAGTTAACTGTAGACTCTCTCTGACTGAATCATTTAAATCAGTGAGTTTTAACTGGAGACTCTCTCTGACTGAATCATTTAAATCAGTGAGTTTTAACTGTAGACTCTCTCTGACTGAATCATTTAAATCAGTGAGTTTTAACTGGAGACTCTCTCTGACTGAATCATTTCAAATCATAGAGTCATTAATTATAGACTCTCTCTCACTGAATCTTTTTAATTAGTAAATTTTTAACTGAAGACTTGCTCTGACTGAATCATTTGAAGTCAGAAGTGAGGACGAGGATAAATGTTTTCGATTGGCCATGTTGGTCTGCTGTCTCACCTCATACATACTGTATGCAAATCCTCTGATATCTGCATGTGTTTTAAGATTCAGAGTGTATTGGTGTAGTCTGGATGAAGCGGCATCTGTTTAGCATTCACTGCATTTCCTCCAGACGTCAAACACACAAGTACACGCTCATAAATATGCAGAGACCAAGATCTTGACCTCTGTTATATATGTCATGTTATTCAGGAAGAGACTGAGACGTGTCTTTATCTTTTTGAGTTTACCGTACCATAACTATTAGACAAAAGAAAGAGTTATTTTTCCTTTCATTACTTGTCCGCTGTTGCTTTTGTAATGCAGATCTCGACTTTAATGTATTATATTATATTATATTATATTATATTATATTATATTATATTATATTATATTATATTATATTATATTTTATATTATATTATATATTATATTATATTTTAAATTATATTATATTATATATTATAATTTATTATATTATATATTATATTACATTACATTACATTATATTATATTATATTATATTATATTATATTATATTTTATTTTATATTATATATTATATTATATTATATTTTATATTATATTTTATATTATATTATATTATATTATATTATATTATATTATTTTATGTTATGTTATGTTATGTTATTTTATTATATTATATAATTTATACACTGTAAAAGACCATTTTATAAAAGAATATGCAAATGTAAAATCATAAAACAAGCCAAGCATTCTAGTGGATTCACCAATCCCAGAAGTCACTCTGTCTTCCTGTCCATCTCTCTTCATAATTGGCAGTAAACGGTAGTGGTGTGGATTCTACTTCCAGAAGAGCAGCTGTTTTTACTCTCTTTAATAATAATAATAATAATACATTTTATTTAAAGGCGTCTTTCTAGCAACTCAAGGACACCGTACAATCAACAAGAGCAATAAAACAACAAAATAATAAAATATACACAGTAATAGTGCAAATAAAATTAAGTATTAAAAGCCATCTTAAATAAGTGGGTTTTGAGTCTTGATTTGAATAGTGTAAGGGAGTCAATCTTTCTGATGGCAGGTGGTACTGAGTTCCAAAGCCGCGGAGCAGAGCGGCTAAATGCTCTGTTGCCCATAGTTGAAAGGCGAGAAGAGGGAACAGACAAGTGGAGGGAGGAAGAAGATCTCAGGGTGAGAGAAGGAACAGAAATGTGGATGAGGGCAGACAAATATGGAGGGGCGAGATTGTGGATGGCTTTGAATGTTAACATCAAGATCTTAAAGTCAATTCGAAAATGAACAGGTAACCAATGAAGCTGCTGCAGGACAGGGGTGATGTGATGAGAAGAAGGGGTTCTGGTGATGATACTGGCAGCTGAGTTCTGAGTTCTTTAACTCTTTAAAGTCCACATGAACTGGAAGCTGTGATCTTTTTTTTGTGGGTTTTTTTAGCCTTTCCTTGAAAAGCAGAATATTAAATGAGAAAACAGTGGGTGTGGCTTGTTACTGCAAGCTGATTGGATGTAGTAAAGTAGGCATTTCATTCAGAAAGATCGGTAAAAGGGTTTGGGGAGAGTTATTACAACCTAACAGACTCCTCCTCCTTACCGTTTCTGTTTGTTGTCCAAGCTGGAGGGGCGTGGCTAATTATGTTAGCCCCACCCAGTACCTCAGACAGACGTAATCTTGAGAATTTAACTGAAATTAAACAGGAAGTGCATTTTCAGATTTTAATTTTAGATTACAAGGGGAAATTATTAGAAATAGCCGCAAAATAATTTTTTTCACCATAATACTAGCAATAAGAGCTAACAAAATCAATACGGTTTGTTCTAATTTCATGTGTGATTTCTCCACAGCCACCTGTTCTCCTACAAGCAGAATGTGCGTTATCCTGATGCTGTGGCCGTGTCTTATGACCCCAGCAGCCGATGGCTCTCCTGCGTCTATAATGATCACAGTCTGTATGTCTGGGACGTCCGGGACCTGCGGAAAGTGGGCAAGGTTTACTCTGCTCTCTACCATTCGTCCTGCGTGTGGAGTGTTGAGGTGAGAATTAAGATGAACACTTACTTTTTTTTTTTTATGCAAACATTAAGACTGTTATTGAAAACTATAGTGCTGATTAGGTGGATATTAAGTGAGTTGAAAAAAGTAAGATATAAAATAAAATAATAATTAAATGTAATGTTTAAATATGAATTGACAAATATGATGAAATTAAATGAAACTTAATTAAAATGAAATATAAAATAAAACAAAATGTAACATTAATGTAAAAAACATAATATCAAGTATAATTTTTTATAGTTAATAATAGTAAAATAGTTAAAGTTAAATATAAAATAAAAAATAAAAGGAAATATAAATAAGAATGACATTTTAATAAACTACACAAAAATACAAATTTTATATATTTTTATATATTATTTTATACATTCAGTTGAAGTCAGAATTATTAGCCCCCTTTGAATTATTTCCAAAATGATGTTTAACAGAGCAAGGAAATTTTTACAGTATGTCTGAAAATATTTTTTCTTCTGGAGAAAGTCTTATTTGTTTTATTTTGACCAGAATAAAAGCAATTTAGATTTTTTTTAAGAACATTTTAAGGTCAAAATTATCAGCCCCTTTAAGCTATATTTTTTTCGATAGTCTACAGAACAAACCACAGTTATACAATAACTTGCCTAATTACCCTAACCTGCCTAGTTAAGCTAATTAACCTAGTTAAGCATTTAAATGTCACTTTAGGCTGTACTGTCATCATGGCAAAGATAAAATAAATCAGTTATTAGAGATGAGTTAGTAAAACTATTATGTTCAGAAATGTGTTGAAAACAATCTTCTCTCCGTTTAACAGAAATTGGGGAAAAACATAAACAGGGGGGCTAATAATTCAGGGGGACTAATAATTCAGGGGGACTAATAATTCTGACTTCAACTGTATATGTACATATATAATGAAAATGACAAATAAATTCAAATAAAAAATGATAAAATTCCTTTTTTAAATAATAAAAAAATTATTTAAACTACAATTTAAAATATATTTAAGGTAAAACATTTAATGTACTTAAAATAAAATATGAAATTAAACAAAAAAGAAAATTTAACATTAAAGTAAAAAAAAACATTCAATATAAACTATAATTTATTATACAAAGTGAAATTAAATGTATAAAAGAAAGCATAAAAGAAAAATTAAAAAGTACAACAACAAATAAAATATAAGATGAAAAAAATGTAATGAAAGAGAAAATAAAATGAAAAGTAAAATGACAAATAGATATGTATATATAATGGGCTACGCTTTGGTCAGTGGTTAGCATAATTGCCTCACAGCAAGAAGGTCGCTGTTTTGTGTCCTGGGTGGGCCAGAATATAAAATTTTATGCAAGATATAAAATAAATAATAAATAATATAAATAATCAAATTTTAAAAATATAATGAAATATCAATTTTTTTATTTGTAAAATGCTTCATATTATATAATTTTAAATTTGCTTACAAAACTAATTTTCAAGTAGAAGAATTAGATCAATTCAGTGGAGTTTGTCCAGACGTCTGTCTGGCGAATATGGTAGGATTTTTAGTCCTTTCATTGTGTTGAGTGTTGACATTTGGGCTGTGAAAATTATGCGTCAGGTCTTTTGTATCAAAGTCTCATGTTTTGTATTATTTTTGTGTGGCCTGATGTGAACTCATACAGGGTTATTGTCTCAATAAAAACCCACCCGCTGCTAGTGTCAGCCTGTAAATCTTGTACTTGTAGTTATTTTGTATGTTATCCCATCAGGAATGTTCCATGTTTGCCTTTTTTGTACCAGACGAAGGTGCTTTAAGGTGCTTTTGTTCACTGTGACAGGCTACAAATGTCTAAAACTCCTGCAGGATTTGTCGACACACATTAAACTCTGTGTTTTCAGGTTGTGTCATGGGTGTTTGTTTGTTTCAGATCCCATGATTCATGACTATGACTTCCCTTTTGGTTTGTTCTGTCCTCTTTGTTCCTGAAATACATCTCTAAATAAAGCCCTGAATATATAATCAATGAAAATCATAAAATGTCAAAAAACAAATGTAAAACAAATTAAATGAATTATAAAATTGAGTATCAAATGAAAGATTTAATGCAAAATAAAATGTGTGATAAAATTTTAAATGAGTTGAAAATTAAATCTAAAATTATGTATTAAAAAGTATATAAACTACATGTATAATTAATTATGTAATATGTATATATCAAATATTATAATAATAACATGATACTTTGCAGGAGTTTATGTATGTATATATGTATACGTTTACATACTGTCTGTTTGTATGTCAAGTTTAATAATAGAAAATATGACATTTTTAGTTTTAAGAAATATTTCAGTTCACAATTTTACACTCACAAAACTAATTTTAAGGGTTTCAAGAAGAGGAATTATATCAAAAATAAGTAAAGTTTATTTATAAACTAATTTCGAGAGGATCACGTGCTTATGATTGACAACGGTTGGTCCTGCATTAGCTAACACGATTCACCAATCAGATGATTTCAAACACCCTAAATAACCAAATTGGCACCATAGATGAGCTCTTCATTAGCAGTATATCTTTCCATAGCAATCCCTAATTTGTCATTATCCGTAAATGAGAAGGGAGTTCTCAAGATCTACTTGAGCTCAAACTCCCCTCTCGCCCTGCAAATGGGAGGGAACCCCGGGCTCAAGGATCTTTGCTCAGGGCTCTCTCCTGGGACAGCATACCAAACACTCTTTATGATCAATCATCAGCTAAGTGTGAACTCTTGAATGTAGTTATTTTAAGTAATGCTGGGAAAAAATTTATCGTGATTAGTGGCATCCAAAATAAAAATTTGTTTTGACATAATATATGTGAATGTGTGCTGAGTATATGTTTATACTTTATATTATGTATATATAAATACACACACGCATGCATATATTTGAGAAAATGTTTATATATATATATATATATATATATATATACACACACACACACACACACACACACACACACACACACACACACACACACACACACACACACACACACATATATATATATATATATATATGTATATATATATATAGACACACACACACACACACATTGTAGGTGGGCATAGATACATTTTTAAAATCTAGATTCATCTAGATTAAAATGGCTCATTTGAATTCTGCTGAAGGCATTCAGAATTTCATACTTGCTTTTGATGTACGTACATACAGAAAATGTTGCATCACAAAGTTCACAGAGCCCTGACGGTGTGTCAAACATTGAGTATGTTTACATGGGCAACATTACTTTAATACGATTTTAATATGATTAAAACAATACTGTGATTAGGAGTCTACAATGTAAACAGCGATTTTTGATGACCTTAATCCGACTAAAGTCATAACTGAACTAAACAGAAATGGAATTAAGACATGGAGAATGCAGATATTAGTGGCATTACTGACAAACTATTATCGTCATGTAGGACTTTTTGCCATATTTTCTGATAAGATTCACACAGGCGGCTGTCAGTAAAGGACCGCGCACACACACACACAGACGCACACACAAACAAACAAACATCGCGAAATGCTGAAGTTCTTTTTCTTTCCATTTGGCGTGCGTTATTAAATTCCATTAACACTCTCACCAGTCCTTGCTCATTATTTGCGCCTAATACCCCAGTTTGTTACGGGGCATAAATGAAATATTTATGAGTTTATATATATATATATATATATATATATATATATATATATATATATATATATATATATATATATAAATTATTTATACATCTAAATGTCTATGTATCATTTTGTTTTTATGTATGTGTGTTTATCACATATGCATAATAAATATACAGTATATAACACACGCACACACACACACACACATATTTTGGATGCACTTATTTACAATTAATCTTTGTCCAGCACTAATAATAAGAACCAATTTTTACTATAGTAATGAACTTAATAATATGAAAAGTTTATATTTAGTATCATCTGAAGTTTTAGATGTATTGTATTCTCTTGTGTTTGGCATTCGTGATTAACGCTTAGTGATGACCTCATAGACTTTGAAGGCCACACTAGAGTAAATACACCTGTGTTTGTTTGATTTTGTGTGTGTTGTATCATCTCTTTTTCTTCTGTCCTCAGGTTTACCCAGAGTCGAGGGATGGAGAGCAGCCGCGTTTGTCTCCTGGATCCTTCCTCAGCTGTTCATCTGACAACACCATCCGTTTGTGGCACACAGACGCCCAAAACACCAGCCTCAGCCGAAACGTCATCAGCAATGTAAGATTTGTGCACAAAAAAATAAATAAAACAAATGAACTCTAGTGTCAAAGTTATTCGCCCTCCTGTCAGTTTTTTTTCTTTTTCACATTAATTTTTTTACAGGAATTTTTCACAGTATTTCCTATAATATTTTTTTTCTTTCTGAGAAAGTCTTTATTGCTTTATTTTGGCTAGAGTAAAACCAGTTAAAATTTAGTTTAAAAACTATTTTAAGGTCAATATTATTAGCCCCCTTAAGCAACATTTTTTTCAATTGTCTACAGAACAAACAATTGTTATACAATGACTTGCAATTACTGTTTACAAGTGCTGAGGAAGAGCGGAAATTGAGATTTAATAATGAGCAATTGTTTCTGACGTGCTGTAAGCAGTCGACCAATCGCAAGAGACTGGGATATGATGTGACCAATCAGAGCCGAGTAAGCTCTCTTGGTAAGTTATTAGCGGAGAATTTCTGTGGTTTTATATTATGGATAGTGCGCTCACTGCGCTGGGTCCCTCCGTTAGTAGCGAGATTACTCGATGCACGATGCCAACAGTCGGTCGGCCAGTAAATAGATATAATGAATAAAAATACACAGGCCTGTGCGTATAGACATATAATGTAATGCTGTACAGTAACGTGTCATTTGTTTGTTTCATTTGTCTTCATTTTAATCGTTTTGTGATGATGTGATGGTGTGCTTTATCTGCCTGATCTGCTGAAGTGGGCGGGTTGTGTGACATTTGATTCAGGGGACGTTCTGAGGGCCTGGTTTTGCGTGACTACTAGCCCGACAGTGGACACGCAACTTGATTTCGGCCTCACTGCTCAACCTTCCAGGCGATTGGCCTGCCCCGGCCTGATAAAAGCCCTGACTCGCACTGGCCCGACAGTGGAAATGCGGCTACTGATAGCAGAGTGTACAGTTTCCCAGAAACTATCAATTTTTGAGCAATGCCAGAATGTTTGAACACTTTGATATTATCAGTTTTAGTGGAGGTTTAAGGAAATTGATTGCAAAAAATAACTTTTATATATTTTTGCAGATTTTACAAATGCCATATTGCTATTTTCTTATCTTATACAACAGTATGTCTCAATCTAAATGAAAAGCAAAAGTTGGGTGACATGGTAGCTTAGTGGTTAGCACTGTTGCCTCACAGCAAGAAGGTTGCTGGTTTGAGTTCAGTTGTCATTTCTGTATGGAGTTTGCATGTTCTCCCTATGTTGTTGTGGGTTTCCTCCTGGTGCTCCGGTTTCCCCCACAGTCCAAACACATACGCTATAGGTGAATTGACTAAACTAAACTGACCCTAGTGTATGAGTTTGAATAAGTGTATTTGGATGTTTCCCAGTTCTGGGTTGCAACTGGAAGGGCATCCGCTGTGTAAACCATAAGCTGTAATGTAAAAGTCACATATTGCCATTTTTCCTCCACCATAGGATCTCCAGAAGATCATTTACATGGACAGCAACACCTCCACCCTGCTGGACACGGACTGCACCATCTCCAGTAACTCTGAGAAGGTGGACCCGCAGACCTCGGAGAACCGTACAGGCATCAGGACCATGTGTGTGAGTCCAGACGGGCTGCATCTGGCATCAGGAGACCGTAACGGCACACTGAGGTCTGTTTCTCACATGCCTGCTTAACACTTCTTCCGCTCTAATTGATTCCACTTAATTGATCCTCTGAGGGTTATAATGGAAAGGACAATGTGTTTGTGCATGCATGTGGGAAAAATATGTTACACTTTTAGCGACTCGTGCTAACACTTCACTGTAAGGTCACATTTGCTAAAAAGCAGGTGGTATGAGGGTTTTGAAAAATAGCTTCCTCACAGTTTGTAACTTAGTTTTCTTTCAGTGTTGCAACAGTATTGACAACATATTAAAAAACACATTATAAATACTATACGCCTTTTTCACGGATGGTCGAACGCACATCCGATAGTCGCGCTAGTAGCATATGCTCTTAGTTTTAAACCGTTAAGATATATACAGTTAAAGTCAGAATTATTAGTCCCCCTTAGAATTTCTTTTTCATTTTAAAATATTTTGCAAATGATGTTTAACAGAGCAAGGAAATTTTCACAGTATGTCTGGTAATATTTTTTCTTCTGGAGAAAGTCTTATTTGCTTTATTTCGGTTAGAATAAAAGCAGTTTTTAATTTTTTGAAACCCATTTTAAGGTCAAAATTATTAGCCCCTTTAAGCTTTATTTATTTTTCTGATAGTCTACAAAACAAACCATTGTTATACAATAACTAATTAACCTAGTTAAGCATTTAAATGTCACTTTAAGCTGTATAAAAGTGTCTTGAAAAATATCTAGTCAATTATTATTCACGGTCATCATGACAAAGATAAAATAAATCAGTTATTAGAGATGAGTTATTAAAATTATAATGTTTAGAAATTTGTTGAAAAAAAATCTTCTCTCCGTTAAACAGAAATTGGGGGAAAAATAAACAGGGGGGCTAATAGTTCTGACTTCAACTGTATATATATATATCCATACTCGCGTATGGATGTCAAAAAATGTAATATTATGCTATGTAGGATACAAGTCTTACAATACATTGAATAAAAAACACGTACAAACAATTCCAGACTGACTTATTTCAGCAGTATTGACATGTTGTACATTTACATAGTGCTTGAGTCAAATTAAGTCTGTTGCCCTCCCTTAAGATAATTATCTATGTATGTAAAGAAATACTAAAGGTCCAGGTTCCCTCTCATCAAACATTTATTACATTGCATATTTATTATACATTTCATATTATTTCATATTCATATTATACATGTATTTAAACATTTATTATTATATATTTTAGCTGGCTTATATCTCTTAACGGTTTAAAACTAAGAGCATACACTATGATGAAGTTCGCACAAATGTTAAGAGTCTTTCCTAAACCATGCTTACGAATGGATGGTCACCCACCTTCATAATTAAAAATAAAATTTTTGTGGAAAAACTTACATCCTTTATTGTGTTTAGAGTGTGGAATGATAGAATGTCGGTTCACAAGACAATAAACATCCACTTTAAATGGTAAATGTTGGCAAAGTTTTCAAAGAGGTAGTGAAAACTAGCATATCTGACGTCATTGCTCTGGCAAATTAGGATAAGCAACTATCGCTCTACCGGATGTGCTTTCGACTTTCCGTGAAAAAAGACCTATTATCTCTTAAAAGAAAGATTTGGCTTCAAATTGCCTAAATGAGTCATTATATTTTTTTAATATTTTGCCTGGTGATGAATTAAGAACAGTTTGAAATGGGTATTTTGTTTCTGACATGGAATACTTAGACCAATCAAAACACACTTGGCCAGCTGACCAATCAGAGCAGAACTGGCTTCTAGACTTCAGACTGGACTGGTTTACAGTCCTTCAGAATTGATTCAGTCACACTGTATTTAAATACTTGCAGAACGTTTCTTATATTAAATGCATATTCTGCATTCTGACTGATTAGTACATAGGTTAGTGTATGCTCCATTCAGCCATTTTCATTTCTGTCAGCTTTGTGTTTAATTAAAGAATTAATAAACTATTAGGGCTCAAAACTATTTTTTTTACATTATGTGGAATGTAGCCATGTAAAAAGGGGGTAAAGTTCATCCAGGATGGTTGTTTTGACAAAATAAAGCCCTTCAGTCTTATATAAGAGCACTTTACTGGACTTTAACAGGCTGCCATTAATAGCCTGTCATGTTTTATTCTGCAATAAAAAACACCTGGATGTGCTTTATGCTTTACTTTACATTGGTTACATAATAATGCAGCAAATGTATTAGCCGTTTAGATGCTCACTGAACTTCTGTTGTTTCCAGAATCCATGATTTGGAGAGCATGGAGGAGATTCTAGACGTTCAAGCCCACGACTCTGAAATCTTGTGTTTGGAGTACTCCAAACCTGAGACTGGTGAGTGCGGCTGCTGAGTGTGTTTTTATAGATCTGCAGCTGATTAAATCCTGCTCTGAGGTAAAGAGAAGTGCTGATCCAGCTCAGATGCTCAGCAGATGCTTAGTAACCTTGGAGTTGCCTCTTCAAACATGTGCTAACAGCAGCTTTTATAGCTAACGTTTACACTGCAAAACACCACTGTTTGAACTGGGCCTTCAAACCTGGTGCAGGTTAAATTTGGAGGCAAATTTGTGGTCCTACTGTAGGTTAAAGTCATAGTTGGTAAATAAATTTACATTTTCTGTTCATTTGCTCATCTGCAGGCCATACAATGACATTAAAAAATGTTTAGCTTGGTTGGTGATACATACAATTCAAGTCAATGTCATTGTTTGAAATATGCATGGACATCTCTGGAAAAGATGGCAGCATATTGTGCTCCAAAATCTTTAAAATGTACTTTTCGGCATTAATAGTGCCTTCACAAAAGTGCAAGTTATCTTTGCCAAGAGCACTGACATAACCTCATACCATGACAGATCCTGGCTCCAGATCACACGTTGTCTATTTCTTCCAAAAGAATACTTGCAATACTGATTCATGTTCAGGTGCCTTCGAGCCCAGAGAAGTCAATGGCACTTCTGGACAATGTTAACATAGGGCTTCTTTTTGGCAGAGTACAGTTTTAACTGGCATTTGTGAATGTAACTATGTATTGTGGTACAATGAAACACAAGTCAAAAGTACATTTTTAAATCACTACTTTCTTTTTTATTTGCTTTTCAATACTTTCACAACTGTTTTTCTGATTTTTATTTGTATATTGAACTGAGAAATCCTATCTATATTTTTTTTAATAATCTCTTATTGATTTATGAAGTTGTTTGTAATTATGTAGCATGTTTTTATCTATATTGATCTTGCCATAGATGAACCAAAAGTTGCTTATGTGGCAATAAACAAACAAACAATACAATCTCTGACTATACATTTGAAATCTTATGCAGGAAAGAAAACATCAAGAAATTGAACTTTAATTTATTTCTACATTGTTACTTTTAATCAACATACTTGAAGCATTTATTAGAGTAATCCAGTTGATAACATCTGCAATGTGCTATAGATTTACCAGAGGGAATATAAAAAAAACAAGTAAAAATGTTTAAAAATTAAGTTAATTCTATCCAATTAAAATGTTTTCTAGCAGAATTTTAATTTTATTTCTGTTTTATTTGTAATAATAAATAGTAACCTACATTATTTTATTAATCATATTTTTATATATTTTTATTGTTATTATTATTATTATTATTATTGGTTGTTATTATTATTAATATTATTGGTTATTATTATTATTATCATTATTATTTCATTGTTATTATTGGTTATTATTATTATTATTATTATTTATTTCTATTTTTATGCTTATTATTAATTTATTATTGGTTATTATTATTATTAATAATATTCATTAATTCATTCATTCATTTTCTTTTCGGCTTAGTCCCTTTATTAATCTGGGGTCGCCACAACGGAATGAACCGCCAACTTATCCAGCGTATGTTTTACGCAGCGAATGCCCTTCCAGCTGCAACCCATCCCTGGGAAACATTCATACACACTCATTCAAACTCATACACTACGGACAATTTAGCCTACCCAATTCACGTGTACTGCATGTCTTTGGACATTTGGGGAAACCGGAGCACCCTGAGGAAACCCACGCGAACGCAGGGAGAACATGCAAACTCCACACAGAAACGCCAACTGAACCAGCCGAGGCTCGAACCAGTGACCTTCTTGCTGTGAGGTGACAGCACTACCTAATAATAAGGTGACGTCACCTTATTATTAATATTATAATTATTAATTTATTTTTATTTTTGGTGATTATTATTATTATTATTAATTAAAAATTTTTGTGCCTAAATATTATTTTGGTGAGCTGCTAAAGCAACATTTCAGATTTTTTTCACGGTAAGTTATTAATACATTATAATTCATCAAATATATTTTATGTTTACATTTATTTTTAATAAAAGAATCACTTTTAATTATTATTTTACTACAACAACAATGCTTAGGCTGCTCTTTAATTTAAGTCTATGAGCTGTTTTTCACCCTTATTTTTGTTTGTCACTTGAGTAATTTTGGGTAATCCAGTTACCCGAGAAAATAAATAATGTAAATAATCAATTTGTAAAACAATAACACAAAAAAGCTCGCATTAATTTTCACTGTGTCTTCCCGCATAAACATTTAGAATATGCATTTGTCAGTGCAACTATTTTCTGTGGTAATCAACAGAAATGGATAGATGCTGTTGACAGAGCTTCTGCTGAAAATAACCCACAATGCTTTTTTCAGGGAAGTTAAATTAAATAAAATTTCTAGGAATCTATCCAAGAGAATAGATGCTAGCATGACGTACTTTGAGAAAACTGACATACCAGAAATAGATGACTGAGCAATAGTTGATCCAAAACAGCAAGATAATATACATTGGAAAGCGTCAGTACTTCAAAAAATCCAATGTGTTGTCATGGTTAAGTGATTAAAACAGACTATCATAGTATTTCCACTGTTGTAATGTACTAGAAAAGACAAGGTGAACAATTTAAGGTGAAAGTGGTGGTTGCTAAGGCATTGCTTAGTGGTTGCTAGGGTGTTATTTGATTTATTTATTAATTGTAATTTCATTTCAACATTATATTAGATTTTAGCAGATTTATGCAATGTCTTTAAAATGGGTATCTTTGCTTTATTTTTAAATGACTTTTATTTTGATAGATTGATAAAAGTTGTATTTATTTGATTATTTTATTGATTTTTTTTTTTTTGATTCAGTAAAAAAATATTTTTTGATTTAATTGTTTTTCTGTTTTATTTATAGTAATAAATAATAATTAAAATATATTTGTAATTATTTTAATATTTAGGTACTAAAATTTTATTAGTTAATTATTAAAATATTTTAAAATAATTGATGCTATTATGTATTACTACAGATAAAACAGAAATACAATTAAATCACGTTAGGAAAGTTTAATTAGATTTTATTATAACTTTTTAGCTTTATTTTATTTTAATTTCACTTTACACCTTGAAAAAATAAAGTTAGAATGTTATTTTAAAAATAAGGTTAAATGTTTTCTGACAGGATTTCATTTTATTTCTGTTTTAATTATAGTCTTCAAAATTATTTTTATTTTTTAAAATTTAGGTACTAAATTGTTTAATTTATAATTGTTTAATTTTTAATTAATAAAAAATAATTTAGATTATTATTTATTACTACAAATAAAACAGAAATACAGTTAAATCCTGTTAAAAATAAATAAAAAAAATTTATTTTGAGTGAAAACTTTTTTACTTTATTGTAATTTTACTTTAAAACTTGAAAAAATAAAGTTAAAGTTTATTTATAAAATAAATTGGAATGTTTTCTAACAGCAATTAATTTTATTTCTGTTTTATTTCTACTAATAAATAATACATTTAAATTATTTTTATTGATTTATTTTATTGATTCCCATTGATTAAAATCAATCATTTTGCCAAAAGAGAAGGCAATGCAGTCCAATTCACTTTTTGATAAATTGTTATTTTCAAACAATACCACAGACAGCGGTTAGGGGATTTGCACAAGGATTTTTACAAAATATTCTGGAGTAAGATGCTATTATGTATTACTACAAATACAACAGATATACAAGTAAATTATTTTAGAAAACATTTTAATTTGATTTATTGTTTTTTATATATATATTTTTTAGGGTTTTTCACCTTTCATTTGGATAGGATAGTGAAGGTTACAGACCGGAAAGCATTGGGAGCAGAGAGAGAGAGGGAAAGGGTCGGCAAAGGACCTCGAGCCGGGAATTGAACTCGGGTCGTCATGAGCACCATGGTGCTATATGTCGGTGCACTTAACCACTAGGCTATTGGTGCTGACTTAATTAGTTTTTTTACTTTTTACTTTAAGTTTTAAAGTAAGATTAAAATAAAGTTAAAAGTAATTGAAAAAAAATAATTAAAATGTTTTCTAAAAGGATTTATTTGTACTTTTATTTTATTTGTAATAATTCATAACAGCATACATTATTTTTTAAAATAATTTAATAACCAATTTAGTATCTACATATTATTTTAATGAGCTACTAAAGCAACATTTAAAGAGTTTTAATGTTTAGCTATTAATACATTATAATTAATCAAATATATTTTGTGTTTAAATTTAATCCAATCAAATGATCTTTAAAAACAACAACAACAATGCCTAGACTGCTCTTTAATGTACTGTAAGTCCTTGAGCTTTTCCTCACCCTTATCCTTGCCGGTTATGAAAAAATCTTGCCTCTAAACACCATTAAACTACAATAGCCTGATTCTCTCTGCTTCTCTGAAGCTCTTGATTCTCTCTGGCTTTAAAGCAGGCATATTCTAATGGCCTGTTTGTGCAGTAAGTTGTGTTGAGCATGTGTTGCTTTAGCTGCTAGTTTATATCAGGCTCTGGGCCAGACATTGAGCTGGATGAGAAACAGAACATCTGCTAGAACACACACCGAGGTACACACGCAGTTATTCTTCTCCTGCGCTCACTTGTAGCTGATAGGGTTTTTTCACTGTAACTAGATAAAAATGGCTTATCGGTAGGCTGGACATAATCTGCGCGCTAACATTTTCTTTACTGAACCCTCGGTGTTGAAAACTCTTAAAGGAACAATTCACCTAAACTTAAAAACTGTCATCATTTATTGTTAAAAAAAGCTGTAAACATTGACTTCCACACTGTTTGTCCTTCAACTGGTCAATGGTTACAGGTTTTCAACTTTCTTCAAAATATCTCCCTTTAGTGTTTAAAAGAAAGTAGAAACTCAGAACGTTCTGAAATCATGTGAGGGTAAGTTTGTGAGTATTCATTTGAGTGAACTGTCCCTTTAAATGCTGTTCAACCCGTAACTGTTTACACCTGGTATTAAGATGTGCTTTCATCAGTCAATTGATAAACCAATTTTTCCATTTTTCCAAAATAGGTTCCATTTTTTTTTACACATTTCTAAACAATATTTTGAATAACTCATTTCTAATTACTGCTCCTTTTATTTTTGCCATGATGACAGCACATAATATTTGACTAGATATTTTATAATATACTAGTATTCAGCTTAAAGTGACATTTAAAGGCTTAACTAGGTTAATTAGGCAGGTTAGGGTAATTAGGCAAGTCATTGTACAACAGTGGTTTGTTCTGTAAACAGTCGAAAAATCTATTGCTTAAAGGGACTAATAATATTGACCTTAACAATTTTTTTTTAAAGATTAACAACTGCTTTTATTCTCGCGGAAATAAAACAATTAAGACTTTCTCCAGACGAAAAATATGATAACAAATACTGTGAAAATTTGTTAAACAGCATTTAGGAAATATTTGAAAAAGAAAAAAGGAGGGTGAATAATTGTCTCTTCAATAATATATGAAGAATGTGCATTTCAACATGATCAACATGATCAAATCTCTATTTGTTCTGCTTAGGGTTGCAGAAACATCATGTTTTTGCTCTCACACTTTAAGAGTCATATGCATTCTTTCTTCACCGTGTGAACAGAGAGCGTTGGGGTGTGAAAAAGTTTGAAAAGACTGAGAAGAAATCACTCTCGACACAGCTCAATGGATACGCAACGTTTCAACACTATTTTAAAATGCCGTTCAGCTGGTTTATTCTTACAGAAATGTACTTACGGGGTACTGGTGAAGGTGTCAGATGATAATACAATGACAATATGAAAAAAACTCATATTCTTAGTACACAATCATTGACATTTTTGTAGTCTATTAAATGTTTTCTCAACAAGGCTGCATTTAATTGATCAGAAATCCAGTTAATGGAGACCTGTTATGCAAAATCACTTTTATAAGGGGTTTAAACACAGTTATGTGGAAACAGTGTGCGAAAATAAACAGCTTCTTTTAGTAAAAATTTATACATTTGATTTTTTCACAATCAAAAACATCATTCTCCTAAGCTGTCATCAGCCTGCCTATTATTGACTATCGCTTCCTGATTAACATAAGATTTTAGTATTGTTCTGAATCTGCGAATATGCTGACACATAGGCATTTGTAACTCCGCCCTCTTTTGAAAAGAGCTCATTTGAATTTAAAGCAACAGTCACCATAACGGCACAATTAGGATAAAAGCGGGGGAGGGCTAACGAATTATTAAACATTATTTGTGGGGTATTTTGAGCTGACATTTCACATACACACTCTAGGGACAACAGAGACTTATTTTACATATTGTAAATAGGTCCCCTTTAAAGTGTAATTTTATGAAATATATTTTAATGTAACCCTTTTGTATTTGAATATATTTTAAAATGTAATTCATTACTTCAGCGTCACATGATCCATCAGAAATCATTCTAATATGCCGATGCTCAAGAGTCTGCTTAGCATTTTTGTGTGAGCTGCAATGCAATGTTTTTGTTTTTTTAAGTATTTATTCAATTGGAAGTTGACAAAAAAAAAACTGTGGTTAATTAAAACTGAATTTTTTATACAATTATAAATGTTTCATTGCTGCTGAAAGGACATCCACTGCATAAAACATATGCCGAAGAAGTTGGTTGTTCATTCCGTTGTGGCGACACCTGATAAATCTGGGACTAAGCTAAAGGAAAATGACTGAATGAATAAATGTCTTAATTTTTATAAATGTAATGCATCTTGCTGAATAATTTTAATCTATTTTTATACCATCCACAGACTTAAACTAACTAAAAGGAGTTGTTGACTTGAAAAAAAAGTTTTTTTTTTTAATAATCTGTGTGTCTTTAGGGCTGAAACTGTTGGCCACGGCTAGCCGAGACAGACTGATCCATATTCTGGATGCGGATAAGGAATACAGCCTGCTGCAAACACTGGATGAACACTCTTCCTCCATCACTGCTGTCCGGTTTGCTGGTAAGAGCTAGTTATAATATTTTTTTAAAGAGGTACTATAGACCATTTTAAGGGGATGTAAACAAAAACAATGGTCCCAATGTATTTCCTGTTTTACATTTTTAATTTCTAAAGCTTCCAAGAAGAGCCACATATTGATAAATAATATTATCATGGCTGTTTTAACAATAAGTTATGATTGAATTGGCTCTTGTTACAGTTTTTAAATAGTTTGATAACAAGCAGGAAATGTTCATGGGCCAATCACATGACCACATTGAAATGGTCTATTATACTCTTTTTATAAACAGTTGAGGTCAGAATTATTAGCCCGCCTGAATTATTAGCCACCCTGTATATTTTTTCTCCAATTTCTGTTTAAAGATTTTTTCAACACATTTCTAAAGATAATATTTTTAATTACTCGTTTCTAATAACTAGATACTAGTATTCAGCTTAAAATTACATTTAAAGGCTTAACTAGGTTAATTAGGCAAGTAAAGTTAATATAGGCAAGTTATAATGTAATGAGGGTTTGTTCTGTAGGCAATCGAAAAAATTAATACTTAAGGAGGCTAATAATATTGACCTTAAGATGTTTTTTAAAAATTAAAAACTACTTTTATTGTAGCCGAAATAAAACAAATAAGACTTTCTCCAGAAGAAAAATATTATAGGAAATACTGTCAAATATTTCTTGCTCTGTTTATCATCATTCAGGAAATATTTAACAAAAAAAAAATCAAAAAGCAAAGAAGGGCTAATTATTGTGAGTTTTATGTGTCCCCAGATTTCATTTTTAAGTTTCAACAATTTTTTTTCTCATGGATCCTTATTTAATACCATCCTGTATAAACTCTTTTTTTTTGAGTAAACGCAAAAATGCACGTTTTCTTGTTCCCCTTACAGGGATATTTCTCCTAAAAATACATTTTACTCACCCTAAAGTAGTCCCAAAGCGTTAAACATTTCTTTTCTCTGTTGAACACAAAATACAATATTTTGAAGAATGTTAGAAACCGGTAACCATTTACTATTCATTCATTTTCCTCCAGCTTAGTTCCTTATACATCAGGGGTACCACAGCAGAATATACCGGCAACTATTCCAGCATATGTTTTACGCAGCGGATGCCCTTCCAGCCACAACCCAACACTAGGAAACACCCATACACTCTCAAATTCACAAGCACACACACTAATACACTATGGCCAATTTAGTTTATTCAATTCACCTGTAGTGCATGTCTTTGGACTGTGGGGGAACCCGAAGCACCTGGAGGAAACCCACGGGAGCACGTGGAGAACATGCAAACTCCACACAGAAATACCAAGTGACCCAGCTGGGACTCGAACCAGCGACCTTTTTGCTGTGAGGCGACAGTGCTAACCATCGAGCCACTGTGCCCCACTTGACTTCCAGTGACTTACTATGGAAGTCAGTGGTTACCGGTTTCCAACATTTTTCAAAGTAACTTATTTTGTGATCACCTGAAAAAAAACATTTCAGTGTTGAATAAACTCTGATGTTTCCCAGTACTGGGTTGCAGCTGGACCCTTCCGCTGTGTTAACCATATGTTGGATAAGTTGGCAGATCATTCTGCCGTGGTGACCCCTGATGAATAAAGGGAGTAAGCCGAAGAAAAATGAATGAATGAATGAATGACATAGCAAAACAGCATATTACTGCGTTAACAACTAATACTAGGAATGTTAATGTGTGACGTGTGCTTCTTTTCCAGCTAATGAAGGAAAAGTCCGAATGATCAGTTGTGGTGCTGATAAGAGCATCTACTTCCGCACGGCACAGAAGGTGAGACGCTTTACTTTTACATCTTAATTCTTTACTATGACCTATTCATCATCATCATCACCATCTTTAATAATGGAGGAGTGGTGTTTCTTTCATCAGTTATGAGGGGTGAAACAGGGTCCAGATTCAGCTGTCAGATTCCTCAGGCCTCAAGAAACAGTTGCCAGAGTTTTCCAAGAGCACCTGATTTAAATAGACATGCAAGCACTTAACACCCTTCTGCAAATGAGATACCAGCGGCCAGTGATTAAGTGTGAGACTCAAACAAGCTCTTCTGATGTCCTGAATCAATCCGTCAGCGATGAAGAGTCTCTGTATGTGTCTAAATATTAAAATCTTAATATATATATATATATATATATATATATATATATATATATATATATATATATATATATATATATATATATATATATATATATATATATATATAAAATGTGCAGTTGCAGTCAGAATTATAAGCCGTCCTAAATTATTAGCCACCCTGTTAATTTTTCCCCCCCAATTTCTGTTTAACGGAGAGATTTTTTTTAACACATTTCTAAACATAATAGTTTTAATAACTCATTTCTAATAACTGATTTATTTTATCTGTGCCATGATGACAGTAAATAATATTTTACTAGATATTTTTAAAGACAACACTGTTCAGCTTAAAGTGACATTTGAAGGCTTAACTAAGGGCAATTTATTATTTATACAATTGTTTGCTTTGTTCAGTAGACGATAAAAAGTAGCTGAAAGGGGCTAATAATATTGACCTTACAATGCTTTTTAAAAATTACTTTTATTCTTGCCGAAATAAAACAAGTTGGACTTTCTCCAGAAGAAAAAATATTATAGGAAATACTGTGAAAAATTCCTTGCTTCAAAAATTCATTTGGAAAAATAATAAAAAAAAGGAAAAAAATATTCACAGTAGGGTTAATAATTTTGTCTTCAACTGTGAACACCAAAATAGTAAAGATAAAACAATAGTGATGCAAATTATCCATTGATTTGTCTGTATTGTAACTTTTTTTTCCCTCAAAAGCCTCAATAAAAGCAAATTACTGTGAATGATTGATTTAAACTGGGTTGACATCTGGAAGAGCTTCTTCATCTGTTACATATTGTAGGACACTAAAAATCTCATTTAAAGCTTAAATCAGTTTAATAGAGTGGAGGAACTACTGTATGACGTCAATATAAATAAACCCGGAAGCGAGTTAGCATTTTAGCAGTTACGGTTCCCTCATCCCAAAGTCAATGGGTTTTTTATATGGCATTTCAGGTAAATCGCTTTAATAAGGTTCGTGCCTAACACAAACTCAAGATACTTTCACGTTTTATTCTACAACATAAAACACAGCAGCTACAGCACACTCTTGATTTTTTTAACAGTTACGCTTCTTTAAAAAGACGGTTGCTATCAAGTTGCCAAATGGGACTACAGGCGGTGTCAGAGACATCATACGTCATCGAGTTGAACTGGTCTGGAACGCAGCTTGCTTGTGTTGGGCATTTGATTAATTAAATCAAATGCCCAACAATTAATTTCAAATTAATTAAAATTAATTAATTAAAAAGTTATTAGAAAATTAAGCAAATAAACACTATCAAATCGCTTGAGTAAAACATTAATATAGGGTTATACATTTGTTACATGTAAAAAGATTTTTATTACATATAAAATGTATTATTGCCTATATTAACTTGCTGTTATTTACTTCATTATAAATTAATCCATTATATAAATTAAACCTGTCCAATTTAGATCGTCCAGCAAGGCCAGCAAACAAGTATCTGCCATATTATTGTCAGATAATAATGACTGATCATCATCTATGATGACTGATAGAAAACTCTTCAGTCTATTATATTGAAATAAAGTGAACACTATTGTTTATTGTGTACAAAATGTATTAAAGATAAATATCAAAATATCTCGATGACGATGTTCAAAAAGACGTTATTAACATTAACGTCCGTCGTAACCATATATGGTTTGCCTAGATTGTGTGTGCCAGATTGTGTGTGCCTAAAACTTGTGTGGTTCTGCGGGCCTGCAGCTGGTTATTATTGGTTGGCGTGGGTTTCCTCCTGGTGCTCCGGTTTCCCCCACAGTCCAAAGACATGTGCTGAATTGAATAAACTAAATTGGCTGTAGTGTATGAGTGTGAATGAGAGTGTATGGTGTTTCCCAGTATTGGGTTGCAGCTAGAAGCACATCCGCTGCGTAAAACATGCTGGATAAGTTTTTCGGTTTATTCTACTGTGGTGACCCCAGATTAATAAAGGGACTAAGTCGAAGGAAAAGGAAAGAATGAATACACAACTGACTCATGACAAAAGCACTTTGAAGCAGAATTTCTTAAATTATTCATTTTCTTTTCGGCTTATTCGCTTTATTAATCTGGGGTCGCCACAGCGGAATGAACCGCCAACTTATCCAGAATATGTTTTGCACAGCGGATGCCCTTCCAGCAGCAACCCATCACTGGGAAACATCCATACACACTCATTCACACACATACTGTACACTACGGACAATTTTAGCTTAACCAATTCACCTATAATGCATGTTTTTTGGACTTGTGGGGAAGACCGGAGCACCCTAAGGAAACCCACTCGAACACTGGGAGAAGGCAGAATTAATTGCAAGTTGTTTTTCCTTACCGAACATTATTGATCTACTTATTCAACATCCCAAAACAGACTGAGGAGGGAACAGCGTTCACACGTACTCATCACATAGTGAGGAAGACTACGCTGTACGACATGGACATCGACCCCACGCGGAAGTATGCTGTTATTGGCTGTCAGGATCGCAGCATCAGGTTTGTTTTCTTGGTTTTCTGATCCTTTTTTTCCAATAAATATTTTATCATTATTATTATTGTTATTATTATTATTAGTAGTAGTGTAAATAATTATTATTATTATTTGTGGTGTAAATATTTATTATTATTATTATTATTAGTGGTTTAAATAATAATAATTATTATTATTAGTGGTGTATATATTTATTATTATTAGTGTTCTAAATATTAATTATTATTATTAATGGTCTAAATATTTATTATTATTAGTGGTGTAAATATTTATTATTATTATTAGTGGTGTAAATATTATTATTAGTGGTGTAAATATTTATTATTATTATTAGTGGTGTAAATATTATTATTAGTGGTGTAAATATTTATTATTATTATTGTTATTATTATTATTATTATTATTGTAAGTATTTATTATTATTATTATTATTATTAGTGGTGTAAATATTTATTGTTAGTGGTGTAAAAATTAATTATTATTATTGGTGTAAATATTTTTTATTATTATTATTGGTGGTGTTGTAAATATTTATTATTATTATTAGTGGTGTAAATATTTATTATTATTATTGGTGGTGTTGTAAATATGTATTATTATTATTATTAGTGGTGTAAATATTTATTATTATTATTGGTGGTGGTGTAAATATTTATTATTATTATTATTAGTGGTGTAAATATTTATTATTATTTTTGTTGGTGTAAATATTTATTACTATTATTATTATTATTATTATTATTATTAGTGGTGTAAATATTTATTATTATTATTAGTGGTGTAAATATTTATTATTATTATTATTATTATTATTATTATTATTATTATTATTATTATTAGTGGTATCTACTACTACTTCTACTACTATAACTGCTAACACCAACACCACTGTTACTACCTCTACTACTACTACTACTACTACATAATTAATGTTTCTTACTGCTAAAGCCCAATTTATACTTAAGTTGGCAAAACTTTCTTTTATGTTGCAAGTATACTGTATATGGCCCTAGATTGACTCCATAACCACGCCACCTTAGTTTATATATTGCAAAACAGAATTTTTGGCTGCAATGCGACCTGAATGTATAATTGTGTCAAGCACCGGACACAATACAGAATGAGGTGAACCGGTTGTGTCTAATGATTTTGTCTGGTCATGTGTCTCAGACAGCACAGACAGGCTGACTCCGAGTATGTTTGTGCTTGTGGCCTACAACATGCTAAATACCACTGGATTAACCAGTCAAGCCTCTAATTCCATCCTACTGTTAAAACACCTGAGTGATAATCTGACAACGCTGAGAGCTTGGCTACTGATGACTGTATGCCCTCTCAGATGTGGACGATAACACTTGTTTATACAATCATAAGCTCATAAACTGTCAGGGCACTGTCAAAATAAAGTTTTCAAATCATATTCATGTACATAAAGATACAAAAGCAGGTGTAACAAACACATCAGCTAAATAACAGACTGGAAATTCCAGGAATACAGGCTCAGCTAGCAGATGCATTAGGGCAGCATATTACTACTTTTTTTGCTCAAAATTTTAGTTTTTGTTTGCAAAACTTTCTTTTATGTTGCAAGTATATATGGCCCTAGATTCCATACACGGTGGCTCAGTGGTTAGCACTGTCACCTTGCAGCAAGAAGGTCACTGGTTCAAGCCTCAGTTGGCATTTCTGCAACCCGGGCTCATTGTGGAAACGTAGTCCCGCGGACGTTTCTGGAGACCGCGGAATACGTCCCGGCGGGTATGTACAGCTGCAGTTTTTGTTTTTGCGAATCCGCGAGAGGCCGCTGTTGTGCGCTTTTTCGCATCTCAGACGCCTCTCGCGAGTGCAGTTCGTGCCCGCGCTGTTCACGCGTGAACCCACCAGAGGCCGCTGTCTGACTGACCGGATGATTGACTGCACGACCGGCCAATTGGCTGACCCGCCCTCCTCCCTCCCTGAACCCAACCAATTTTACTGATCGACCCGCCCGCCCGCTCGCTTCCCTAAACCCGAGCAACAGTTTACAAAAAGCCGTCCAAAAAAAAATAAAAGCCCTGATTTTTTTTTTCTACCACGTTTTCGGATTTCGGCGCCTTCTCACCCTGTTACGAAACTCGTTCACTTAATTTTTGGGATTCTTTTTTTGTCTTACCTGATTGCTGGAACCGCTCTTCCCCGGACTCGAAACCGATCGGCGTGGTCGACTCCTCTTTGCATCTCGAGCCTGCCGACGTACACGGTGAGCTGAGTGGACAAACTGGTTGCAGCGGGGAAGCCCTCCACAAGGAGGTAAGCGGTCGGCCGGCCGGCAAGCGTGATAGGGAACAGCGTCACACCGCCCCGCAGCGTTCGCTTGAAAAAAATAAACGCGGCCGTACATACCTGCCGGGACGTATTCCGCTGTCTCCAGAAACGTCTGCAGGACTACGTTTTCAGAATAAGCTTGAGTTGCATTTCTGTGTGGAGTTTGCATGTTCTCCCTGTGTTGCCATTGGTTTTCTCCGGGTGCTCCGGTTTCCCCTACAGTCCAAAGACATGCGGTATAGGTGAATTGGATGAACTAAATTGGCCATAGTTTATAAGTGTGTGTGCGCGAATGAGTATGTATGGGGGTTTCCCATTACTCGATTGCTGCTAGAAGGGCATCCGCTGCGTAAACATATGCTGGAATAGTTGGCGGTTCATTCCGCTGTGGAGACCTCTGAAATAGAGACTAAACTGAAGCTGGTGAGATCTGCTCTAATGCCGACTGTATCATTTTCAAGTTCTGTTCATTATTTTACAGCGTTGGCACTCTTTTCCTCATTGTTTTTAGCAAGTCCCACACAAAAGGGCAACATTAGGAAGGAACCAGCAGAGCGCATGACTTGCAACTGTTTTTCTTTGTTCATTCAAACGACAAGAGCAAATTTATTCTGCACCGTGGGCAAGAAAAATGCCAGGAATGCCGTGTATAATACAGCCGTCCATTTAATGGCTTTGTCTCATTCTCACTGGAAGCAGCATCTTTTCTGTGCTGTTCGATGCAGCTGCAATGAATGATCCTAAAAGAAGGCGTCCCGACCCATACAAATATATCAATAGAGTCAATGGTCAGTGCTGTCGGCCTGTGTACTGGAGCTCATTCAAGGTTTTCAATGCCTCTAATGGACACAGACGCGTTTTGTTTTCTGCTGTAAGTCATGTGGAGCCTGAGGGGTCATTGGTTTGGTTCTGCTCCTCCCAAAACTGGCGCTCTGCTTGTTTAATCTGCTGGAGAAAGAATAGCAAAAGATGATGGCATGACGCTGCAGCGCCTCCATGTGGCTGGAAAAGAAACAGGCCAAATACTGTACAATTCTGCAACACTTGCCAAGGAAGAATAATTAATTTAATAATTAATAATTAATTAATAATTTAATTTCCAAATGATTCACTTTTGGATATTTGTTGTACCTCATAAATACATTTTTCCATTCATTCATACATCTTCTTTTCAGCTTAGTCCCTTTATCAATATAGGGTCGCCACATCGAATAAATCACTATCTTATCCAGCATACGTTTTATGCAGTGAGTGCCCTTCAAGCAGCAACCCATCACTGGGATTCACCCATTCGCTCTCATTCTCATTTATTTTAGTCTATTTATTTTGTTTATTTAGTTATTATTTATTTCGTCTATGTTATTAGTTAGTCACACACACACATGCACGGGCACACGCACAAAGTATTATTTAAATCTGAAAAAATAGCAAAATAGGATTTAAACATCTTATTTAATTAGAAATGATCGTTTAATTTTTATAGCTTATTTAGTTATTTTAAAATGTTATTTATTTACAATGAATTAAATGAATTAAAAAGAAATAATTTTACGTCATATATTAAGTTTTTAGTTATGTCCACAGATTTTTTACAAAATTACTAAATGAGTAATTTTCATGTAGTCTCAATTTTTTTTTTCCGTAGCTTTAATGATAAAAGCATAATGATTTCTGTTCTCTGTTAACTGCAGGATCTTTAACATCGGCAATGGCAAACAGAAGAAGGTCTACAAGGGATCCCAAGGGGAGGACGGGACCGTTATCAAGGTAAACAGACCTTGAATTTCTTCAGACACTGCTTTTAACATCAGACGCACAGGTATTGATCCATCTGAATGTGGTCATCAGGTTCAGACAGATCCATCTGGTCTCTATGTTGCCACAAGCTGCTCAGACAAAAACATCAGCATCTTCGACTTCTACACTGGAGAATGTGTGGCCACCATGTTCGGCCATTCTGGTGAGATCCTGTAAAAGACAGTAATGCTCCATCTGATATAAGTAAATCTCCACAAATTCAATCTAAATTAAGCACAAATTGAAGTGTTTGTTTTTTTTTTGTACACTTTTAGAGGTTGTAACGGGAATGAAGTTTACTAATGACTGCAGACATCTGATAACTGTGTCTGGAGACAGGTGGGTTTTTGCGAATCATATTTCTCAGTTGAAGAATCAATTATTGTATCCACCATATCTCGGTCACCATATCTCGATGGTAAATATGTCTGTGCTGTGTGTGTTTAGCTGTATCTTTGTGTGGCGGCTCTCTCCTGAGTTGACCATCAATATGAGACAACGGCTCTCAGACCTGAAGCAGAACAGCAGACCTGTACAGAAGACTCCTCCAAACAAACAACACACACTTAGGTATGAAACCAGTCACACTCTTTACCCAGCTAGCTTTGTGTGTGTGTGTGTGTGTGTGTGTGTGTATGTGTGTGTGTGTGTGTTTAAATGAAGTCTATTAGATGTCTAAACATAGACGTCATGGCTAAAATGAGGCTAAATTTGGGCTTTCAGTGAAAATCTTACGGAACAGAAGTTAAACAATAGACTAGTCATCAAATGAACAGGAATGAATGGCTATAGTTGACGCAGTTGCGCAGTAGGTAGTGCTGTGCTTCACAGCAAGAAGGTTGCTGATTCGAGCCTCAGCTGGGTCAGTTGGCGTTTCTGTGTGGACTTTGCATGTTCTTCCCGCGTTTGCGTGGGTTTCCTCTGGGTGCTGTGGTTTCCAGTCTAACAAAGTGACTTGTACTGACAATTTCATTCATTTTCCTTCGGCTTAGTCTCTATTTCAGAGGTCACCACAGCGGAATCAACCGCCAACTATTCCAGCATATGTTTCACCTGTAACATATGTAACATGTCATTCCACCCGCAACCAAGTACTGGGAAACACCCATACACTCTCACATTCCACACACACTCATACACTACTATGGCTAATTTCAATTCTCCTATACTGCATATCTTTGGACTGTGGGGGAAACCGAAGCACCCGGAGGAAACCCACACCAACACCACACAGAAATGCCAACTGACCCAGCCGGGACTTGAACCTGTGACCTTTTTGCTGTGAGGCGACAGTGCTAACCACTGAGCCATCGTGCCACCCTATTGATGTTTTAGTAGTTTGAAATCTTATAATGCTTCAGAAAGAATATATAGAGAATTAAGTCTGTAAAATGGCAGAAAATGCAGTTCATTACAAGGTTTTTGTAGCGCAATATACAAGACCAACACAGACAATATTTCACATTAAACTATTAAAAATGTTTAGAAAAGTCACGTGTGCTGTCAAATGGATGAAGATCTTTTCTTTAATTGCTGGTGTTTTTTGTAATTGCGTGTGTTTTCTTCAACTGCAGCACGTTAAACTCTCTCGGCCCCCATATAAATAGCAATGGACTACACTGTAATAAATTATCCGTAAATTAGCAGTTTTCCGTATTTTGTAATTCATGTTTTATTTGTTTTCTCCATTTATTTATGTTTTTGAATTGCATTATGGGACTTTGATCTTTCTTCGAGCAATATTTAACCTTGAGAAGTTCGAAAAAGTGACTTTTATAAACATTTTCAATAGTTTAAAGTGATATATTAGCCCCTTTCACACAGTGATACCGGTAAATATCTGGAAAATTTCCGGAAAGACTTTACCGGTATATACAAAAAAGCGCTGTTCACACAGGCGAGGACGTTACCGAAATTTTCCGGAAAAGAGCATTCACACATCCATTCCAAAATACCGGTAAATTCTGACATCATTCACCACAAATGAGCTTTAAACGGCTGCGCTTGTATTTGCAAACATTTGACTAAATTACAAACTCTGTGGATGATCAATATTGTGAACAACTTTCGCTGGATCACTTTCGCATGTCGAGATGTTCATAATATGTGCGTGTGAAGGCGCTCACAGGTTGTTTCACAAGCACACGCAAAGCTTGAAGGTAAACAAACAACGGCTTATCATAAGCATCTCATCGATGATTATTTACACAGTTGCCATTAAGAAGAACATATAAACGTGATCTGACTAACTTCTAGCAGCTAAATGTGTCTGAAAAAATTTTCAAAGGCTTTTATCCTCACAAACCGCGCGGACGTAAATGCGTCTGACTGTTGTGATTGGCTAAAGCAGACGTCTCACGTCAGCACGTTCTAGACGTGCACGCGCTTATTACGGGAATCTTCCTTCTGCATTCACACAGCGCAGCATTCCGGCATTTTGCCGGTAATGTTACAACTTCTCTTTCCGGAAAATAGCCAGAACGAATTTACCGGTATTTTCAATAAGGACCGGAAAATTGAAAGGTTGTATGTGTGAAAGGGGCTATTGTCTGTGTTGGTCTTGTATATTGCGCTACAAAAACCTTGTAATAAACTGCATTTTCTGCCATCTTACAGACTTAATTCTCTATATATTCTTTCTGATGCATTATAATATTTCAAACTACTAAAATGTAAAACTTATAAAATTTCTTAAAATGTAAACTTAATTTGCTGGCGTTTTGTAATTGCATGCGTTTTCGTAAAGGGCACATATGGTGAAAAATCTACCACAAATGCATCAAATACTCATTGTTAAAGTTCTTACAGTAGTATTTCTCACAAACGCGACGTGAGATCTGCTTCCTTCATGTCTGTCTGTGTCTGAAGCAGTCGAGGGAGGAGGCTCGCTGACAGGCACGTGGGAACGGTGAGCGTGAACGACTGTCCTTAAAGGCGCAATTTACAAAAACCGCTACCTGATGGTTAAAGCTATAAAATAGAAACTTGTAAAAGGTAAGGTATAAAAAATCTGATGGGTGTTTTAAGCTGAAACTTTACAGACATATTCTGGAGACACAAAAGGGGTAACCTAGGTGCCCTTTAAATTGCAGCACATTAAGCTCTCTCGACCACCTTAACCCTTTTTTTTAATTCACTTCAAATGTTGACTACTGTAGACTTAAATATTGCTAGATGACCATTCGATTTTCACTTACAGCCCACATTTAGGTTAGTTTTATCAAGCCAAGTTTAGACATCTATGAGACTTCTTTTAAGCACAAAAAATGTTTGGACGTCTATTAGACGTCTTTTTAAACGCAAAATTACTTGTGTAGTCATTTGTTAACTCCTACAACTCAAATAGTGATTTCATACTGTGCTTTTTGTGGTTTGTGTCAGTGCAAGGAAAGAAATCCACAGCGCCCCAGTCATTGGCACCATGTCGTCTGACAGCGACAAAGATGTGGAAGAGGAAGAAGGCATTGAGGAGGAAGATGAGATGTTCCCTCACTTATCATCGGGCAGCAGTGCTGGTGAGGACACAGGTAACACACTCATACAAAACTGGTTTGGCTTGTTATTATATATTCAGCTCTTTTGGTTTGAGGTTGGTCACGTTGTGTTTTTTTATAAGGCGAGACTGTGCAAATGTTTATTTGAAGCTTTGTGAGCTGTTAACATTGACGCTTGTTTCTTGTTGAAAGGATCTTCTGAAGAAAAGCACAATAGTCTCAACTCCCACATGAAGAAGGTAAGAACGATCATCTTACATCATTCTAGTTTCAATTTTCTCACCCAACTAGTGCTTATTAAAGGGATGGTTTACCCAAAATTTAATGATCTATTCTCCTTCATGTGATTTTAATGTTTCTTTCTTCGATTGAACTCAAAAGAAGATATTTTGATGAATGCTGGTTGCTTGTAATCATTCCTAAGTATAACCACTGAAGTCAATGCAAAGACTATAAAATACACAAGATGTGTCAGTCGTATTTTAGTTTTGAATGGGAAAAAGTGTAACGATCAATATGGCGAATGAAGCCCCGCCTTATAGGAGCCAATCAGCAATCGCTACAGACTGAGGATTCTCTGGGCTCAGACACGACACTCTTTAATATTTAAATGCAAAAACCTTTGATTGCATTTTTGGCTGTTTGTTTTTTTATTGTGCTGTTTTTATTTAAGTATGATTCAGGGAAACCTCTGAGCTCCTTTGCGTTGATGTTTGTTATACGTTCATAGACATAGAACGATTATAGAATCAAATCTATAGTCTACCAGATCAACATCCGTGAGTGAAGTGAGTAATGTTGGTTTTACCCGTACTCAATATTGGTCTCATGTCTAACTCATGTGCACACACACAAACACACACCCTGTGGGCACGTACTGTACGACTGACCAAAACTAAAACAATAACCAACCAAAACCAGCCAGATGATCAATTAATCTAACCTAACCCAATAACCAAAAAAACTAGCCCAATGACCAGTCAAAACTAGCCCAAAACTAAACCAATAACCAACAAAAACTAGCCCAATGACCAGTCAAAACTAGCCCAAAACTAAACCAATAACCAACCAAAACTAGCCCAATGACCAGTCAAAACTAGCCCAAAACTAAACCAATAACCAACAAAAACTAGCCCAATGACCAGTCAAAACTAGCCCAAAACTAAACCAATAACCAACCAAAACTAGCCCAATGACCAGTCAAAACTAGCCCAAAACTAAACCAATAACCAACCAAAACTAGCCCAATGACCAGTCAAAACTAGCCCAAAACTAAACCAATAACCAACCAAAACTAGCCCAATGACCAGTCAAAAGTAGCCCAAAACTAAACCAAAAACCAACCAAAACTTGCCCAATGACCAGTCAAAACTAGACCAAAACTAAACCAAAAACCAACCAAAACTAGCCCAAAACTAAACTATTCACCAACCAAAACTAGCCCAAAACTAAACCAACTAAACCTTACACAATGGCTAACCAAAACTAAACCAATAACCAACCTAAACTAGCCCTATGACCAATCAAATCTAGCCCAATAACCAACCAAAACTAGCTCAACCATAACAGTGAACCACAACTAGCCAAATAACCAACCACAACTAAACCAATAACCAACCAAAACTATCCCAATAACAAACTAAAACCCACCCACTGACCAATCAAAACTAGCACAATGACTAATCAAAACTAGCTCAAAACTTGCCCAATGACCAGTCAAAACTAGACCAAAACTAAACCAATAACCAACCAAAACTAGCCCAAAACTAAACTATTCACCAACCAAAACTAGCCCAAAACTAAACCAACTAAACCTTACACAATGGCTAACCAAAACTAAACCAATAACCAACCTAAACTAGCCCTATGACCAATCAAATCTAGCCCAATAACCAACCAAAACTAGCTCAACCATAACAGTGAACCACAACTAGCCAAATAACCAACCACAACTAAACCAATAACCAACCAAAACTATCCCAATAACAAACTAAAACCCACCCACTGACCAATCAAAACTAGCACAATGACTAATCAAAACTAGCTCAAAACTAGACCAATGACCAATCAAATCTAGCCCAATAACCATCCAAAACTATTTCAAAAGCTGACCAAAATTAAACCAATAACCATCCATTACTAGCCCAATGACCAATCAAAACTAAACCAATAACCAATCTAAAACTAACCCAATGGGCAATCAAAACCGGCCCAAAACAATACCAATAACCAACCTAAACTAGACCAATAACCAACCAACACTAGCCTATTGGCCAATCAAAGTAGCCCGATAATATCAAAAATGAAAACATAAATTTCAGCACTGTATGCACCATACTTCATTGAAAAGATAGTAGTAGTGTATGTCTGGCTCGGACCAGATGTGAGTGTCTCCAGATTTTGTGTAATTCGAACACTTAGAAATTAATTTTTTTTTTTTGTTGGTGATTCATAATATCAAATTTAATCGTAAGATTGGTGAGCAATTTTGGAGAATTTGATGTTTCCCCATTCAAACAGAACAGCCGAGAGGTGTTTCAAAGATGGCCGCCGACTTGCCTTAAAGGGACTTTGGTCAATAGGAGACAGCTACTAGCATTTTTTTAACAGAAGAATTTAACTCAAATAGGTTTTGAAAAGAGTGACTGAGGACAGATTTTAAATGTTTGGGTGAACAATCCCTTTAACGTACTGTTTGTTTCTTTTCAGCAATCCAGCAGCTCTGAACATGAGAGTTCAGGTTCACGGCCGAGACGGCGCTGGTCCAGGCGAATGGGCAGTATCGATCTGAAAGTCAAATCCATGTTGGACCTGAGACAGCTGGAGTCTTTCGCCATGCCCCTGTTCCCCAGCAAATCCCATGATGCTCCGAAAAACCCTCCAGCACCTAAGAATCAAGATCTCGGTAGCACCATCAGTTTGCAGACCCTCGCTGCATGGGTGAGACACAGAAGTATTCAAACAATGGCTATTACTTTATGTGAAAACTAACAAGCAATACTGGCTTTTTGTATCTTTTATATACAGTTGAAGTCAAAATTATTCGCCCTCCTGTGAATTTCCTTTCTTTCTCAAATATTCCCCAAAAGATATTTTTAACAGACCAAGGAATTTTTTCACAGTATTATTTTCTATCATATTTTTTTCTTCTGGAGAAAATTTGTTTGATTTCAGCTAGAATAAAAGCAGATTTACATTTTTTAAAAACCATTTTAAGCTCAATATTATTAGCCCCCTTAAGCAATGTTTTTTTTTTTTTCTCGATAGTCTACAGAACAAACTATTATGTTTACAAATGTGGAAAATGGGGACAAAAATATACAGGGGGGCTAATAATTTAGGAGGCCTAATAATTCTGACTTCAACTGTATCTAATGTGATGTGTGTCCAGTATAGTCTGTCAGAACTAGATTAAATAATCCTGAATGGTCTCCACTTTGGAGTTTAGACTGACCACCCTCAGTTTGTTTTTGCTTGAAATTTTAGGGTATATTTTATGAACCTGCAAAAATTGTAAGAAAATAAATGAATAAATATATATGTAAATTAAAAAATAAATAAATGTAACAAATGGAACCATACATTTATTAAACATAAATAAGGTAATATATAACATAATATAAAACAAATATATAGTATTTTTTATTAAATTGATTCCTAAATTATTATTTTTACTTTCATTCATTTATTATTTTCTACTTTTATTTTTCATTTATATATATATTTTTTCCTTTTAAACATTTCTTAATTATTTTTTTATGCATTTGCTTGTACATCTCTTTACTGAAAAGTAAAAAAGTAGCCCAAGTTAAATTAATTACATTTATTAATTAATTTGCCATTTGTGCACGTTTGGTCCTCCATAGAATGTGAAATGCTTGATGCTATAAAATAAACTGGCATAAAATAAGGTGGAAACTTCGCATATTTTCTGTGACGGTTTAAAAAGATAACAAAGACATTTTGTCTCCCTTTGTATCTTTCCTATAGATGCCTGAAGAGAATGGACAAACACGTCCTCATTACATCCAGCTGCCTCCTCAAACCCCAGAGACTGAGGTGCTGTATCCTGAAGGATGTGAAGACCAAAGCAGTCTTGCCGGCAGGTGGGTTTCATTAGGCACAAACCTGCACTATTTAAAAGCATTATCCACCCAAATAACGTTCGAGGTTACAGAAGTAACCCTTCGTTCCCCGAGGAGGGGAACGGAAGTGCCATGAATGGGAGGATTCGGATCAGAAGCCGCTTATCTGGAGAGTATTGAACGGGCCAATGAATGAAATTAATTGGCAGCGTAAGCTTGCGCAGGTGTGTGACATCTGCAATCATCTCAGCATATAAGCACACCTGAAGCCAGCAGACGCCATCCTTTTAAGCTGAAGAGACTTTCAAACAGCTAAGGGACAGTCATTATGGCGACGGAATATGGCACTTCCGTTCCCCTCCTCGGGGAACGAAGGGTTACTTCTGTAACCTCGAACGTTCCCCTTCGGTTGGGGAACTTCAGTGCCATGAATGGGAGAATATGGAAAGCGCCATAATGACTGCACCTTACCAACACCCCCGATGAGGAGATAGTCAAGCAAGCGTGACGCACCCACATCATGGGGGGCGCGGTCCTCCAACGTGTCCCTGGCCCTAATTTATCCTACTTCAACAGAAGTTTTACGGATTTAGATATATTTTTTGGGAAGTCGTGAGCATCTAGATAATTCTAGGAAATACGACAGTACGTTGGGAAGCGTGCAATCCCGATAGGGAGGACGCTGCGGAGGCCATCCGTTACCCAAGGGGGGGATAGATGGCAGAATTTACCTATGGACTAGCCCTAAAAAGGGGGAGTACGCATAGCAAGAGTGGTTAGCGGAGAGGGAAGACACGGGTCCGCCCAGGGGGGGGACTTAACCGTGGCGGAATAAGCATATGGGATCGCCTAGTGGGGATCACGCATAGCAGGCACCTATACCCAAAACGCGGGCTGACCAGCGGGCAGACCTACAACGTAGTGGGCCAGCAAGTGACTCCTCCGCTGAGTCAGTGCTGGGGGCCACGGAGGAATCTGCAGGGCTCACCTGACGGGGAACTTTACTGACAGATAAAAAAGGTGCACGTACCTCCGTGTTAGGGAGAATGGCGCAGCAAGCGTGTTTCAACACCCTACCGAGTTGTCTCCTCAATCACCAAAGGGTTACCTAATACCCTTGAGGAAACCGGCTCCACTCGCAGATTGTAAAACCTTGCAAATGTGTTGGGTGTCGCCCAGCCCGCAGCTCTACAGATGTCTGTTAGAGAGGCGCCGCGTGCATGCGCCCAAGAGGATGCAACGCTCCGAGTGGAGTGTGCACGTACTCCCGGGGGACACGGCTGACCTCGACTCGAATAAGCGAGTGAAATGGCATCCACAATCCAGTGGGATAATCTTTGTTTCGATACGGCACTTCCCTGCTGCCGACCGCCATAACAGACAAAGAGCTGCTCAGATGATCTAAAATTCTGAGTACGGTCCACATAAATGCGCAGAGCGCGAACTGGACAAAGTAAAGAAAGGGCTGGGTCTGCCTCCTCCGGGGGCAGCGCTTGCAGGTTCACTACCTGATCTCTAAAGGGGGTGGTAGGAACCTTGGGCACATAACCGGGGCGGGGTCTCAGGATAACGTGAGAGTAATCCGGCCCGAATTCCAGGCACGAGTCACTGACCGAAAATGCCTCCAGGTCCCCGACCCTCTTGATGGAGGCCAACGCAACCAGCAGAGCTGTCTTCAGGGACAGAAATCTTAGAGATACTGATTCGAGTGGCTCAAAGGGATCGGATCGCAGACTCGTGAGAACGAGGGCGAGATCCCAAGAGGGCATGAGAGGGGGGCGAGATGGATTAATTCGCCTAGCACCCCTAAGGAACTGGATGACCAGGTTATGCTTTCCCACGGTGCCGCCAGCTACCGCGCTATGATAAGCGGAGATGGCGGCCACGTAAACCTTGAGAGTGGAGGGCGACAGCCTGCTGTCCAACTTCTCTTGAAGGAAAGAGAGCACAACACTAATCTGGCAATTTCGGGGGTCTTCTCTGCGAGAGACGCACCATTCAGTGAATAGACTCCACTTCAGGGCGTAGGCGCGCCTCGTGGAGGGGGCTCTAGCCTGAGTGATGGTATTAACCACCGCAGTCGGTAGGTTACCTAAGTCTTCCTCGCGTCTAGGGACCACACGTGGAGGTTCCAAAGATCGGGGCGAGGGTGCCAGATGGTGCCCTGTCCCTGAGAGAGTAGGTCCTCTCTCAAAGGGATCCGCCAGGGGAGGGCCGTCGCGAGGAGTGAGAGCTCTGATATCCAGGTCCGGTTGGGCCAAAGGGGCGCAACTAGCAGAACCTGTTCCTCGTCCTCCCTGACCTTGCACAGAAACTGCGCGAGCAGGCTCACTGGGGGAAACGCATACTTGCGCATGCCCCGAGGCCAGCTGTGGGCCAGTGCATCCATGCCGAGAGAGCCCTCGGTCAGGGAAAAAAACAACTGGCAGTGAGCGTTCTCGGGGGAAGCAAACAGATCGATCTGGGCCTCCCCGAATCGCGCCCATATCAGCTGAACAGACTCGGGGTGGAGTCTCCATTCTCCAGGGCGTAACAGCTGTCGTGAGAGCGCATCGGCTGCACGATTGAGCGTGCCTGGGACGTGAATGGCGCGCAGCGATTTCAGCCGCGGGTGACTCCAGAGGAGCAGACGGCGGGCGAGCTGAGACATGCGGCGAGAGCGCATACCCCCCATGCGGTTGATATACGCCGCCGCCGCCGTACTGTCCGTCCTGACCAGCACGTGTTGCCGCTCCAGCACCGGTAAAAAGCGGTGGAGAGCGAGGAACACTGCCAACAGCTCTAGGCGATTGATATGCCAATGCAGCTGGGCACCCTTCCAGAGGCCCGCAGCCGCATGCCCGCGACACACGGCCCCCCAACCCGTGTTGGAAGCGTCTGTTGAAACAACAACATGGCTGGACGCCTGTCCTAGAGGCACACCGGCCTGTAGGAACGAGGGGTCGTTCCAAGGGCTGAGGGCGCGGCGACACAGCGCAGTAACCGAGACCCGGTGTGTGCCCGCGTGCCATGCGCGTCTGGGGACCCGATCGTGAAGCCAGTGCTGAAGTGGTCTCATATGGAGCAACCCGAGCGGCGTGACGGCGGCTGCGGATGCCATATGCCCCAGGAGCCTCTGAAAGAACTTCAGTGGGACCACTAGTTTGCTGTCGAGCTCCCTCAGACAGTTCAGCAACAGGCGAGCGCGTTCCTCGGAGAGGTGCGCTACCATGGTGATCGAGTCCAGCTCCATCCCGAGAAAAGAAATCCTCTGCACGGGGGCGAGTTTGCTCTTTTCTCGGTTGACCTGAAGCCCCAGTAGGCGGAGATGCCGAAGCACCTCGTCCCTGTGCATAATCAATTGCTCCCGCGAGTGGGCTAAAATCAGCCAGTCGTCGAGATAATTGAGCATGCGAATGCCCGCGAGCCGAAGGGGCGCTAGGGCACCCTCCGCGAGTTTGGTGAAGACCCGCGGAGACAGAGAGAGCCCGAAGGGGAGGACCTTGTACTGCCACGCTCGACCCTCGAACGCAAACCGCAGAAATTGGCGGTGGCGTGGAAGAATGGAGACATGGAAATACGCGTCCTTCAGGTCTATGGCTGCAAACCAATCCCGAGGACGAACGCATTGGAGAATGCGCCTCTGCGTGAGCATTCTGAACGGCAGCTTGTGCAGACAGCGGTTCAAAACGCGCAGATCTAGGATTGGCCGTGACCCACCGCTCTTTTTGGGTACGATGAAGTATGGGCTGTAAAACCCACTCTCCATCTCGGCTGGAGGAACCGGCTCGATTGCACCCTTCGCCAGGAGGGCAGCAATCTCCTCTCGCAAGACAGGGGCGGACAGGGGGTTGACCCTGGAGAAATACACGCCCGTAAACTTGGGGGGCCGTTTCGCGAACTGAATCGCGTAACCGAGTCTGATTGTGCGTATGAGCCACCGCGAGGGGCTGGCCCGCGCTAACCAGGCAGGCAGAGCCCTCGCTAATGGAGTCATCGCTACAATCGCTGACGTACCAGCGGTGGGGCAGCGCGGAGTGGGTGTGCTGATCCGGTAAGCACGAGGGTCCCGCGGAAAAGCTGGAGGAGAGCGATTCGCTCTGGCTCCGCACCCTGACTCCGGAGAGGGGGCTGGAGGGCTGAGGGAAGGGAGACCGTCCCCCCAGCGCTCGTGAGCCACTGGCGAAGCACGTAGAGTCTGCGAGCCGGAAGGCAGCGCGTCCCGGACTGGCAGAACTCGTGCAGTCACATCCGGGGAAGGGAAAAAGTGCTCTTTTACTGATGTTTTGGTGGCACTGAAAAGTACCGTTGTTATCGGGGCCCCGCCCTCCAGCGGGGAAAGAGCAAGTTTCCTCTTCTCCGGATGGCCTGTCTCAGGGACGCTTCGCGGTCCGTTTACCGGACTTAACGGCGCCCTGGGCAGGAGGGGCTACCTGCTTTCGAGGTGAACGCCGCGCCCGCTTGGCCGGAGGCGCAGGCGGGGGCGGGGCAGCACTCGTTGGCGGGCGCCCTCGGCGAGGAACAGCGGAGGTGGATGGCTCGGCGGGCGGAGCGGGCTTACGGCCACGCCGATAGATGACATTGCCCATCGCATCCGACTGCTCTTTCACCGCCTTGAATTCCTGGGTGAATTCACCGACGGTGTCGCCGAACAGGCCAGCCTGGGATATGGGCGAGTCAAGAAAGCGAACTTTGTCAACGTCGCGCATATCGGCCAGGTTTAGCCAGAGGTGGCGTTCCTGAACCACAAGTGTGGACATCGTCCTCCCCAGCGCACACGCGGCGGACTTAGTAGTCCGAAGAGCATAGTCGGTCGCGGTGCGCAGCTCATGTAATAAGCTTGGGTTGGACCCGCCCTCGTGCAGCTCGGCCAGCGCCTGCGCTTGGTAGCGCTGGTAGGTGGCCATCGCGTGCAAAGCAGAAGCAGCCTGGCCCGCAGCCTTATAAGCTCTGGCTCCGAGGGAGGCAGACAACCTACAGGCTTTGGACGGGAGGCGGGGCAAACCCCGCCACGTAGAGGCGCCGCGCGGACAAAGATTGACCGCGATAGCGCGCTCCACTGACGGGATCGCCTCATACCCCCTGGCAGCTCCGCCGTCAAGGGCGGTGAGGGCGGAGGCACTCGCAGCACGGGAAGAAGGGGACGAGAGGCTTCGAAGGCTTCGCCTTCTGGTCCTCTACGTAGCACCCATCTAGTCGGTCCGGCCGCGGAGCTGGGGGATAAACCATCTCCAACCCCACGGCCGAAGCAGCCCGGGAAAGCACGGCTAACATGTCCGCTTCAGGATCCGATTTGACAGCGCTCACCTGCCCGGAGGGGGCGAGCGGGTCCGGATCTTCGTCGGACAGTGAAAGCCCACCCTCCGATGCCGCGGAGGACATCTGATCTCCGGTGTCAGCGAGTGTGAGAGCTACCATCTGGTTAGACGGATCACTCTCACCACCCGAAGCTTGGATGGAGCGCCGTGAGGAGCGAGAGGTCCGCGAGCCCGTGGGCGGCGGATTAGCTCCCGCTGAAACCCTCAGATCTGCCCGAGCGCCCGCTGCTTTTTTAGAACAGGAGGCAACTGGGGTGGCTCGCTCTCTTGCGAAAGTTAGCCGCGATCTTAGCTGTGCAACGGTCATGGCATCGCAATGACGACATGAACCGCCCGCGAGCACCGCATTAACATGCTGGACCCCCAAACATGCAATGCAGTGATCGTGTCCATCATCCGGAGACAGGAAACCCCCGCATCCAGAAACGCACAGTCGGAGCGCCATCCTGAAAAGGACGTGCTGCACGACTGTGTTGCTCTTTTAGGAAAGTTGCAACTATACGCACCGCTCTGGAGGACCGGACCCAAAGAACCGCAGGCAAGGGAGTAACCCAGCTCGACCGTCTGCCACCGCGAAGACCCACTCTGGACCGGGAGACACACTCGTTCGCTCTGAAGTGCTGATCAGCAAGAGGAACCCTCATCGACTCACTCAGAAAGGATCTGAAGCGAAAAGGATGGCGTCTGCTGGCTTCAGGTGTGCTTATATGCTGAGATGATTGCAGATGTCACACACCTGCGCAAGCTTACGCTGCCAATTAATTTCATTCATTGGCCCGTTCAATACTCTCCAGATAAGCGGCTTCTGATCCGAATCCTCCCATTCATGGCACTGAAGTTCCCCAACCGAAGGGGAACTATATTTACTCACTCTTGTTTGGTTTCAAATCTCTATGACTGTCTACTGTGAAACACAATGATACTTGGGGAAAATTGGAAACTAATACATTTCATTGGATTGGGAGCAGCGAGAGGGGAAGGATTGGCAAAGGACCTAGAGCCTGGAATCAAACTTGGGTCATCGTGAGCACTTCTGTGCTATAGGTTGGCGCACAGTACCACTAGGCTATTGGTCAATATGAGACCAATACATTTTTCCAGAACACTCCAATTATTTTGAAAATAGGCTCATTTTACTACTCCCCTAGAGTTAAACAGTTGAGGTTTACATTTTTTTAATCCATTCAGCTGATCTCTGGGTAGAGCACTTTTAGCTTAGCTTAGCATATATCATTCAATCAGATTAGACCTTCAGCATCTTGTTCAAAAATGACCGAAGAGTTTCGATAATTGTCCTATTTAAAGCTTGACTCTTCCGTAGTTATATCATGTTCTAAGACTAACAGAAAATTAAAAGTTTGTATTTTCTAGGTCAATATGGGTTAAAACTTTACTGTCATTCTGGTGTAATGATCAAGGGATCATTGCCTTATTGTCTTAGCAACTTTTATAAATTCTGTCAGCCACACGATGTAACTACAGAAGAGTCAAGCTTTAAATGCTTTTTTTTCATTTAGAAAGATGCTAATGGTCTAATCTGATTTCATTATTTATGCTAAGCTAGGCTAAAAGTGCTCCTGCAAGATCACGTGAATGGATTCAAAACTCTAGGGGAGTTGCAAAATTTCCAAATAAAATATTAAGTGTTCCCTTAAAATATGCTGTATTTTCCATAGAACAGTAAGTAATATAAGTTTAAAACTTTTGAATGAAAAAAAAATAAATAAAACAAAACAAACATCCCAAACTGTTTTCCTGTAGCGCTGCTGTTGTGTTTTGTATTTGTGCTATTATATCTGATCTCTGTGCAATTTCTCTCTTTGCCTGTGTAGTGAGTATCAGGTGAAAAAGTTACCTCATGGAGTGAGATGCACTAAAGTGAACACTTGTCCTGAGAAGCAGAGTCCAGACAGCGCCTGCTCTATGGAGTATTCCAGCAGTCGCCTGTCCAGCCCCGAACATCCAGGAGAAGGTAGATTCCTCCAAAACTAACAGACTCAAACCATCATTTTATAAAAGCATCATTTGTAATGGATCCATAAGATGAAGATGTGTATATTGATTTATTATTATTATTATTATATATGTAAGCAATATCGCATGAGTAGCAGTGTGATAAGGCTGTATATCGGCACTGGTGGGAGGCATGCGTTGACTCGAGGCCACAGGCCAAGTGCCTTAGTGTGCCCCACCGGTGCCGATATACAGCCTTATTACCCTACTACTTGTGCAATATTGCGTTTATACAACAGTTCAACAGCATAATCATGTATAAAAAAGATCAAACACGGAGAGTCTTAAAAACCCTTTTGTACGAGGAACTACTTTCTTCCGCCACTTATTCACATCTGGAGCTGACTGTCAGAACAGCTAAAACCGTTGCCAGTTCACAAACGTCACTTTAAAGCTAGTATTTGGAGGATGGCGACGCAGTGAGTAGCACGTTCGCCTCACAGCAAGAAGGTCGCTGGTTCGCAGGTTCGAACCTCGGCTCAGTTGGCGTTTCTGTGTGGAGTTTGCATGTTCTCCCTGCGTTCACGTGGGTTTCCTCCGGGTGCTCCGGTTTCCCCCACAGTCCAAAGACATGTGGTACAGGTGAATTGGGTAGGCTAAATTGTCCATAGTGTATGAATGTGTGTGTGAATGAGTGTATGTGAATGTTTCCCAGAGATGGGTTGCGGCTGGAAGGGCATCCGCTGCGTAAAAACTTGCTGGATAAGTTGGCGGTTCATTCCGCTGTGGCGACCCCAGATTAATAAAGGGACTAAGCCGACAAGAAAATGAATGAATGAATATTTGTAGGATTCTTTAGCGTAATGTCTAAAGTGACGACAAAATAGGTCATTTTTGCTCAAATTTTAAGATTATAAGGCTGAACGGCATGAAATGCCATCAGTCTACAGAGATTTCCCAGTATTTCTCTGTTACTATCACGTTATCACATAAATTAACCCTGAAAAAGCCAAAGCAAAGCAAACACGCTTGACAGTGTGTCAAAAAGAGAAGACCTGAAAGAAGGATGTGTATATTTCTATGCAGACTCTGAGCCTACCGAGCCGCTGAGTGTAGACGGAAACTCATCAGAACTGGATATGGAGGATCTGGATGAGGAAGAGGAAGAGGGTTTAAGGAAGAATGATGTTCAGACTCCTGTACCTCAGACCCCAGACCAGGAGGCTTTTCTTAAGAGGCACTTTGCAAACCTGTCAGACCTCAACAACCCTGGTAGGGTGTTCACAATTCACTTTTCCTTATGTATTATAATAAAGACTTCTCATAATCTTTTTTTTTTTCCTTTGGCAGCAAGTCCAACTAGAGTAACTCCAAATATTTCTGACAGCAAGTCTTCAAAGTTCCTCTCTCAGAACTCTCCTAGCAGGTAAAACCGAGTCACTGCCCAACCAAATGACATTTGAGTATATGATTGGGCAAAATAAACTGCCAATGGGGGTAAGAAAAATAAACGTAATTCAAATCCAAAGCAAGATTGTTTTACTTGCCTTCTTGGCAGATTATTTGGCTTGTTTTAAGGAAAAACTCACTTAACTTTGACTCATTATTTCTGAAAACAAGACAATATCTTTTCCTTGTCTAGTAAATTCTTCCTGATTTCACTGATCAGAGAAAATACATGAAATGACCAGGCCCTTGCAGTTGACCATGCTTTCTTTCCTCACCAGAACTGCATTCCCATTCTCCTCAAACAAAAACAGTGACATTAAAACCACCAGTGGAGTTGTACGGCCCCTCGTCTCAGAAGTGCGGCCCCTCATGGAGAATAAGAGTCCATTCAAACAGCAGGAATCCCAGAGCTCTGAGAGGTCATCGTGTCAGCGTTTAATCCAGAAGAAACGCACACCTGTGATGGACTCCCGCAGACTAATCAGCCCCGTTGCTAAAGCTGCCGCAAATCACAACAGTTCTGCAGGCATGAGGAAAGCTCAGTCCATCCACAACATCTCCTCGGAAGGTAAAGCATCCATGAACTTGTAACTAAAGTATCAGTGTTGAAGGTAATGCGAGTTCCCGCAATCACGCTCTGATCTGCACCAAAACAATCGGCCTCAGATTGCCTGAGGTGGTCTCGGCTCGGTTGAAACAAACTCTAGAGCGCTTCGGTTGTAGTGAGAAAGCAACAAACTAACAAACAAACCAAGATATATCACATCATATCTGTCTTATATCCAGTATATGGCTATAAGAAGAGAGTATGATGAGTAGAGATATCAGTTCTACTGGTAAAAGTGTGTTTTATGTCGGATACAAAAGAATACAGTACGTAATATCACTCATTTTTAGTTAACTCGACTTGAAATGAGGCTATGAATGAGATATTCTTACCTTCTGATTTATATTTGGGGACGATGTCTGTGGATGTCACCATTTAAAATTAAAGTGCACCATTTCGCTAGAAACTTTGCTGTGTGAAAGCGAACCGCACAAAGAATAAAAAGCAACATTGTCACAATTTTAATTCCGGTTTCAGAACATAACAATCGATCTATTGACCTTATTCTAAAATGCGGAAATGCGCCTGTTTTCGCGATTGTCTTAGAACTTCCGATTCAGTCGCCTAAGGGAGAAATGACTAGGAATAATAAACGGCAGAAAATGGCCAAACTACTTGCTCAACAAACAAATGTTTGCATGACTACACAGACCAAGTAGCATAATATAATAACAAAATATTAAATTGCAACATCAAGCAGCGTAACAAGCAGTTTTTAACGTCAAAAAATGAATGAAAGTGAATGTGACCGGAAGTCGCAAGACAAAAAGATTCAAATGGCAGCGCCCACTCGACAGCTGAGAATAAGGTGAATAGGTGTGAAGGCACCCTGAGAGATTTTGGACAAAATCCGAGAGCTCTCACTTTGACCCTCTATAGAAAGCATGGTCATGAGATGCAGAAAAGGAAGCAAAAACAGTCAAAACATTTCATCTGACTTCAGTAGTTCAACTGTAATCCTGCAAGGCTCCAAAAAGATATTTATGCAGCAAAAAAAACTGTAAATATGACTATTTGCCAATGTCTTCTCTTCATCGTCAGGTCAGAGTGAGCGTTTATTACAGGCAGTACCCCATATTGAGTCAGTACTGCAACATGCAAGCATGGTATTGCCCATGGTAAATGCACAATTTGATCTGATAAAGGAGACATTGGTGAATAAAAGTCATTTTAAAAACATGTTTGGTGCACAATATTGTTCTTGGAGCTTCATATGATTACAGTTGAAGTCATATGGATTATTTTGACTGTTTTTGGTTACTTTTCTAGACTTGGAACGTCTTCTGATTGTTGATGTCTATGAAAGATCTCTCTGAAAGGAGGGAGCTCTCGGAATTTATCTAAAAATATCTTAGGTTGTAAAGATGAGTGAATCTGTCAGGTGATTGACATGAGAGTATTTAATAATTTGACTTTTTTATTAGATTTGCCCTAATTTCTTTGTTCTGCAAAAATTATGTCCAATTTCGGTAAATCTGTTCAGGGTATCATACGTGCTCGGCTTTTTCCCTGTTACTATTTACAAAGTCAGCAAGAGATTGATATAAAGTAAAAAAAAGTCTAATGTTTTCCAGCATTAAGTTGCTCTGGTGGTTTGTCTCTGTAGTAAAAATGAACTACATGTATTTGCTAAAGCTATAAATAAATGTTCCTCCCTCTTTTGAACAGTTGATTTGGTTCAGACATCCACTCGTCCTTCTAAGGAAGTTCATCCACAGCCCCAAGCCTCTGAAAGACCACGGCGATCCCTTCCCACCGTCCCGCTCATCAGCCCCACGTCTGCCCTGCCGAAGGATATCACCACCACACCTACCAAGTTAAAAGCGCGATCCTACATGAGTCCAACCACTAGCTCCATGGCCAAGATCTCCCGCTCTGCTTCCATGGGCGACAACTTGAATGTTGTAGAAATAGGAGAAGACACAGGATCTTCAGACCGGGGTTCATGTTCGGACTCTTCCAACTCCCGAAGCTCCTCACAGAGCAAGCCCACCACTCCTGTTACCCAGCAGGTCTCCTGGCCTAATACTTCAGCCTCTCCATTTCCAGGCCCCTATACTCCTCATGCAGCCGTCGTACCCACGCTGAGTGCTGGCTCTGGAAACTCTTCCTCTAAAGGTTTCCAGGTCAAACTGACTGGCAGTGCTCGACCCCTGCTCCATATAGACATTCCAAATCCTCTTCCGGATAAACCCTTCTTATCTTCCCTCTCGCCAAGCAGCAAGAGCCCCAAGGTTGCACAAAAGGAGCCCTTGAGTAGAAACCCAACGACGACTCCTTCACTTGCTGGAGCAGTTCAGCTTCCCAGCGGCATCATTCAGCCAGTCGCAGCTGTTCATTTGAGCCCATCTGAAACCCCAGACCAGATTGAACTCAGTATGGTCCTTGTTCCCAGTCAGACTAAGAACTTTACAGATGTTGAACTTCAACCGGATGCAGAGCCAAGTAAAGAGGACACTTCTGAGGCAGAGTGCTCTCCCATAAGCCAGAGCAGTCTTCTTCAGTCTACATCAGGAGCTCAAGACTCAGGTTTGCCAGGACATCAGTCTTCCCTCACTCCATCTTCTGTTTTGCTACGTCTCGGGCTGTCTAAACACTTTTTTACCAAAGGGCTCTGGCCTCTCTCACCCTCCACATCTTCCATCACTTCCTTCATCTCTTCTCCACCCATTAACCATTACCATCTGCAGGGTGAGGCATGCCCTTACTAACAGTTTTACATTTGCCCTTTAAAGCAGTGGTACTCAACAAGTTAAGGGACCAAGTTGGCACGCTTGCTAGAAATGTATGATCCTTAAAGGATCAGCTGTAATGCAGAGTGTGAAGACGCCACACTTAACATATGATGTTTTTCCACTGCATGGTATTGCTTGGGACAGCTCACTTTTGGCAGGTTTTCCAGTGTGTATGGTACCTATTACATGATATTTTGTTCAGTACCACCTCAGCAAAGATTCCATGTGAGCTGTACTGATACTAAAATGTGACATGTAAACTGTGCAGATTACTGATTGGCCAGTGAAAGTTGCCACTACATGTTACACTACACTCATTATAATACGAGAAACCAGTATCACCAGTCACATTTGTGATTGTTAAATGATCACAACTTAAAATGTCCATGTCAGAGTCAGCAGAGAAAGTACACACATTACTTGTGTTAATAGATGAGGAGTAGATTCCTGAAAAAAAAAATTATGAGGAATTGTAAAATGAAAAAGTTTCTCAGAAGTTGCAAAGCTATTGGCTGCTGGTGGCTACTACGGTTTGCGATGATGCCATGGCAGTAAAGGCAGCTTAACTTTACAACATCTCTAAAGTCCACTTATGTTAAAACAGTACTAAATTACAGTGGAAAGTGGAAAAACCTGCTGCAAGTGAGCACTTGGATTGGTAAAATACTCTAAATTCTAAGTATGGGTTACTACACTTCCATCACATCACTCACCCAATTTAATTAGGGTTAGACCTAGGGCCTACTCACACTATGCCATCCGTACCGTGCCCAGGCCCGTTTCCCGGATCGTTTGAGAAGTGTGAGTGCGCTTAATCGGGCTCAAGCTCGGTTCACTTGGCCGGCCCTGGCCCGGTTGGAAGAGGTGGGCCTGAGCGCACTTGGGATTTGGCGCGGTACGTTTGTAGTGTGAGTGAAAAACGCGCCAAAGCCCAAAACTGAAAGCGAGACGTGACTTTCAAGGGACTGTTTCATGTCTATTTATTAATCATTCTTACTGTTCAGTGAACGCAAACTGCCGTAGTTTATTAAAGACGCAAACCCCTCACTGCATGACAGCTGCGCGCCTTCAGCAGACCTCCTCATTCCTGCAGCATGAGGACTTTATGATTATGAGCGCAAAAAGTGGCGGATCTGTTCTGCGAAATGTCTGACTGCGTGTCACCACACCCCTAATGACTGTTTGGCGAAATATTTGACTGCATGTCACTGCATATCAATCAACTGACACGATATAACTAGAGAAATCTCCACTACTCCACTCTGCTGCTGAGTGAGAGCGAGTGAGAGCGCTTCTCACTGAACAGCACAGCAGCGATGATGTAACCATGCCCAGGCCCGACTGTGGTGTGAGTGCGAGCCGTCAGGGGAGACGGGAGGGGGGACAAGCATGCTTTGGCCCGGTTCGAGGCAACTGTACCTAGTGTGAGTACGGCCCTAAATTCAGCTGATCCCTCCAGGAGCAGAATTGGGCACACCACGTATCTCCATTTCTGCTTTTGGAGGACTGCATTTATCTAAAGTAGATGTGGCCAATATCGGTCCTAGAGGGTTAAGCTGCGGTCACCTTGCGCTTTTCCTCCCATAGACTTCCATTCATAGGTATGCGAATGCGTCTGAGCGGAGGGTCACCTCTCTGGACAGAAATTTAAAACATGGAGCAATCGCTTGCGTTTTTTAATGTCTAATAATCTTGTTTTATCCCACCCCTTTTCACCGAGCAGTACGACAGAATATCGCAAACCTTAACTCTGATGTGACCGCAGCTTCACTGTCGTGCAGAGTTTAGTCCCATCCCCAATCAAACACACCTGAAAAATATCAGCTATGTGTTCAGGGTTGCTTGAAATTAAAAGTGTGTTAGAGATGCAGTTCAAATCTAAAGCAGGGGTGCCAAAAGTTAGTTTGCATTGATCAAGGTTGGAGCTGAAGGTACATTTCTAGGAACAGGATTAGGCACCCCTGCTCTAAACAGTGATCCAAGTCCAAAGTCGCCTACTTCTGCTTTAGAGATTAGCTGAAACTCAAGTTAAACAAACATTGTCGTAAATTTTGACGTCTCATCAATTACAAATTATCAGACCGGAGGTTTTGAATATCAGAAAATAGACTTTATTCTCCATAATAAAGCCGAGAAAGAGCAGAGCAGACCCCAGAGCATTCTGAAGTCTCTCCTGGACACCTTCTGAAGTATCTGTGTTTGTTACAATTTTTATACAGGATTATTTGACACACCCCTAAGTCACTTTTTAACTCTTGACCATTTTTGAATAAGTTTTCTAGTCTAAGGGGTCCTGCTATTCTTGGCTCTCAGCCCACTAGCTCATGTCAACAGAGATGTTACAGGTCTGTGTCAGCAACTGTTTTGACACCAAAGTTCTCTCTCCATAGATGCAACTTGTGCAAAAGGATTAAGTGTTTACATACATTGTCATGAAAGCATAATCACTTGATAATATGTTACTCATTCCAACTTCTGACACATATACCTTCATAGAAGTATTTAACATAAATGATCAGTGCTTTACATATTCAGTTATTCTACACAATCAGTCACTCAGCCTTCTCCTAGTGTTGCTCCTGTGCAGGCATACTCATCTTACACAGACATATCACTGTATTTTTAACACAGGCTGGCATGTTTGCTTCAAACACTACATACATTTTGTGAAGAGAAAATTAACTGCTTTACACTTAGAAAATACTTCATACAGAGAGAATAAAATCTTCTTCAACATGAACATTTTATTTAGAAGGTTTGTCAAGAAGGTTGATGAGCTAAATCTGGCCTAAATACCAATCAGTCAATCAAATCTGTTCATTTGAGAAGTGTGTGCGCTCTGAATCGGGCTCAGGCATGGTTCAGTTGGCCGGCCCTGGCCCAGTTAGAAGAGGTGTGCCAAAGCGCGGTTAACTTGGGCTTTGGCGCGCTACGCTTGTATTGTGAGTGCAAAGCGTGCCAGAGCCCGTAACGGAAGACGAGATGTGACTTTTAAGGGACTGTTTGATATTCATTTATTAAGCATTTCTAATTTTCAAAGAACACAAACTGTCGTAGTTATTAAAGATACAAACGCCTCACTGCACGTCAGCTACACCTTCAGCAAACCTTCTAATACCTGCAGCATGAGGACTTCATTATTATTTATAAGCGTCAAAAGTGGTGGAAATGTTCGGCGAAATATTTCACTGCATATCAAACGACTAAAATAATATAACTACAGAAATTTCCAGTGTGCTGAGTGAGAGCGCTTCTCTTCTGTTAAACTGAACAGCACATCATAGATGGTGTTAGCGTTCCTTGGCTCAGATGCAATGTGAGTGCAAGCCGTTGAGAAAGAGGTTAGGGGGGACAAGCGTGCTTCGGCACGGTTCAAGGCAACTGTACATTGTGTGAGTACACCCTTAGAGATGGAGTTAAACTCTAAAGTAGGGGTCCCCAACGCTGGTTGGTTTGTTTTGATCAGGGTTGGAGCTGATCAAAGGACTGGGCACCCCTGCTTTAAAGGATTTAACAGTGATTCAGGTCCAAAGTTGCTTTAGAGATTAGCTGTAACCCAAATTAAACAAACTTGAATGTTTTATTTAGAAGGTTTATCAAAAAGGTTGACTTAAGCTAAATTTGGCCTAAATAATCACCAGTCAGTCATTAAATTTTCATCCTGCAAAAGTGTTTTATGATCAATCATTGTCCTCAGTTTTAACGGTTTGAGTTGCTGTTGGTTAGGAACAACACAAGATAACAATCCAAGCAATACTTCTTTGAATCACTTTGTGTTGAGTACCACTGCTCAAAATCATCACCTTTGTCTAGTTGAAATTTTCTTCTGTGTCACAATTGTACACTTTTGTTGCTTGGCTCATGATAAAACACAGTATGACTCCTAACAGAGCTGTATTTCTCCTCTGCAGACACATCTCTCAGCGTGGACGCTTGCAGACTGGTTGCCAGTGAATTGCAGAGCAGTTTTAAAAGAGCCTCCCACCTCTACAAAATGGTAGGTTATCATCTAGCCGCATTCGCATGTAATTGTAGAGCAGGGCTGCACTTCAACCCACACATCTGCCTAAAGTGTTATGTGCAGGCGGCTTGAATCTAACTTTGCATATGTGTTGTTGCTCCTGTAGCTAAGCATTTCCACCGACTCCAGCGAGGAGCAGCAGGAAATGTCTCGAGTGTTGTCTGAAGCGTTCGAGGCCATGAGGGACGAGCTGAATTGCCTGCCCCCATACACTCCTCCTCCGCCGAAATCGCCCAGTGCTAATGCTGTGCACACTTTAGCTAACAGCGACCCAACACTGGGTGACGACAGGACACTAGCCCTTCTGGAGCAGTACTCCAAACTGCTGCTCAGCGCCGTAGAGAAGAGGATGGACAACAAAATCTGACCACTCCATATGGATAACAGGATACCAAGCCATTTTAGATAGCGAGGAGCTTTTAATAAAGAGATTGGAAAGAAATGCCACTATCCTACCTCCCTGTTTAGCATGCTACTATGGCAGCAACACACTCACTTTTCTCACCTCTTCGCTGAATTTCCCGCCCTGCTACTAGAAACGTATTTGTTCATGGTGACCTAGACGTCATCGAGGAAAATAATTGGATATGTCCAGGTACAGATAAACGGAGGCCATTATCTTAAAGACGTTTTATATACATGCGATATTTTGACGCTAAAAGCAAACAGTAGTTGAGAGAAATGTCCAACAAACTTAATCTATTTGAACACTGGGTTTGATATTTTAAGACAACGATCAGCGCTCTCTTTCGAAGGGACAGGTATCCCTAGAAGTCTTATCAAGGTTTGTCACACTTTAACTTTTATTATGGAATGATTTTTTATATATATTGTATGTTGTGTTTGTGTTGATACTCTCAAGTTGAATTGGGACGTCGGGGGTGTGTATTTATTCTCATCTGATAGGTCAATGAGTCGCACAGAAGCTCTTTAAAGCGTGTTTGTTGTACAGTGTCAATCTTCTGATTCCCAGTAGTTTTGATCGGGTGAAAAATCTGGGAGACTTTTTGAAGGATGAATTGGTATCGCTTTTATTTGCAGGACATTTTCTTTTTGTATGTACTTGAATGGTAACTGTCTCATGGATACGGGTGCCTTAATCATGACCAGCAATTTGACTGAAGGAATAAATCTGGCGTTTGTAATTCAAGCAAGCTATAGAATCAAAACGACCAGTGATTTTTGGATGTTATAATTGATTCATTCCAGGTTGCAATTGGTGACTGCCATAAAAACACTGAATTGACACTCAAGGCTGATTGATGCCTCATTCACACTAGCAGCAACTTTGTTGCGCAGGTCTGTGTAGCTCTACAGCATGGAGAATACAACCGGCCTCTGATCAAGCTGAGAGAGCATCATGTGAGCTCTGCTAGTGCTCCTATTGGCTGTCGCTCAAGAAAGTCACTCCTCATTCGCATAAAGTTGAAGGACTCTCAATTTTGTTGCATTGCTCGACACGCCCACCTGGTCAACAACGGTCGCTGTCGCTAACATTAACAGACGGAGGTTGCCGGAAGTCGCTTAATCTCTGTCGAAATAACCGGTCGCTTGTCGCTTTGCTGCTACGAGTTGCTCATAGTGTGAATGAGACTTTATACTTCTGTGTCAAGTGTACGCGTATGGTCTGACGCGCACCTCTCAAAAAATGTAACTACAAGTCTCTGTGAAACTCTGTGATTGGTCAGCTTGGTATCGATGACGAGTGTGGGCAGTGCTGAGAGCTGCGAGCCCAAAGAAGCTAGTGTGGATTCAAGTTACAAGTGTGGAGTCCAGGGAAGGAGCTCTAGATGAAAACTGTTGTTTTGTGTTTACCTTATGATTAAAGTTGTTGCACGTCTGCCGGTTCCTGCCTCTGAATGAGCGAGTTTTCGCTACATGTAGTGTTTCTAAAAAACAAAACACCCATGAAGAAATTCGACACAGAGGAATATAAAAACCTACTGCCAGCTAGGGTTGGGCCGATAGATGATGCCATTGTCCATCGCCAATGGCCAATAGACAACACAATGCTGAGCCGGCTTCCCCGATCCTCCGCCCCGGCCCCGTTGCAAACCCACTCGTGAAAAATACACACTTAGGCCCCGTTTACACTAATATGTCTTAGTTTTAAAATAGCATTTTAGAACGAAAATGATCCACATCCACACCGTGTTTTACCTAGCATTTCTGAACAGCCCTTTGTCTGCTGAAAACGCACATCACATGACCATACACACACACAGCCACACAGACTGTCATGCGCTCGTCTGAGCTTTAGAGAGTAGTTCACGTCAGACAGTTTATCAAGGATGTACGGCTGAAACGCGTCTCACTATAGTTGTTAATTGTCATATTTAATTAATCTTGCCTCTATCTAACGACTCTTTGGTCTTTTGAATCTATCAGGTAACATGTCACAGCATCAGTACACTGCTTCAGTCTTTCACTTTCACACTTGTACTTAGGAATTTTTGTGAAAACCTCAGACACTGTTGGTTGTGCATCTTTTTTACCGACCAACCTCTTACGTAAAAAGTGATTGACAGGTGGTAATTTGTGTGCAACTTATCTTTTTTTATTTATGATTTGTTTATGGGTAAAACAGACCATGCGTGTCAGGTAGTTGAAATGGTAGGCTACAAATAATTGATATGTTATGAATTAAATAATTATTCATGAATAATGAATTCACCTCCGCCTATGACGACAATGCAATTGTCCATCGATGTTTCACATTAGACATAGCACGATGCCAAATTGGTCGACATCGGACAACCCTACTGCCAGCTAGTGTTTCGGAAGTGTTATTGCAGAGCAACACAAACAGCATGCAGAGGATTGGTCGGCTTGGTAGCCATGACGAGTGTGGGTGGTGCTGAGAGCTGCGAGCCTGATGGAGTGAGTGTTTAAAAGTGTCGAGTCCTGTGAAAAAGCTCCAGATGGAAACTTTAGTTTCGTTTACCTTACGATTAAAGTTGTTGCACGTCCGCTGTCTCACCTCTTAATAAGCGAGTTTGAGCTACTTGTACATTACGTTAGCATTCAGAAAAAACAAAAACTAGACACAGAGGAACATAAAAACCTGCTGCCAGCTAGTGTTTCGGAAGTGTTATTGCAGAGCGACACAAACAACATGCAGAAGCATAAATGCACAGCTACGCACAAGACAGGCGTTGTGGGTCACGCTGATCACTCGACGCAGAAGTATAAATCAGCCTCAAGGAAGATGATGCAATGACAAGCTGAAAAGAAAAGTTTCTTGAACTTCTGTGCACAAATTATGAGAAAGTTTACATGTTTTCTAGAGCTTTTGGTTTTGAAAATATCATCGTCTTTTTTAAAGTGCTTTCCAGTGATGACTTCTTAAAGGTTTGTTTTATTGTTATGTCATTTACTCTAAAGCAAAAACAAAGGTCATTCTGTAATCCACAACACATCTTTCTTCCTTCTTTTCCGTAATTATGTACAGCGAGACACTTTTTTTGTCAAGCCTAAATCCACTGATGAATAATGTTAAATGTACTGTAACTTCCTATATAGATGGAGCTGCACATATTTTCTAGTGTCCAGCTCTGCTACTGATGATCCCGAGCTGAAGCGAGGTGCACACTGTACGATTTTGGGATATTAAACGAATCTTGAATTTTGATTCGATCGCACAGATCGGACATGCTGTTTGGAAAGGAAAAATGTGAGAACACGGCACGATTGATATTGTACGCTTTCAGTTGTGACCAAAGATCGTACAGTTGATGTCATATAATTGCCTTTTATACAGGGTCATACTGTTTTGTGGCAAAATAGGGATTATAAAATGGCACAGTGTACACCCAGCTTAAATCAACACTGCAACTAGTTCAGTCCAGCTGCAACTTGCCTGGTGCCTGAGATGCATAAATTGTACTTACTGACTCAAATCTTGAATCTTTCGACAATTATTTGATTTATTAAAGGTGAAGTTCAGCCTGAAATTGAAGAAAAATGCCTCATTTATTTTCTTTCATGTGGTTTTAAACTGGCGGCATGGTGGTTAGCACTGTCGCCTCACAGCAAGAAGGTCAATGGTTCCATTCTCGGCTGGGCCAGTTGGCATTTGTGTGTGGAGTTTGTCCTCCGGGTGCTCCGGTTTCCCCCACAAGTCCAAAGACATGCGCTATAGGTGAATTGGGTAGGTTAAATTGTCCATAGTGTGTGTGAATTGGTGTGTATAGATGTTTCCCAGTGACGGGTTGCAGATGGAAGGGCATCCGCTGTGTAAAACATATGCTGGATAAGTTGGTGGTTCATTCTGCTGTGGCAACCCCTGATTAATAAAGGGACTTAGCCGAAAAGAAATGAATGAATAAAATTGGCCATAGTGTATGAGTGTGTGTCTGTGAATGAGTGTGTATATTTGTTTCCCAGTACTGGGTTGCGGCTGGAAGGGCATCCGCTGTGTAAAATATACTGTATGCTGGAATAGTTGGCGGTTCATTCCGCTGTGGCGAAAATGAATGAATGAATGGTTTTAAACCTCTGTTGAACGCAAAAGAAGACTTTTTGAAGATGGTGGTTCTATGACTTCCATGGCACGGGACTAAATGACTATGGAAGTCAATGGGTGTGCACCAACATTTTTCAAAACATCACCTTTTGAGTTCAACAATAAACTCAAATAGATTTTTAAACAATTGCGTGAGTAAATGAGGGCAGAAATAAAATTTTTGGGTGAAATATCCCTATGTAAAATGTGCAGTTACAACCAAATGCAAATATTTACTCAATATATACACCGCATTCACCAATGGCAGATTGCACTGGCAGTTATGTAATAAAAGGAGTTTTGTGTATGCAGAAAAAGCACCATCTCGTGAGAGAAGTGCTATGGCTTTAAGTGAGACTGGAAATGCATGAGATAAAAACATATTATATACGCCCAAACAGACGTGATTTATCTATCTAGTGGGCTTCAGTGATGTAGCAGAAATGAAAGCGTACAGTAGGACTTAATCAGTAAGAGAATCAGCATGAATCCACATCATATGCATGGAGAACGGCAGAATTTAGGGATGGCTTTCTGAACTAGAATGCATGGTTGTATGCTTGACCCATCATGCAACTCTTCAGCTTTCAGCTTTTTTATTTTCTCTGTGGTGAGCGGCTTTGCTTTTTTATGCAACTAATGGTCAATCGATTATGACGTAGTCTAGGATTACAGACGGACCGGTGGTTCCTCAGACTGTTTCTTTTTGGAAACTTTTGTCTTACCTTTTGCTCCAAACCGAAGTCAAGTGTTTCTATTCTCAGTGTTTCTACAAGCTATCCCCTGAAATCTCTTTCTCAGAGAAGTCAAACCAATAAAAATGTATTTATTACAAGATGAACTGCATTGTTTTGTTTCTTATCACAGTCTCAGCATGTTTCAAGTCAAATTTAAGACCTTTTAAAGACCCTTATGAATGAAATTTCGGACTGCTACAGGGCTAAATGCTATAGATTTTTTTGAATGGCCAGTTGGTTGAGCAGAAGTTCATTCGGAAATTTCTGAAAAAATTAAATCTTAGCCACATATTTTAAATAATGTTCGGGCAAAAAACAAGCAAACCCTAGACATATATGTACCGATTTTATCAACATAACTTTAAAGAGCCCTTATTATTGGTTTCTGAAAATGAGCTTTCATGCAGTGTGTAACAGTAAATGAAAAGTGAATGAAAACATCCAGGCGAGGTTTAAATCTGATAGAGCACTGTGTTTAAAACTAGATTAACGAAGTAGTTGAATAAATGAATCGTGTTAGGTTCGGATCTTTTGCCTGAATTCGTCAACGTCGATACAGTATATCACCAAATATCTAATGTAATGTAATGTAATGTAATGTGTATTTATATAGCACATTTATTGTGTATGGCCATACACCCAAAGCGCTTCACAATCATGAGGGGGGTCTCTCCACACCACCACCAGTGTGCAGCGTCCACTTGGATGATGCGACGGCTGCCACAGGACAACGGCGCCAGTGCGCTCACCACACACCAGCTATTGGTGGAGTGAAGAGATAGTGATAGACCCAACTCAGTGGAAGGGGATGATTGGGAGGCCATGATCGTATGGGCCGATAGAGGGACTTTGGCCAGGGCACCGGGGTTACTGACAGTGTAGTGTCCCCATCACTTTTACTGGGGCATTAGGACTCACATAGACCACAGGTTGAGCGCCCCCTGCTGTCCTCACTAACACCACTTCCAACAGCAACCTAGTGTTCCCTAGTGGTCTCCCATCCTGGTACTGACCAGGCTCAGCCCTGCTTAGCTTCAGTGAGTAACCGGTCTTGGGCTGCAGGGTGACATGGCTGTGGCCATCTAGTGCCGAATCCGGTAAAACGTGAACGTGCCTTTTCCTTCAGACACTAGCAGAGCGCGGAGGATCATGGGACTGATCATGACATGAAGGTGACGATCACTGCAGATGGGGATTCAGCTGAGGGGAATAAAGGGTTAAAGTTTCACAACAATACCAAAGTACAGCCAACCATGTGCTGTGCTTGTTCCTGCCATATTTCAGATTTTTGATACAATAACTTATGCAACGATACAGGATTCATCAGCCGTTTGCTATTAAAGGAAGGAGCAGCAGACTATTATGTATGGGACTTTGTCAGTAACTGTTACAGTTCATATGGACCAGTTTCTTCTTCCTCCGGATCGTAACATGTAAGTGTGATTAAAATTGTTGTCTTGTTTTCTGTATTTTGCAAAATATGTATTTAATAGTGTGTTGTTACTTGTAATCGCTCTGCATAGCTTGTAATCACGGATCTATGATAGATCAGTGCTTGTACTGTATCTCTCAGGTTAAATCTGTATGGGGCTGTTCACATATTGTGTCCAAAACTACGTTGAAAACGTGATGCGTGCTTCTTTACTGATTTAAATGCATTTCTGAGCTGTTGATCCTCTGCTGTTTGCCTTTGCTATGGCCACCATCAGCAGTTATTACATTGGTGCGGCGCGGTCAATTTTCAAAATAGTTCAACTTTTGCCACTGTGTGGATTAATACTGAATATGTGTCGCTGTCATTACTTGGGATTAGGGTTAAGAGTAGAGTAATATGCTGGTGATTAACTGCATTGCTTTATTGGATTGCTGCATTGGGGTCTGACACACTCTCTGCTACTTCATAACCATGGTGGACGTTTCTCTGTCTCGCATTGAACCAGTCGACCAATCGCAACAGACTGGGTCATTGGACCAATCACAGCAGATTAGTGCAAAGCAGGGGTTTGGAAACAAATGAATCACTGAATAAATCATATGGGAGTCGTTGGGATAATAATTAGGTAAAAATAAATAAATATTATAAGACAACAAAAGTGTTTTTTTTTTTTTTTGACCTTGCATGCTCATCGCTCCTTAAAAAAATAGGACCTTTTGTTATGTAAAATAAGGGCTTTTTAAAACTTACAAAATATATATATATATAATAAACTACTCTATATGGTCTATATATAACGGAGGCCAGCTAGTGTGTACTGTGCAGGTAAACCTCACTCCTCTGACCTCTAAAGGTGCTCTAAACGCTAGAGGCCATGGTCTTTAGCCTCCTTGTTAGAGCAACCGACTCCCATGCGGAAGGTCGCCGGTCCGAAACCAGCTTGGAGCGGGTTGGTTAGCGTAGGACCGGTGGGGTTACATTGGTGCCGTGACCCGGGTGGGAGTAAGGTTTAGGGGGGGTGAGTGTAACGGAGGCCAGCTAGTGTGTGCTGTGCAGGTAAACCTCACTCCTCTGACCTCTAAAGGTGCTCTAGCGACAGACGCTAGAGACCATGGTCTTTAGCCTCCTTGTTAGAGCAACCGACTCCCATGCAGAAGGTCGCCGGTTCGAAACCAGCTGGGAGCGGGTTGGTTAGCGTAGGACCGGTGGGGTTACATATACATACAATATTATTGTAGGGATGACAATTTAATGCTATTTGTAAGTAGAGTAATAAAACAGATTTCTTGCTGGTGATTGGATGGGTGTTGGTCTGATTGGGTATAGCATTAGATGGAAATGGTAAAATTAAGACCTCAAGACAACATTTTTAAGTTTTTAAGGCAAAAAAAAATGTTTTTGAAACTTTAAGATTCATATATTTATTCCATATTGCTAAAAATGCAACTGCACGAGTCTTCAGGTGTAAAGCCAACAGCTGTTGATAATGGTTCATATCCACCAAATGTTCACCTTTGAGCTGAATGTATGATGTGGTAAAAGCCTCAAAGTGATCCCACAGCGTTTGTTAGAGCCTCCACCAGCTGGAAGTAGTTATACTTGATATCATATTCCATGTCATACCAGAAATTCACTGCCAAGACAAAGAGAAAGATCATTTTGATTTGAGATAGATGAAGTACACAAAACAATAAAGGTGTGTGTCCACCGAAGGATTTTTTTTTTGCGCTGCAGAAATGTGAGATGAGCGTTATTTTCTGTTGTTGTCAATGTAAACGTCAGGTTTTTAAAACACCAGCTCTGTAGCCACAAAAACTATAGAATACACAGGACGTGTCACTCATAATTTTAAATGGGGAAAAGTGTAACGGTCAATATGGCGAATAAAGCCCCGCCTTCTAGTACAGGAGCCAATCAGTGATTGCTATCCGCTTGTTAAGTGTGAAGTCACGCAAAGGGGCTTCCGGGTCCAAGCGCTCTATTCAAATGTATGGGGAGACTCATGAAGTGGTAATTTTAAATGTTTACAAAGCGATTTAATACTTTCAAAAATCACGATCACAATATATATGTCCATGCCTAATATCCGATGGCCAGAAAGTGATTCATTTTTTTATAAATTGTTAAAATTTTAGTATTTGTGATGCAGCAAGCCCAGAGATTGTTGCGTACACAATGGCTGCGTCTGAAACCGCATACTTCCATACTATATAGTACGCTAAAATCAGTATGGGAGCCGAGTAGTACGTCTGAATTCATAGAATTCGGAAATCAGTAAGTGAGAAGTACCTGGATGACTTACTACTTCCAGCGAGATTCTGGAGTGCGCATCCCATGCACGCTGCGCTATCCTATAATGCCCCGCGAGAGAATTCATGAATGGAAATGAAGCGACGCAACTGACGCAGGTAGGTCACGTGACCATGACAAAATGGTGGATGTAGTACGCCCCATAGATGTATACATTAGATGTCACCTGGCCTATTGTTGTCTATTGGACGGAATGCATCAATAGCGCCGCCATCTTGCTACAGGGTAGCGCTCCTTTGAAATGAATGCGGGACCAAGGTACAGTGGAGGACTGTGGCCATCCAAAGCCAGAGATATACACATATACACATATATCTATGATCGGGAGTTTTCCTGGATGTTATTATGTCATTTTTTTTTCCTAATTACGAAAATTATAATTTTACATCACTTTTCTACATTGATGGATCAGTGACCGCACGGGCATTCCTGACAAAGCTTGTGTTTTTGTGTACAGAAATGTACTATTCACCCTCCCTGTTAAATTTGATCTAATCATGTCCAGAAACACACCTCCTCTCCTGCTTTCACTTCTCATACTGACGGAGGGAGTGATTCGTTTGTGAATGAATCTCCATTATGAATGACTCCTTCTCTAACGTTAGCCGACAATAATACAAGTTTCTGGCAGCGCAGCATCTCGTTGTCATATTTCTTTAGCATTGTTTGCTGATTTTATTCAACAAAACTAGCATAAGCCGAGTGTTTAGTGCGAGTTGGAGCTGCTTTGCCGTATGGTGAATGCAGTAAGTGACTGATATCATCAATAACGTTACCTGATTAGCACAAAAGTTCAGAACATACAAAAACAGAAAAAAACGTAATATTACCTATGAAATGTTCTGCTTTTGTGCTTTGTTTTCTTTGTTTGCTCGTTACTACACCCGTAGACAGCGCTAAAGTCCCGCATCTTCACGTAATAACATTGTCTTGACTAGTGCGGTTGAATGACATTTGTCCTGGGACCACTGTACCAATGTGGCGGCGCTATAGACGCATGATCAGGGTCCCTATGCGATATCTAGTGTATATATCTATGGTACGCCCGAATTCCATTCATATTGCTCACATTCATACTGTATAGAACGTACTTTTCTAACGGCGAGTAGTACGTTTAAATTCGAATGTAGTACCTACTAAGTAGCAGGCAGTTTCGGACGCAGCCTATGACTTTATATAAAATTAACTTTAATGTGTGTTTTGAATTAAAAGTGATCATAAACAAATAGTTTCTCAACTCAAATGAGTGGCGGCTTGGACCTGAAAACAGTATTACATACGTCACCAACACGTCATCACTTAACAAGTGGATAGACTGAGGATTCTCCAGAGCAGGGTCTCAGACCAGACTTGAGTTTTTGCTGATTTTGTGTGATTCGAATGTTAACAAGCAAAACTAAAGAGACAGTTGTTGTTTAATTGCATTGGTGATTCCTAATATTAAATTTGATTATAAGCTTGGTGAGCAACTTTGGAGAATTTCATGTTTCCTCATTCAAACAGAACACCCGAGCATACAGCTGTTTCAAAGATGGCCGCCAAGTGAAAAGACTTGCCTTAATAAGGGACTCAGCCGGCCGCTGAGTGTACCTTTAAAAAATGGTCTTTGCGTTTATGTGTGTGTTTAAAATAAACGTCAATCTCAACATGTTTTTAAACACATTGACAATTGGAAAAGAGCCCGCATTTCTGCAGTGGAAAAAAAAAAACCAGAATCGGTGGACACGCACCCTTAAAGTACAGATACTGCACAATATATCATTTCAGCATGGATATCGCTATGTGATCAATCGCTGTAGTCACATCACAGGATATGCAATGTCGAGTCTGAATTATTGAGGCCTGTGACTGTGTAATAATTCTAAAAGCATTCAGGCATAAGAAACTGTATCGCTTGTAACTTTAATAACAATTAACTTTATTGAATTATTTATAAAAACAAAGGCTAAGACTATAAAACCCTAAAACACTGTTTATTTGATTTGTATCTTATTGTATTTATCCAACCCAGGCTTATTGCAGATACATATCCAGGGGTCCGTTCTTCATACCCTGCTAAAATGATCTAAGATGATTTGGCAGATCCTGGATCTTTTGATCTTGATAACTGATCTCTGGCTAATTTGGTTTTTTCAAACAAGTTCACGAATCAGATTAAAATGTCTGAATGAACTGATCTGAGATCACTGTGTGTGTTGTGAAGGCCAGATCTATCGATCCTCCAAATCTTAATCAGCAATGCAATGATTGGCTGATGCACAGCAGTGTAATGACATCATCTGATTAATATTCCATTATCCAACTAGGTAAAATTACATAAAATTCTTAGTGAACTGTTTATTAAATATGATAGCCAATAACTTTACACATTTGTTGTGGGCTGCAGGCTTTCATGCGTCAAGAGTTTAGCAATTTATTTCGTTTTACATTTAGAGTGGATTTTCTTTATTATAGTAGACTAGGCCTATTCAAGTTTCCTAATCGGTGTGAGAAATAACTGTTTATTGTTGATGTCCTAACCCTAAACCCAACCGATAGTGTTTTCAAAAGCAATCTAGAAAATGAAAAGCAGTTGCAGTCGCATGATTCCACAAGGTTTTCAGCCTGTTTATTTTTTATTCTTTTAGCTTTCGTTTTACCTGGTTTCTGGAACGGTTCTTCCCCAGACTTTTAACCCCCCTTTCAATGTCAACTCTGCTCCACATCTATGGCGGCAAATCAATGCCAATATTAATCGAGCGCAGCGGTGATGTTTGCGCACGAGGAGAAGTAAACCGTGAGCAGATTACAGGTCTACACGCGAGAAAACTACAGCACGCGAGCGCACAGGGGATCTTCACATCATCATCTGTGCGCACGATGGACGCTCTCGCGAGCGAGGTCATGCCTACAGCACGCGCGCGCGATCAGTTCTCTCCGCTCGCTCGCAGGTTCTTCTCTCTGCTCGCGCGAAACATTTTGGATTTTTGTCAGTCCTGGGGCGGGACTTGGTTTACTTGTTCTCTCTAACGCTATTGGCTACTCTACCTTTCCGGAAGTTAGCCAGGATTGGACGCAGGTTAAAAGATCACGCCATTAAATATATATACAATTTGCAAGTCATAATCATAAGAAACTTCCTGAGAACTTTATGACCTTTATGAGGATTCAATCTCGAGAAATAGTCAAATATTGATAATTAATCTTCTAAAATAATGACTTGCATTCTTGAAACATGACTTTCTGAACCCATTTGATTTGTCCTGTGCAGCACTTGTCTGGTTTTTTGTATTTTACTTCATTATTAACCCCAACAGCAGAGCTCATTATGACACTTGGGGTTGATCTTTCTAGGAAATATTATCTTCAGAAGAGTTTATTTGGTTTTTAGATCTTTCCATACAATGCATATGTGCAGTGCAGCTTTGTATGCAGGTAATCTGCTCACGGTTCACTTCTCATCGCACGCAAACATCACCGCTGCGCTCGATTAATATTGGCAAGTCCATCGGCATAAGCGAGGAGCTACTGGGCAAACTGCTAACACTGGAAAAGCTGTCCATACGAAGGTAAGCAGTCAAAGGTAGCGATTTACAGATGAAATGCAGAAGTACCTCTGGGTACATATTTTGTGGTCTCCGGAAATGTAGACAGGGGTACGTATCCGCAATGAGCCTGTTTTGTATTTACCTACCCTAGTAAAATGTAAAAACACTCGAGTAACAAAGATGTTTAACCAAAAATGTGACAAAAATGTTTTATTTCTTTTATCACAGGCTGAACTATCTGAAGTGAAATAAAATTAGAGGCATCTACAAAAATTTGTAACTTTAAGCCTAGTTCACTCTACAGGATTTAAAGCCCGATTTGAAAGTTAACAAGCTCGCCGACAGATCGGGCTTTGATCAAGAACAAATCTGCAGGTGCTCGGTGCTCAGCAGTCTATATGTGTGAACTACTGAACACATCAAAGAGCCTCGCTGATGCATCGCCAACACCACACAGACAAAAATCCAATATCTAGCATGCTGCATATTCCAGAGCAGCCGGCTGACTCCTCCCCCATTCTGTAATTATTAGAATTACCATACTGGTCATGTTCTCAAATAAGACGTTATAATTACATACAAAGTTTCTAACACCCACAAAGGTCTAGGCCTCACTTTCATTTTTTACTTTCAAACAGGAGCTATTTCGCGGCACAGAAAATAATGTTTTGAAATAAATATCTGAAGTAAATTTCTGTTTTTGCTATCAGAATGTTATGTTTATATTAGCAGGAGGCAAAAAGGCACACATTTAAAGTCACAGCAGACATGATGCATGCAGTCATTTTGACCCATATGGTAATTAAAGGTATATGTTCAAGGTAAAATGCTCAGTTCTTGACTGTTTTGTAATAATAAAAAAAAAAAACAATGTTAGAAAGAAATACACAGATATTTAGGAAACGTCAGGGTGTTATGGATGCTAGTTTGTTTTCAAAGAGTTATTAAATTACAAGAATTAAAAACTCTCTTACCGCCTCTGTAGTTATAGTGTTAAAGTCACATCGATCCACTTAAACCTTGCTGTCAGTGATGTCAGCACACAAGCAGCCAATAGTGTTGTATCAATAGTGTTTTTGACAGCTCCTCCCTCAAAATTTCATTGGCTGTGGTTAGGTATTTTGACTGAGCTGTTGGGGAACGAGTTGCTGTCAGATCATGTAGTGTGTGACCCCCCCCCTCTTGTGGATTATTTACATAGTGCCACGTAGTGTGAACACCACAGCAATTAAAAGGCACAGCATCAAGTCATGTAGTGTGAACGGCACAGTGATCTGCCGATGTTTAAAGTCATGTAGTGTGAACTAGGCTTTAGCAGACAACTATACATTGTATGATCAAGGATGTTACAAAATGTAATACCTAGCATTTAATTCCTTTTATGGGCCTTACATTTCTCTAAATTGATTTATAAACTTGTAATATTTTTAAGTCTCCGCAGACACTGACGCATATTTAACCCATTATGAATTTTGTCTTGTTTAATTTATTAAAATTGTTGTGATCATTTCGGCTGTGTTGATGCAAAACGTATAAACTGTAACCAAAAGGTGCATTTATAAACAAAATTAAAAAATCATGATCAGAAATATTAATTGCAGAACAGAAATTACTAACCTGCTATGCAGCCGTGAGACTGTCGCACATGATGGAACCAGAGCGAGGGCAGATACAACATCTCTCCTGCTTTAACAGTGCAGTGCAGAGCTTTGGCATGTCTGTATGAGGGAAAACGCTCGAAATCTGGCTTCAGTGGGTCTAGGGGGATCCATGGCACCTGACAGACATGGTACTTATTAATACAAGTTATACAACCATCACTGATTACCTATAAAACAAGCAAAAATATGTTTTCCAGTTTTTTTCAGTGGCGTTGTTGCATTTCTCACAACACTATTTACATTTGCACAACAGTTAATGCATTTCTCAAAACAGTTAGTACAAACTGCAAAACCTAGATGAAAACCTGCAAAAGTGTGTCTCTTGCTCAAAATCGACAGCTCATTCCTCGAAAGCAAGTATTGATGTCAATAAAAGTGGCAGTGTCATCAAGATGAAAAGTCCTGACATCATTGTTTATGAACAAGATAATCAAATGCTTAGTCACTGATAGTCAACAGTTTACTCTGTAAAGTTTTCTCCAATGCAAAAAATGCAGATTTTGGCGACACTTGCTGAAAATGCTCAAGACAGCACTTTATACTGTTTGAACAGCCATTTAAAAACTACAGTAAAGTTAGACATCACTGCATTTAGTAAGGTATCAGAGAACAACACACTCAATGTGTTTCACATTTTTATGTTTTTTGCAATTCTAATTTATTCACAGCATTGTGCAAAAGAATAAACTCACCCTTATTTACAACAAACATAAACTTCCATTGGGTAGAGCTGTGCACAACTGTTAAACAATATTACAGTACATATTAGAACTAAACCTACAACATACACAGGTCTGTAAATCATTCATCAAATTGTTCAATATAGAAGCCATTTTCAGGGAAAAAAAAAAAAGATATAATATTTTTTTATTAAATTAGCTTGACAGATTCTTGTTCAACATTTGTGTATGTAATGACTAGGGATGTAACGGTATCAGAATTTCACGGTACGGTAATACCTCGGTATGAATGGCACGGTACGGTATTTATTGAATAATTTACAGGAAAAACAAAACTAATGAAAAGACTCGAAAAAAGTGCCAAAAGTGTTTATTTACCTTAGCACTGAACATATTAATGACATCCATCTATCTGTAAGTTTCGAAACAGGAACTTCAATTTTTAATTTTTAATAACAAAAAACTATTAAACCATATAAAAAAAATAAAGTTTCAATTTAGTATTGTTGAAAACTCATCACATTCAACATTTAATCACTCATTCACTTAGATAGAGATGGGTTTTTAAGGAAAATTATCATATAACTATAATCTGGTAAAAGCTGGTATCTCTGGGCATGTCCCCTGCAACAGATAAAAAAACCCTCTCATTTGGGACTGAAGTTTCTGGGACAGAGATATGACTTGGCCCAGGTTGACAGCAGTGGGTAACGCTGTGCATTGTCTTTCCACCACTTGAGAGGACAAGCCATGAGTGAGATAGAGGTCTCCTTGCGGTACAAGTCAATGTCTGAATCAATCTAACAAGTGTGCTGTGTTCTGCAGTCCCCATAACTGTTTTTAGTCGCATTCCCCGACTTATATTTCATCACAGTCTGGCAGTGCCTGCATACAGTTTTTTTCTTTGTCTGTCACCTTTTCTCCTTTTTCATATCTTTTTAGAAAGAAACTGAAATGCTTCCAAACATCCAATTTAAAACCCGCTTAAGGTTTGATCATTTTCAGCTCTTTTTCTTCCCCGCTACTAGCTACACACTCCATTTCCGCATTACTGGATCTGTAGTGACAACAGACCGCAAAGGATGATGGCCACGCCTAGGCTGATGGGAATTGTAGTTCACGCTACCTCCCGTTCGCTTCATTCGCCTAAGCAAACTTTTCTCAGAAATATAGTTTTATATTATATTATATTATATTATATTATATTATATTATATTATTCATTCTTTCATTTTCCTTCTGGCTTAGTCCCTTTATTTATCTGGGGTTGCCACAGCTGAATGAACCGCCAACTTATCCAGCATATGTTTTACACAGCGGCCTTTCACCTACAACCCAGTACTGGGAAACATCCCTACACACTCATTTACACACATACACCATGATCAATTTAGTTTATCCAATTCACCTATACCACATGTACTTGGACTGCGGGGGAAACCGGAGCACCTAGATGAAACTCACATAAACATGGGGTGCCAACTGACCCAGCCGGGGCTCAAACAAGCTACCCACTGCACCACCGTGTTTCCCCTATATAATATAATATAATTAATATAATATAATATAATATAATATAATATAATATAATATAATACAATATAATATAATATAATATAATATAATGGCTATACTTTAATAAATTAAGCTGAACTGTTTTGATTCACGTTTTGAATAGCCTAAAAGTTCCCTGTATTATGTACACACTTTGTACACACTTGCTCTGCACCTTACAGCTTAATTCTGAATTATAATAATTCAAAACTCTATTATATTAGTATAATAATTATATTATTATAAATCTTGATTTAATAAAAATATATATAATCTGTTCAAAGATAATCCCTTCCATTTATTTTTGTTTTTTTGAGCATTGTTGTTGCACTCCAAACGTGACTTTGTGGTTTAGTGTTGGAAAACACAAATGACTATAGTATTTTTTCCTTTTGGGAATGGCATGTATATTTGCAGTATGTTTTGCTGAATTGATCACATTAAAGAAAAATATTTTAAATTAATTTATTAGAAATTATTTCAGTCAATATATGTCCGTTTTGCAGTTTGAGTTTCACAAAAACCCCTCATGTTTCATTTGTTGTGCTTCTTTGTCTACAGTTGTATCAATTGCTAATTAATTAACTATTTAAAATTGCTTTTGTGCCTTGAATCAATTTATTTAGTGAATTTTATTCGTTTTCATGTCATTTGCAAGTTTCCCCAGTCATTTGACTTTAAAAGAAAACATTTTAGTGTATGCCTTGTTACCATAGTGATGATAGAACATGTTCTAAGAATGGAATGTTGCAAAGTGTACAAGAATTCTTGCATCCTAAAGAAGCTCTTGTTGGTTTGTTGAAGTGACAGTGAACTGGTGGTGTCTTTTGGCTTTGCAGTGTTTTTGAATACTTGTGTTTTCCAGTGTTTCATCGCTGTCTTAGCTATAAAACATCTCTGTTCAATGAGTGATTCACGGTGCAAGACCGAAATCCTCACAGTATTCCAGCTGTCCAGCGAGTGCAAACCCCGAACATCTGAGTGGTTCAAGGTGAATACCCGAAACCCTCTACCAATTGATTTAATGGCCGACCAGTGTGATAGAGATACTACATCCTCAACACTGGATCTCGAACCTGCAACAACGGTTGCTGAAATGAAGGAAGACGGAGTGAAAGTAGAACTTGAGAAGATCTCCTTCCCCGAAGCCTGCGAGAACTCCCAGAGCCAGAAAAAAGTGCAGCTCGAAACACCTATAAACAGCACCAGTAGTGAGTCATATTTACATTGTGGTATGAATATTCAGGGTTTTCCCAACATAACATACACTGCAAAAAATGCTTTTCTTACTTAGATTTTTTGTCTTGTTTCTAGTCCAAATATCTAAAAATTCCTAAATCAAGAAGAGTTTTCTAGACAAGCAAAACATATTGTCTTGTTTTGAGAAATAATAAGCCAATATTAAGTGAGTTTTTCCTTAAAACCAGCAAAATAATCTGCCAATGGGGTAAGCAAAATAATCTTACATCAAAAGAAAAAACAAGATTAATTTGCTTACCCCATTGGCAGATTATTTTGCTTGTTTTAAGGAAAAACTCACTTAATATTGGCATATTATTTCTCAAAACAAGACAATATGTTTTGCTTGTTTAGAAAATGCTTCTTTATATAAGAAATTTTAAATATTTAGACAAGAAACGAGAAAAAAAAATCTAAGCAAGAAAAGCATTTTTTGCAGTGTACTTACAATTATAAAAATTAATGTTGGCAGAGGGTAAATATTTAAATGTGTAAATGTTTGTACAGTATAATAGACAGCTGGTTGAATTGCTGTTTTCCTGAAGAGGCTATAGCAGGATGCAAATGTGATAATTATTTGTTTATAATAACTACTGGCATTATTAGTTCATATTTATGATATTGGCCAAATCAAGTGTTTTGAAATGAGACGATTTAGCCTACAGAGGACAGATCTCGTCAACAGGCAACGGTTAATAAGCAATAATAACATTTGTAATGACTTTTATCAAAGTGATTTTAAAACTTAGTTTAAGCGATCTGAGGGCAAAACAAGGTTTACAAAAGCTAGAAATAGATTTCCTTTGATCCACACATGTACACATAAACATAAATTGTCTATATAATCACTTTTTAGTAAGACATTTCCTACTCTATTTGTTTTTTAACATGCGTTTAGATATCCAAGTAAAATAAACCTAATTCATACATTTAATCTGGAGATTTCTATTAAACATGTCCTGCCATTATCAGCTCGCAATGAATATTGTAACCACAGATTGTGTTTTTTAATACCTGGGAAACAACGGACGCATTTGGAGGCTGCTTTTAAAGGGGCCTTCGAATTTGTTTGAAATGAGACTGTCTTCTTCACAACACGATGACACAGCACACTTTGAATGCAGCCTCTGAAATGAGACACAGCTATTATTACATCAGTGGGCTAATCACTGTGGTACACGGTTAACACACTGCAGAAACAGCTGAATTAGAGAAAATTAAATATTACTATATTTACTAATAATATATTAAATGGTGAATATTCACTTTAATATTACTGGGCTATGCATTAAAGTGCATCCTAATAAAACAATCCTGTAAATTAATGTCATTTCTCATTTCCAGCTTTTCTGATACAATTCTACTTTCCAATCCCTTAGTAAAACTAAGCTTTTGTTTGTCTTGGATTTTGGTGAATGTTCATAATGGATATATATGAGATGTGCAATCTTTTCTCTTATAACAGATGGGGAGAAAGTGAAGAAGAAGAATAAGAAGAAGAAAAAGAAGAAGAGCAGGATTGCCTCTTTCTTTAGAGCTGTCGGCAGGATGTTTTGCTTCACTGCAAGGAAAGAGCAGCTCAGTACTCTCAGCTCAGAACCATGCTCTGATGGTAAATGATCATTTTTGCATCTACATCTTTTTTGGACTATAATATTATAAACAAGCTGTATTTTTACTTCCACTTATCTGGAGTTTAATGTCTCCTTGAAAATGACTGTACAATGTGTACATTTCTCTTTCAACAGATGATGAGAATGACATCTCTGAGCAGAAGATTATGGTGAAAGAGGAGGAGGGGGAGATGGTGGAGGAGGAACAGATAAAAAAGAAGAAGGAGGAGGTGATAGAAGAGGAGGAGGAGGAGATGGTGGAGGAGGAACAGATAAAAAAGAAGGAGGAGGAGGTGATAGAAGAGGAGGAGGAGGTGATGGAAGAGGTGGAAGAGATGATGGAAGAGGTGGAGGTGATAGAGAAGGAAGAGGAAATGACTAAGGAGGAGAGGATGGAAAGGAAGGAGAATATGAAGAAAGAGGAGGAGATAAAGGAGGAGAACAAAAAATTCACGGAGGAAGAAAAGATAAAGGATGAGACTGATGATGGGTGGACAATGGTGGACGATGAGCAGCGGGAGGAGATCGAGTGGCCGACGTGGAAGTCGAAATCCATCGCTACTGTTCCCCACATCCCTGAACTGGGCAAAAGCAAATATGTGGTCTTAAAAATAAGCAAGTTAAAAAAGTTGCAAAACAAACAACAGGAGGAGGAGAAGAGACTCAAGGAAAAGATCAGTAGACAGATAACAGTGGCAAAGTTTATAATTCTGAAAATTAAGGAGGAGAATGAAAAGATGAGGCTGGAAGAGGAGGAGGAGGAGAGACAAAAGAAAACAGTAAGCAGAAGGGTATCCAGCACAAAGACTTTAATAGTGAAAATGGAGGAGGAGGAGAAGATGGGGGAAAAGAAAGTAAAGGATGATGAAAAGGAGGAGGAGGATAACATAGAGAAGGTTAAGAAGAGGAGGAGGAGGAGAAGGAGAAATCACAAGATGAAAGAAGAGGAGAAGAAGGAGGAGGAGAAGAAGGAGGAGGAGGAGGAGGAGAATAAAGAGAAAGTAAAAAAGAGGAGGAGGAGGAGGCGAAGGAAAAATTCCACAGAGGGGGAGGAGGAAAAGACAGATAAAAAGAAAGAGAATGCAGAGAAGAAGTGTGTGAATCCAGATCCCCACAAGGGAAGTGACCGAAATCACCAAAAACCCCAAACCAGACCTGCTCCAGTGTGGAGGCAGCAGGGAAGACTACAAGGCGGAGCAGGAAAGACGACAAGCTTTTATTCTGCTGGTTGGGGCAAATTAAAAGAAGTGAAGAAGGAAAAGACAGAGAATAAGAAAGAGAATGCAGAAAAGAAGAGGTGGAGGAATCCAGATCCCCACAAAAGTGACAGAAGTCATCTGTCCCACACCAGACCTGCTCCAATGCGGAGGCAGCTTTAAGAGCACGAAAGACTGTCACCTTTTATTCTGATGGTGGAGAATGAGGAGATGTAAAAGAATGTAAATAAATGTCTGTTGTACAAAAAAAAAATGTTTGTTTTTCTGTGTGTCGAGTTTATTTGGTCAATTGTCTGTTTCCAAAGTGTTGAATTACGTTTCGGTTGTGTTGCAAGTTCTAAAAAACAAACACGTTGCAAAATTTTATCGTCATCCTTCCACTTAATTTATTTTCATGCTTTCTCCCCTTTTTATCCTGAAAGAGGGGATATGGTAATGCGTTTAATATTCACCTACTTTACAATAGCTAAAAAGTTAAGACTTAAGTTTTCAATATTACAGCATTTTACTAGAATCACAGGCCACTGACTGTTTCTATGGGCCTACTCACACTATGCCATCCGTACCGTGCCCAGGCCCGTTTCCCGGATCGTTTGAGAAGTGTGAGTGCGCTGAATCGGGCTCAAGCACGGTTCACTTGGCCGGCCCTGGCCCGGTTGGAAGAGGTGTGCCTGAGCGCGGTTCACTTGGGCTTTGGCGCGGTACGCTTGTGTGTGAGTGCAAAACGCGCCAAAGCCCGAAACTGAAAGCGAGACGTGACTTTTAAGGGGCTGTTTCATATGGATTTATTAATCATTCTTACTGTTCAGTGATCGCAAACTGCCGTAGTTTATTAAAGACGAGAACTCCTCACAGCATGACAGCTGCGCGCCTTCAGCAGACCTCCTCATTCCTGCAGCACGAGGGCTTTATGATTGTTTATGAGCGCCAAAAGTGGCGGATCTGTCCGGTGAAATATCTGACTGCGTGTCCCCGCATCCCTAAGGACTGTTTGGCGAAATATTTGACTGCATGCAACTGCATATCAAACGACTGAAACGATATAACTAGAGAAATCTCCACTGTGCTACTGGGTGAGAGCGTATGGCAAGCCGTTTTAGCATTTAAACCTTGTTCTGACTATCCATAAATATATATTGAGAGATATCTCTAAATATATTTTGACTAGTCATAATTATAATTCGACTAGTCAGAGTGGAGATATCTGCAAATATATTATGACTGACTAGTCATATTCCTCCATTGACTATGAAAATATTTGCAGATATCTCTAAATGAGTTTTGACTAGTCACAATTGTAATTAGAGATATCTCCAAATGAATTTTGACTAGTCAAAAATCCAATTCAAGATATCTACAACTGTAATTCAACTATTAGTAAATTAATTAGAGATATCTTCAAATATATTTGTAAATATCTCTAAATATGACGAATTAAAGATATCTCCAAATGTATTATGACTAGTTAAAACTCAGTTAGAGATATCTCTAATTACAATTGTGACTAATCAAAACTCATTTAGAGATATCTGCAAATATTTTTCAACGGAAGTCAATGAAGGAATATGACTAGTCACAATATATTTGCAGATATCTCCAATCTGATTTTGTACTAGTACAATTGTAATTGCAGATATCTCTAATTGTCATTCTGAGTAGTGGAATTATAATTATGACTAGTCAAAATATAATTAGAGATATCTCTGAATATGTTTATGGAGTTAGAACAAAGATTTAAATGCTAAAAAGGCTTGCCATAGAGAGCGCTTCTCACTGAACAGCGCAGCAACGATGACGTAAGCGTGCCAAGGCCCGATATGGTGTGAGCGCGGGCCGTCTGGGGAGACGGGAGGGGGGACAAGCGTGCTTTGGCCCGGTTCGAGGCAACTGTACCTAGTGTGAGTATGGCCTATGACTATTATTAAATTGTAACAGGTATAGTTAGTTTGCATATTATTATATATTAATGTGAATGGACTTCTTTTCTAAAGGTATTAGATTTGTGGCATCTGTAAGTTTTTTTATATTGATGACTCAAGCAATGAAAGGAGGACTATTAGTTTTATATGGAATGACTATTCAGCATTCACAAGTTTAGTTAATTTTGACTGACATGACATAAGCAAATGATAATGTTATAAAACAGCAGAGAGTTGTATGAAAGCAATTGATGCATGATCAAAAGCATCTGCAATTTGTTGGAAGGAATGAGAAACTGCCACTATGATGTGCACAAAAGACTAATTGTTTTAGGAAATGCATTAACTGTTGTGCAAATGTAAATAGTGTTGTAAGAAATGCACCAAAGCGACTGAGAAAAACCGTAAAACATTTACTTTGGGTGAGTTTTCTTCATCCACTATTTCAAAGGTGCCGTCGTCTTTCTGTCTGTATGTTGCTGGCTGGTAGAGCTCTGTGAAGAGGAAGAAAATACAATGCTAAAAAAGTCCTCCTGAGGCCATTTCAATATTAAAAACTACTCATTTTCAATAATTATTAGCACAATAATAGTATTATATTATATTGATGAAGGTCTTCTTACCATACGGTATGAAAGGTCTATCAGTCGGAGGAAGTAAAACAAACTCTTTCTGTCCAGAAATCACACAATATAGATTCTCATAATGATCTTTATGCACTGCAGATAAAAAAATAACAATTATAATAAGTTCACTCACAAGTAAATAAATGAATGGATTTATATCCATTATATACACTCCCTGGCCACTTTATTAGGTACACCTGTCCAAGTGCTCTGAAAATTCTAATCAGCCAATCATATGGCAGCAACTCAATGCATTTAGGCATGTAGACATGGTCAAGACAATCTGCGGCAGTTCAAACCGAGCATCAGAATGGGGAAGAAAAGTGATTTAAGTGACTTTGAATGTGGCATTGTTGATGGTGCCAGGCGGGCTGGTCTGAGTATTTTAGAAACTGCTGATCTGCTGGGATTTTCACACACAACCATCTCTAGGGTTTACAGAGAATGATCTAAAAAAGAGAAAATATCCAGTGAGCGGCAGATCTGTGGGCGCAAATGCCTTGTTGACGCCAGAGATCAGAGGAGAATGGCCAGACTGGTTCCAGCTGATAGAAAGGCAACAGTAACTCCAATAATTACTTGTTACAACTGAGGTATGCAGAAGAGCATCTCTGAACACACAACACGTTGAACCTTAAGGCGGATGGGCTACTGCAGCAGAAGACCACACTGGATGCCACTCCTGTCAGCTAAGAATAGGAAACTGAGGCTACAATTCACACAGACTCACCAAAATTGGACAATAGAAGATTAGAAATGGTCTGATGAGTCTCGATTTCTGCTGCAACATTTGGAGTGTAGAGTCAAAATTTGGCGTCAACAACATGAAAGCATGGATTCATCCTGCCTTTTATCAACGGTTCAGGCTGGTGATGGTGGTGTAATGGTGTGGGGGATATTTTCTTGGCACACTTTGGGCCCATTAGTACCAATTGAGCATCGTGTCACAGCCACAGCCTCCCTGAGTATTGTTGCTGACCATGTCTCTCCCTTAATGACTCCAGTGTACCCCTATTCTAATGGCTACTTCAAGCAGGATAATGCGTCATGCCATAATGTGTGAAATATCTCAGACTGGTTTCTTGAACATGACAATAAGTTCACTGTACTCAAATGGCCTCCAAAGTCACCAGATCTCAATCTAATAGAGCCCATTTGCATGTTGTGGAACGGAAGATTCGCATCATGGATGTGCAGCCGACAAATCTGCAGCAACTGTGTGATGCCATCATGTCAATGTGGACCAAAATCTCTGAGGAATATTTCCAGTATCTTGTTGAATCTATGCCACAAAGGATTAAGGCAGTTCTGAAGGCGAAACGGGGACCAACCCGGTACTAGTAGGGTGTACCTAATAAAGTGGCCGGTGAGTGTACATAGTTGAAGACTAAATTATTAGTTCTCCGGCAAAATGTTCTGTTTCCTAAGTGCTGTCAAATGGAGTGATTTTGTTCAACACGATTTTAGACATAATACAAATTTCTAATTATTTATTTAATCTTTTCCATGATGATAGTACATAATATTCATTCATTCATTCATTCATTTTCTTTTTGGCTTCGTCCCTTTATTAATCTGGGGTCGCCACAGCGGAATGAACTGTCAACTCATCCAGCATATGCTTTACGCAGTGGATGCCCTTCGAGCTGCAACTCATCAATAGGAAACACCGAACACTCATTCATTCATACACACACACACACACACACACACACACACACACACACACACACACACACACAACAGACAATTTAGCCTAACCCAATTCACCTGGGGCCTGTTTAAGTAAGGAGGTTCAAACAACTCAGAGTTTAAACTTGAACTCTGAGTTGATTTACCGAGAGATTAAAAACTCTGAGTTTTCCGTTTCAGAACAGCTGATCTGAGTTAGGTCAATCAACTTCGAGTAGACCAACTCAGAGTTAAGCGCGCACACCGTGACTTTAAAAAGACATTATCATTGGAGCGCAGACATTACGAGTGACTATGGCAATATCTAATATAAAAGATCACCATTTCTTTCTCCAGCTGAACTTGATGTTCTCATGCAAAGTTATAGCAAATATGACCGTATATATTTGAAAAGAAGCAACCATCAGTGAAGAAGAGACAGTTAGCGTGGGAAAACAGCTGCTCAAGTTAATGCGTAATTTCACTTTTTAAGTATTTAAATATTTAAGTATAATAAAATAAGTAATGTAATTTGTGACGTTTATATTTTTTTTCTAAACTTTTTTATACATTTATTAGTTTTAAATGATTTAACAGTGCACTTGTGTGTCTGCCTTTTTTATTGATCAAGTGATAGAGGTTAATATAACATTTAGAAGGTAAGCAGTACTAAAAATAATTTTTAGAAAGAATAATAATCCCATTAATCTAGTTACAGTGCATGTCGAAGGTGAATTTAATTTAATTATTTATTAAAAAAAGGATAAGCCATTCTCGTACAGTTCTTCTGTGTGTGACTAAAATGTAGGCAATAGCTATGTTTCCATCCAAGTATATTACATAAATGTATGTGCAAAACTGGATATTGCATAAAAGATGCAAATAAAATTCCATCCAACGAGTCAAAGAGAAAAAAATGGTCACTTCCTGATTAAACTGGCACCAAATATCAACAGTAAAAACAGAATTTACTGTGGTAGAAGAAGCTGCGTCAATTAATTCTTTATTTAGCCTAATTAATGTACTTGCGCCTCGATGTCAGAAGACAATGCTGAAACACAATGAACACGTGGGGGCGTCTGAAGCCATGAGACGCGGAGACTCTTGACACGCACCAGACGTTCGGAGGTAATTAATAATATACACTAATACTAAAACAGTTAAGGCATTTTAGAATGACTAAAACAATATTTAAGACATGTTGCAGTGTGCTCAGCCTGCTGGTTTGTTCATTTACACACATTTTCATTATCATATGATCATGATCTTTTTTTAATGTACATACTGTAATTTGTTCAGTAAAAGTGTTTCCATCGTAGTTTATGCGCACATTTTCTATCGAATAAAAGTTTATCCTACTCAGTTATGCTCGTTTTTTATGCATATTTTAAAAAGTTATGTGCATCATGACGTTTCTATCAATCGTTTTTATGCACGTATCCAAAATAAGCATAAAAATAGGTGGGTGGAAACGTTAGGCTAAGGCGAGAAATACCGCTTCATCTTTAAAAAAGGGGAGGAGACCGACAGAAACTCTGAGTTTAGAGAATAAAACCTGCTTCTGACCAGGTTAGATTCACAGAGTAAGTTACCACAGTAACTGACTCTGAGTTAAAGTTACCTTTCTTTCAGAAACAGGCTTGACTTATCCTGCTTTCTCGAGTTTAACAAACCTGCCATTTTGAAACGCAAAACCCAGAGTTTCTTTCATTTCAGGGTTAAAATACTCTGAGTTTTCAGTTAACCTCCTTTCTGAAACAGGCCCCTGTACCACTTGTCTTTGAAATTATTTTCATCACTTTTAATATAAATAGCTGAACATAAACATAAGAGGATGAGAAAAATACTCATTGTAAAAAAAAAATTCAATACGGCACTTGGAGGTTTTTGCATGCAAACTCTTCATATATATTATATATAAGGTATCCGCTTGTTAAGTGTGACGTCACGCAAAGCGGCTTCCGGGTCCAAGCGCTCTATTCAACTGAATGGGGAGACTCATGAAATGGTACTAATAAACGTTTACAAAGCGATTTAATACTTTCGAAAATCACGATCGCAGTATATGTCCATGCCTAATATCCAATGCCCAGAAAGTGATTCATTTTTTATAAATTGCTAAATTTTTGGTATTTGTTATGCAGCAAGCCAAGAGATTGTTGTGTTCACTTTGATTTTATATAAAATTAACTTTAATGTGTGATAGGAATAAAACGTGATCATAAACGAATGATTTCTCCACTCAAATGAATGGCGGCTTGGACCCGGAAACAGTATTACTTACGTCACAAACACATCACCACTTAACAAGCGGATTGTAGAGATTGATAAAATGCTTTTTTTCCGTTCATTAAGACTTAAAATAAATTTTAGTATTTTTTAATTTCTAGCTCATTTTAATACACATTTTTCTGAGGCTGAGAAGCACTGGCCTGACATTTTCAGTATTTTATGTTATCCAATAAGGAAACTTACTTGATGTGACAGCACTTTCCTCCCCAAGCCAGAAATTCACAGCATCTGGAAGTTTTCCTGAATGAAAGACAAAAAAGATCATGTCAGAATCCACCTCATACATTATTCATTCATTCATTTTCATTTGGCTCAGTCCTTTATTTATCAGGGGTTGCCACAGTGAAATGAACCGCCAAATATTCTGGCATATGTTTTATGCAGTGGATGCCCTTCCAGTCGCAACCCAGTACTGGGAAACCCATACACACTCATACACTAAGGCCAATTTAGTTCATCCAATTCATTCCAATTCACCCTGAGCATCTGGAGGAAATCCAACATGGAGAGAACATGCAAACTCCACACAAAAATGCCAACTGGCCCAGCCGGGACATGAACCAGGGACCTTCTTGCTGTAAGGTGACAGTGCTAACCACTGAGCCACTGTGCCACCCCCCTTACAAATTATTTTACCATAAATCAACACATCCAGAAGGAAATTGAAGTTGTGTGGACAGACCCAGAGCTTCACTCATCCAGGGAATATGAGTCTGTACGTCTCCTGTCAGCTCTGGGATCTCCTCCATCAGATTTGAGCATTGTTTCTGAACGTAAAACACAGCGCTGCTCTTTATCTTTCCCTCCACAATATCCAGCAGAGAGGAGAAGCTCATCTGACGCTCCTCTGGCATCACAAAGCGATTCCCATTCACAGCATCTGCAAATCCGTTTGGAGTCACGGCCACACTGATGACTTTGGAGCCTACTTTCTCTCTGCGCAAACACATCAGAACAATTAAATGTAAACATTTTTCAGGATTTAAAATGTGCATGACCTGGAAGCTGCGACTGTTTTTTTATATTGTCATGCAGCTCCTAAAGAAACTTTTATTAATAATATTAAATGAGAAAAAAGTTGGCGTGGCTTGTTTTTTTTTTCTACTGCAAGCTTATTGGATGTAGTAAAGTATGCATTTCATTCAGAATGATCGGGAAAGGGGTTTGGGGAGAGTTATTACAACCTAACAGATACTTCCTCCTCACCATTTCTCCTTGTTGTTAAAACTGACAGATGGAGGGGCGTGGTTAAGTATGTTAGCCCCGCCCAATACCTCAGATAGACATAGGATCCTATCATACACCCAGCGCAATAAGACGCAAGACATGTTTGGCGAGATGTGTTGCTATTTTCAGACCCACACAAACCCTAATTTTCTTATTTTGAGCCATGTTGTTTAAATAGCAAATCCATTGGTTACACCCTCAACAAAAACGGTTGCGATTGGCTCTTGCGCGCTGCGCTCTTCAGATGAATGATAAGCGGCAGGGGCGATCTCACAGCTGATCTATGATAGACACGGTGGAGAAAACTCTGCTGACACGCGCTCGTTTCTGTATCCAAAAGTAACGCTGTAAAACAGCCGAGAGGAAAAGAAAAGTCACGCCAGCAAGTCAAATGGGCCACTGTGTGTGTGTTAGAAAGAGAGAGAGACAGAGGCAGAGCGAGAGAGAGAGAGAGAGAGAGAGAGAGAGAGAGAGATGGGGTAGGCTACTTTCATTCTCAAACACACACAGTGAAATTGTGCACAGTTCATGAGTATTAAGTAGTTAGAGCGTTGTAAATACTCGCGATCGTCTCCCTCGCAACAGAGCGCATATGAGGTAAATGACATCAGTAATAACCGGTTATGATTATTACTGAACCAATACCGAATTGTCCGTGTCTGCATCGCGGTGCATTGAAGAAACGATTAATTTTGACACCCCTATGTTAAGGTGCATTGTTGTTGGCACTTTGCTAATTTGAGGAACTAAAATAGACTGCGCAATAAGGTATATGCCGAGCTAGTGTTGTTTCCATACTGATAAACTTCCGGTGACCTGTTATCGTGAAATTTTTTCCATTTTATACAGTTCCTTTAACAGCATCGATGTTGTAATGCAGGGGTTTTCAAAGTGTGAGGCGCGCCTCACCTGGGGGGCGGCAGAGCATGTCAGGGGATGCGCGGGAAAAATACTAAATAATAAAAATATAAATATTAAGTTTAATTATTATATGTATTTTTTATTATATTTAATTGTTTTAATTAAACAAAGCTAAAAAAATAATATGTCAAAAATAAGAAAACCTTTTTTACCCAGAAGGCCATAGCTGTGAATTCGCTTCTGTTTGGCAAGACCACCAATACAGGTATACGCCTGCTAATACAATGGATCGGTTTCTGAGACCCCCCCGATTCAAAGCCTTCAAGTTCAGGGCTTAAACCCAAAAGACGACGATATGATGATCAGTATTTGAGTTTAGGATTTACGTGGACAGGACCAGCTGATGAACCATAACCTTTATGTGTGGTTTGTCAAGATATTTTGGCTAATGACAGCATGAGACCCGCTCAACTTCGACTGTTTTGACTGGGATGGACAGTTTTTGGATCTGTTCTATTCATATTGAACCATCATCCTAGTTTTAAAAACGTTATATTAAAATACTTGTTATTACTCTGTAAATAATTGCACTTTCATGCAAATGATGATAAAAGTGAGTTAACAGTCTAACATCCGCCTGTGTCTTTATGTATACTGTATATATATATATATATATATATATATATATATATATATATATATATGTGTGTGTGTGTGTGTGTGTGTGTGTGTGTGTGTGTGTGTGTGTGTGTGTGTGTGTGTGTGTGTGTGTGTTTGGGAGGAGGACGGCACCAATGGATAAGTTGTGTCAAAAGGGAGGCCCACTGTCTTAGACTTTGAAAAACCCTGTTGTAATGCAATTAAAATACAATCAGTTAAATAAACTTTGGCATTCATTTGGTTGTTCAAGCGTAAAACCAGACAAAAGTTACTCGCATGCACCCTTCAGAATCGACAGGCTAGAGCAGAAGCTCCATTGAATATACTGGGGTAAAATAAATGCTCATATTTTAAAGACATGGCGGGGAAAAATGTCATTTAATGCAGTGCTTCTTGTACAATCTGAGACCCACTTTATATCAGATATAACTCAACCAGTGGAGATCACTGATTTTTAAAGAAAACTGACCTTAAACACGCCAATTTTTGCATTGGCATACAGTTCACCGGAAGCCCTTAACCCAGGTTATTGGCAAATTAAAAGTCCTATTAGCATACTTCGGCATATACAATAAAGACCAGCTGAAACCAGGTCTAAAATCCAGCAAAGGGGCGTTAGTTATTCGCAGAGATGAGAAGTAACAAAGTAAAATACTTCGTTACTGTACTTAAGTTGATTTTACTGGTATCAGTACTTTACTCCACAACTTATTTTTCTGACAACTTTTTACTTCTTACATTTTTACACAAATATCTGTACTTTTTACTTCTTAAATTTTTAAATCGAGCTTGTTACTTTCGTTTTTATGTGTTTAGTGGCGCAATCTATATTATTTCTTATCATTTATGCCTTTTTGATGCAGTCAATTTATTTTTTTAATTGCGTGCTGCAGTGCGCGGCTTTTTCAACCAAGGCTATCATGCACCGTACGTAGGGTAGTTTATGAAGATTACTATGAGAAAGGCAAAGATGATTTGCAGTCAAATAGGAAAAGTATTTATTTCAGCAAAAGAAAATATTTTTTCAATATATTCAATAAAAAGATATATTAAATATATTAAACATAAAATTTAAAAAAACGGGTGACGTAGTGGTGCAGTAGGTAGTGCTATTGCCTCACAGCAAGAAGGTCGCTGGTTCGAGCCTCGGCTCAGTTGGCGTTTCTGTGTGGAGTTTGCAAGTTCTCCCTGCGTTTGCATGGGTTTCCTCCGGGTGCTCCGGTTTCCCCCACAGTCCAAAGACATGCGGTACAGGTGAATTGAGTAGGCTAAATTGTCCATAGTGTATGAGCGTGTGTGTAAATGAGTGTGTGTGGATGTTTCCCGGAGATGGGTTGCGGCTGTAAGGGATTCTGCGTAAAAATGTGCTGGATAAGTTGGCGGTTCATTCCGCTGTGGCGACCCCGGATTAATAAAGGGACTAAGCCGACAAGAAAATGAATGAATGAATAAAATTAAACAAATTCTATATATTTTGGACAGAATTCAGCGTAAAACATAAGACATTATTTATATAGATATACAGCTCTACAGAATTATTTTTAGAGTGTATGAACATAAATGACAGCTGTTGTTTTTGATCCAACAGCCGCAAAACTTCATGATGAATATAGTGAATTTGCGACAGGATGATGACACATGGGGGGAAACCGGATATTTACCTACCTATTGATACGAAAACATGTAGCAGTCATGGGTACTTTTTTTACTTGAGTACATATTTCAGGCTGTACTTTACTTTTTGTGCTTCTACTTGAGTAAAGGATGTGTGTACTTTTACCATCTCTGGTTATGCGACTTAAACGCTTACGTATTACTTAAAACACACACGATGTACAGCAATACACAAATATCTTTAGAAATAAAAAAGATAAAAAGGATTAAAATATTACAAAAATTATCATTTTCTACATAAATATATCAACCGCTACCTCCATGCCTTCTTCATCTCTGGGGGCTTTTTTTCATTTTATTCATAACTATTTGCATTTGTATAGTGTTATTATTATTAGTCTTATTTATTTATGCATATTTATATTTGTTTTAATAAAAACAAGTGTAGATTTGTTCGCCTGTTGGGTTTTGGACCATATGGGGCATAAGAATAGCATGTGTGTTTGGATATAACTCCGTTTTTTGACAACACTTTATTATTATTGTTCATTTATTCATTTGCTGGAAATTAGAACTGAATTCAGAAATAGCATTCAGAAATAGTTCTGAAACAAATCTTTGCACTTAACAAACTAAATTAAATATGTAGACTAGTGGATGTCTTCAGTGGAGAGCATACGAAAGTGAAGAGCGAGAGAAAATAATGAGGCCGAATGAGAGAGGAGGCTTGTTTTTTATCCTGAAAGAGGCTTGTTTTTTATCCTCGATCTTCAAGCGTTCAGTTTTTTTCACTTTCTTCCAGTTTTTTCGTTCGGTCTGCCATGTAAATAGAAAACGTTCCATGGCGTGGCAAAACTGACTCTTAAAGGGCATGGGAGATGAGACTCTGATTGGTTTAATGCATGTTATGCTCAAAACACAGCCATAACTCACTCAGCCCTGTGTTATCACAGACCATGTGCCAGTGTGCAAACCGTATTTTTCCGTCCTTAAAATAGCAAAAGTGGATTCGGACATGCCCTTAATAATGACTTTGCGCATAGATCGTTAAAATAGAGCCCTCAATCTGAGAATTTAACTGAAAACAAACAGGAAGTGCTTTTTCAAATTTCAATTTTAGATTACAAGTGCAAACAATAGTTTTTTTTTCTTAATGACATGCAGAGATGAATTGTTTACCACAAAACTTGCAATGTGAGCTAACAAAATCATATGGTTAGTTTTGATTTCATGTGTACTTTAAATCCATGTGACATCAAAATGTACGATGTCTACTTTGCTAGCCAAACTGTTATTCCTAAGGTAAATAATTAATCCAAGCATGTCAATCCACTGATTTTTGTTTTGTTTTGTTTTGATAATCTTCAATCAAAGCCTGATCATTTGCTTCAGCATTTGGAAGCAAATGATCTTACCGTTGGAATGGTGCGTAAAAAGAAATCCCCATCCCATATTCAGTATTGTGTTACAGTTGTAAATACTTCAACATACTGCAATAAATACTGCAGCAACATGAGAAGGCTGATCTGATCATCTGATTGGCTAACCGGAGATATGTGGGGTTCCATTTAGACAAAGCTGGCCAATCGTTGAAAGCGTTGCGAATGATGCAAGGCTTGTTGGGGCCAATCCAGTCGCGATAAAACTGAAGTGGAGACAGAGGCTCGTCCAGGTATGGCACTGCATCATTAAGATAAAGCTCTGTGAGAAAGAACAAGACACCATTTTTTTTGTTTGTGACTTAAAAACATATTTTGCACAAAGGAAAATATTTGTTTTTAGAGCTGTCTGACTTCATTCCTTCCTTCCTTCCATCCTACCTACCAACCTACCTATCTATCTATATAAGTTTATTAAAGCATTATATTTTAATATATTTAGTTTTAGTTCATTTAGTAATATATTTAACGATTACAAACTTTTATTCAGACTATGTAAATGTTTTGTTTTATCTAAATTATCTAACTTTTATAAACAACTTTTGCAATTATTCTGCAATAAATATAAATTACTGATTATTTTAGTCTTCCGAGATAGCTTTTATTACTCTTGAGATAAAGTATTTTTACACATTTATGTGAGATTTAGCCATTACTTTTATTATACATTTTCTGGCAACATATATTTCGGTCTACACAGTGTACATTATATACATATTATCTATGTAGATCAGAGGTCTCAAACTCAATTCCTGGAGGGCCGCAGCTCTACACAGTTTTGCCCCAACCCTGATCAAACACAGCTTTTAAACAGCCCGATTATTTGGATCAGCTGTGTTTGATCGGGTTTGGAGCAAAACTGTGCAGAGCTGCAGTCCTCCAGGAATTGAGTTTGAGACCTATGATATAGATATTATGTCTGTCTGTTTATTCTAAAATACAATTTTAAGATTTTATTGTATTTTATAAAATGCTTGTGTAAAGTCTTCATCTAGATTTTAACATTGTGGAGATTTTACGATTATTTATTTAAGTTAATAGCTTGATTTTATTTTCCATCTTCCAAATATATATATATATATATATATATATATATATATATATATATATATATATATATATATATATATATATATACATACAGTTTTAAACATTTGGATATGTTGTAATTTTTATTAGCTTTTAAATGTTTATATAGTTTTTATTAATGTAAATTATATTTAGTTTTAGCTATTCGTCAGGAAATAATTTTAATTGTTATTACAATTAATATATGATAATAAGGCAGACATTTAATTGTAAAATTCAACCAGTTGTTCAATGTTTCTGTATTTGACATAATTTGGTGCGTTAATTCAGTGTAACTTTTTTATTTCAATGTAAATTATATGTCATTCAGTCTGTACGTTTGATTATGTATTATATAAGTAAAAAAATGTGAAAACTCACCCCGAGCCTCTTTAGGAAAATCTCTCAAGCATTCTTTAACTTCATCCATATCCTTATCCACATGTTTCTATATATCAGTATCTGTTGATTTATCACAAGCCTCCGTCAGCTCAAAATACTCATACAGTACTTTATTCTATTCATGCCAAACTATTAAACACAGCGAAAAACCAAACACTGAACTAATAATGAGAATAACTGAGAATTCAAGCACTTCTCACACATGCTCGACTGTTTTGATGTTAATGACAGTTGTTTTCCGCTCATGCGCACAAGTGACCATACGCTTACAATGTATTATCTGTCTCCCTCTGCAGGCCGGAGACCGCATTGCAGAAGAATATTTTTATGTTCTAGGTAAAGTTGTGTTGGATTTGTTAGCGCGAAAAAAATAACCAATTAGTATTTTTGTTGTTCTATTAAAATATATAATTCCTTGAGCATATTAGACGTACAAAGCTATGTTTTGATGGCATGATTTGTCACGCCTCTGTGGGCAGCTTCACACTTGATGCCAATTAGATTAACGTTAGCACTCATCCACAGGTACAGCACTGCTACTACTGAGACTGGAGACTTTTTAATTTAACGTTACTTTTAATTTATTTGGTCGTTTACTGTAAATTAGTTGGCTTTCAATGGACTGCAATGAACATGGATGAGGAGGCATCCCTCGAAAGTTACTTTGACCAGACTATTGCTGTAAGTAACGTCAAATGAAATGCTAAAAGTCTTGTGTTGGAGTCTTTGTTATGTTAGCTTAAAACATAATGACCGATATACTATTATTATTTATTAACAGATGGTATTTTTGTAAATAATGTTTTCAGTTTAGGAAAATTTTTGTAATTTTGTTCTCATTTAAATTATCATATGTATATGTAGTTTTTATTCATATATACAGTTTAGTTTTTGTTATTTTAGCACCTCAAGAATTTTTTGTGTGTGTGAAAACTGTCTGAAAATATGCTTAATGTTTTATTTTAATTTACTTTAATTCACAAAAATTTTATTATATATACACACAACTATAATGCACTCATGTATTTATGATGCACATATCATTGTAACACAAATCAAGTCTATTAAATTATACAGTAAGCATTTAAGAAGATCTACAGAAAAATAAATGCAATAATAAGTTATTGTGAGACATTAATACAAAAAGTCTTTTACAAAATCTATTTAAAACATTAATTAATGTCCAGCATCAAAAGAAATTTCAGTATTGCTGTAAAATGCCTATTAAATACTAGTTTCATATATTAAAATTTATTCATACTAGTCATGTATGTTTCTCTTATTTATTAGTAAGATTTGTCCTTATACCAATACATGTTTTGTTAAAGCAAATTTTCTGAAGCGTCGTGAAATACACTTATTTGATTATTTCGAGTTGCAGTAAAGCAGACATTTAATTGTAAAATTTGTTCAGTGTTACTGTGCTTGTTGAGTAATATATTTGGTGTGTATATTCCATGTATTTTTTCTATTTTTATGTAAATGATTTATCTTTATATACCTCTTTAGTATACACACACAATTGTACTGCCTATTATGAAGTCTATTATGATGCACATTTCATTGTAACTCAAATTAAGCCAATTTAAATGAGCAGTTAAGCATTTAAGAAGATCTACAGAAAAATCAATGCAATAATAAGTTTTTGTGATACATTAACACAAAAAGTATTTTAAAACATCAAATTAAAACATGACTTAATTTCCAGCATCAAAAGAAATGTCTGTGTTGATGTAAAATACCAATTAAACACTAGTTACTGTGCTCAGCATAAATAAGTTCACCCCATTTTTAAAATGAATATTTTTATCCATTTCTCACTGAATATAGGCAATGTATTTTGGTGCATTTAAGCAAAATAGATTTATTCAACCGATGTATTTATTAAAATAATATTGTAGTCACCAAACATATTTTAGAAACTGAAAGATAATACAATTAAATTCAAGCAAAATATTGCAAAAAAAAAAAAATTAAAACTTACAAAATTTCAATACAATTTTTCAATTGTTTTAGCTTTCCTTGATTTTTCCACTTTTCAAAATTTGTATAACACATTTGGGTGAACTAGTTTTAGATCGTTATCGTAAGTAATTTTGTTAGATGAGCTCCAGATTTGGCTTCAGTACTGATTAATCTAATGGATAAGCACAAATATAATATTGTATAACTTCCAATTAAAAATGTGAATTTAAAAGATAGATTTATGAGGGGTGTATTATGTATGTATTGTGTATTGTGTATTGTGTATTGTGTGTGTGTGTGTGTGTGTGTGTGTGTGTGTGTGTGTGTGTGTGTGTGTGTGTGTGTGTGTGTGTGTGTGTGTGTGTGTGTGTGTGTGTGTGTGTGTGTGTTTGAGTGTGTGTATACACACATACACAGTTGAAGTCAGAATTATTAGCCCCACTGAATCATTACACCGCTTGTTTATTTTTTTCCTCATTTCTGTTTAATGGAGAGAAGGTTTTTTCAATTGATTTTCAATTTTATTTTTAAAGCACAATAATTTAAATAACTCGTCTCTAATAACTGATTTATTTTATCTTTGCTATGATAACCGTAAATAATATTTTACTAGATATTTTTCAAGACACTTCTATACAGCTTAAAGTGACATTTAAAGGCTTAACTAGAGTAATTTGGTTAACGAGGCAGGTTAGAGTAATTAGGCAAGTTATTGTATAACGATGGTTTGTTTTGTAGACTATCGAGAAAAAATATAGCTTAAAGAGGCTAAAAAATTTTCCCTAAAATAGTGTTTAAAAAATTAAAAACTGCTTTTATTCTAGCCGAAATAAAACAAATAAGACTTTTTCCAGAAGAAAAAATATTATCAGACATGCTGTAAAAATTTCCTTGCTCTGTTAAACATCATTTGGGAAATATTTAAAAAAATAAATAAAATTTGAAGGGGGCTAATAATTCTGACTTCAACTGTATATATATATATATATATATATATATATATATATATATATATGTATGTATATATATATATGTATGTTTTTTTTTTCCGGATTAATAAAGGGACTAAGCCGACAATATATATATATATTCATTCATTTTCTTGTCGGCTTAGTCCCTTTATTAATCTGGAGTCGCCACAGCGGAATGAACCGCCAACTTATCCAGCAAGTTTTTACGCAGCGGATGCCCTTCCAGCCGCAACCCATCTCTGGGAATCATCCACACACACATTCACTACGGACAATTTAGCCTACCCAATTCACCTGTACCGCATGTCTTTGGACTGTGGGGGAAACCGGAGCAAACCCACGCGAAGGCAGGGAGAACATGCAAACTCCACACAGAAACGCCAACTGAGCCGAGGTTCGAACCTTTGACCTTCTTGCTGTAAGGCGACAGCATTACCTACTGCGCCACTGCCTCGCCCATCTATATATATATATAAATAATATATAATAATATATTTTTTTTTTTACTAATGCTTATTATGTAATGACGAATATTCATACTAGTCATGTATGTTTTTCTAATTTATTTGTAAGATTTGTCCATATACCAATACATGTTTTGTCAAAGCAAATTTTCTGAAGCGTCATGAAATACACTTATTTTATTATTCCGAGGTGCAGTAAAGCAGACATTTAATTGTAAAATTTAACCATTCATTCAATCTTATTGTGTTTTTTAAATAATATTTTTGGTGCGTATATTCTGTGTATTTTTTCTATTTTTATGTAAATGATTTATCTTTAAATTGTAAATCTTTTTAGTATACACACAACTGTAATGCCTATTATGAAGTATGAAACCTTAAATTTTTTTTCTTCTACATTCTTCTATATCTGTTTTAAGGGCTCATCTGATTATATCTTTGAAGGGGATCTGGGTCTGCAGGGTTCGACTTCGCAGCTCCAGGATTCCTCTTTTCTGTCCTCTTTAGCGTCTCAGGAGAAAGATCTGACAGAGGACTTGGACCTGAGCTTCTTACCTGATGAACTGAGCACTCAAGATGAGCCGTCACAAGTTGAGAAAGAAAGCAAGAATGAAGACAGCGGCATCTACACCGACTGCCCGCAGAAAGAGTCCACACAGGCAGACATTGACACCAGTAATTCGGCCCAAAATACCTCACAGTTCAACCTCCCGATGACTCCCATGACCCCGATGACTCCCATGACCCCGGTGGCAGAGAGTTCAGGCATCATCCCGCAATTACAGTAAGGCATTTTAGACAGAGATTCATTTGAATTTTAACATGTTATTCCATCATATAAAAGCCAACAACTTAATCTCAGATGTTATAAACTCATGTTTATTAAAAGGGGATTAAAACCCTATTTGTGTAAGAATTTTTATGATGAAACATGTTTTAATAGAAAGTTTATTTTTAAAAGATATAAAAGAACATTTTTATTTAGGAAGTAAGTTAAGGAAAATGTTTAAAAAGGCGTCTTCTGGAGGATTTTTACAATATTTATCATCAATCAAGCTAAAAGATTGTACATGACTCTTTTCAGTGTTGTTTAGGGCTGCACAATATATTGTTTTAGCATCAACATGGAAATGTGCTCAAAAAATTGTCTCATCGCAAGATATGCAATGTTGATTCTGAATTATAGTTGGCCAGAAGCTTTAGAATTGTATTTATTTTCTGTATTTATATGGAATTTATACGATTTTAGTGCAAATATCTCAATTTTAACGTGAAAATGTTTATTGTACTTACACCTCTGACAGATTAGTTTTCATGTTTTAAGGAGAAACTCTTTATTTTGACTTATATATTTATTTATATATATATATATATATATATATATATATATATATATATATATATATATATATATATATATATTTATATTTATATATATATTTATAAATATATACCGTTTCAGCATCGATATGGCAATGTGCACATCTGCAATATTCACATTGCAAGAAATGCAGTGTTGAGTCTGAATAATAGTTGACCAGGAGCTACAGAATTGTATTGAATTATTGTATTTATAAGGAATATAAATCAAATGTTTTTCTTATACTAGGTATTTTTCAATATTGTGCAGCCCTAGTGTGTATTGTATCAGTCTACGTTTCCATATCTTTTTTTTATTTTACACAGGAATATTGTGTCAACTGTGAATCTTGCTTGCCCTCTGGATCTCAAATCCATTGCACTTCAAGCTCGAAATGCTGAATACAACCCAAAGGTACCTTTATGTAAACTGTATTCACAATTGTATAGAATTTTATTTAATCAAAGATGAGAAAACATTATTTAGCTTTCGTTAAGGGGTAGTTCATACCAAAATGCAAATTCTCAACATTTACTCCCACTAAGTGGTTCTAAACGTTTATGAATTTCTTTCATTCTGTTGAACACAAAGGAAGATATTATGAAGAATTTTGGAGAAAAGCAGCTTGACAAAAAATACAATGAAAGTGTAACGGAGGCCAGCCAGTAAGTGCTGTGCAGGTAAACCTCCCTCCTCTGACTTCTAAAGGTGCTCTAGCTACAGACGCTAGAGGCCATGGTCTTTATCCTCCTTGGTAGAGCAACCGGCTCCCATGTGGAAGGTCGCCAGTTCGATACCAGCTCAGAGCGGGTTGGATGGCGTAGGACCGGTGGGGTTACATTGGTGCCGTGACCCGGATGGGAGTGAGGTTTAGGGGGCAAGTGTAAAGCCGCCTTTCCACTGCATACGACATTTGGACACGACTGTCCGAATACGCCCCCTTGTGGCAGTAGCACAGAATTTTCAGTTCTGACATGCACCATGGGAGAGAAGCTGTTCTCGCAGTGTCCGAAATAAAGGAGTGCAAAAGCAGTTCTCCATGGTTGAATGAATGAAAAAATACTAGAAACTTAGACCGCTAAAAATATTGGAGGTAATGTGGAGACAACATAAAACATTACATTTGTCTTACTTTATTACTTACATTTATGAATAGAAATGTTTTTATTTTCTTAATATAGACTTTTTCTGATTAAAAAATAACCAAATGAAGTCGTATTTCTCATCTCGCGCACACGGACCTGCTTGGACAACACAGGAATACATCACATCTGGTCTGCCGGTTGCATACGTTCTAGTCGCAGGAGTTCACATATTTCAATGGATCTAGCAACGGTCGCTAGAGGCCATGGTCTTTAGCCTTCTTGTTAGAGCAACCGACTCCCATACGGAAGGTCGCCGGTTCGATACCAGCTCGAAGTGGGTTGGGTGGTGTAGGACCGGCGGAGTTACAAAAGTCAATGGCTGTTTTTTCCCCAGCATTCTTCAATATATCTTCCTTTGTGTTCAACTAAAGTAAGAAACTCAATCAGGTTTGAAACAAGTGAAAGGTGAGTAAATGATGACAGAAAGTTATTTTTGTGAACTACCCCTTTAATGGAATATCTCCTGTATAACTGTTATTGTTTACTTCATTGCTAACACAAGGATAGCATCTGAAAATCTTGTCAGTACCATAACTCTAAACTTTGCTTATGTATAGCGTTTTGCTGCTGTTATAATGAGGATCCGTGAACCAAGAACTACGGCTCTCATTTTCAGCTCTGGAAAAATGGTCTGCACTGGAGCCAAGAGGTATGCATAATATACTGCATATATATTCACAACCCTAACTATGAAGCGTTAAGGTACCACCATGACTGTAAAAGAGATAAACATAGCTCAGCAACAGTCTTTTACCCTATATTTGCCTTCTTTCCCTTTGTTTGTCTTTCTAAGTAGTGAAGAGCAATCTCGCCTCGCTGCACGGAAATATGCTCGGGTGGTACAGAAACTTGGTTTTCCTGCCAAATTCCTCGACTTCAAAATTCAAAATATGGTTGGGAGTTGTGACGTCTGCTTTCCTATACGCTTGGAAGGCCTGGTCCTCACTCATCAGCAGTTCAGCAGGTCTGGAGTTTGATGCTTACTGTGTCTTTTAAAGGGAGAGTTCACCCAAAATTACAATTCTATCATCATTTACTCATCCTTGACATGTTGGACACAAAGGAAGATATTTTGAAGAATGTCGGCAAAAAACTGCAATTGACTTCCATAGTATCTTACTATGGATGTCAATGGCAACTTTTTCCCAAAAATCTTCAGAATATTTAGTTTTGTGTTCAACAGAAAGTAAGCTTAAAACAACTTGAGTGTTAGTAAATGGTTTAGAAATGGTCTTTAAGGGACTTAAAAGGACAGTTCACTCAAAAAAAAAATAATTATGTAAATTTATTCACCCTCAAGACACTGAAGTAGTATGTGACATTTCTTCTGTGGAGTATTGAAGAAGATTTTAGATGAAACCATGGTTCTTGGTGATTCATATTCTCATACCAACCTGTACCTTTAGATCCATAACAACATGCAGTGTATACAGGTAATAATAAAATTAATATTTTGTGTGACTCTTTACCGCTATACTGTGGTGTTATGAAGCAAACAATTGGCCTGTGAAACGGAACATTATTTGAATGTAGATTTACTGCATCATCTTTAATCATCCTCAATGTATCTTCAAGATCCAGGGGTATTCATTTAGTTGTGTGTGTGTGTGTGTGTGTGTGTGTGTGTGTGTGTGTGTGTGTGTGTGTGTGTGTGTGTGTGTGTGTGTGTGTGTGTGTGTGTGTGTGTGTGTGTGTGTGTGTGTGTGTGTGTGTGTGTGTGTGTGTGTGTGTGTGTGTGTGTGTGTGTGTGTGTGTGTGTGTGTGTGTGTGTGTGTGTGTGTGTGTGTGTTTTATGCTGTCTGTGAAAAGCCAACATTTAATTTTTATTCTGCGTCCGGTATCAAACCCTATTAAAACAACTCTCTTCTATTCATCCTTACTTCATACACGCATTCAGTAGCTCAGAGTTAATCACAGGGGCATGAAATGTTGCTAAATGAAGTTGAAACTGCTGAAAATTTAAAAAAGTAAATACCAAATATTACATGATCACATACATATTTTTATAAAGTTCCATTTGTAAAATGGAGTTCGATTTATTAATTTTTGAGAAATGGTGCAGGGGAGAAGTCAGTCAGTATTTATGGAATAATTCATTAAAATAGAAGTGAAATAATATTCATTACAAAATGATTTAAAGAAGCACCTTTGTTTTTGTGCATTTTCTGATTTAATTTTTTTTTTCCAGTTGAATAAACATCTATTTTCCATTCACATATTAGCAAATATTAGCAGTGTTTAGCAAGTCCTTTACAGCATAGAATTCATTGAAATAGATGTATTGCATTCATTACAAGTTGATTTAAAAAAAACAATTTGCATGTTTTTCCAGTTGAATTAAATGCTGTTTTCCATTTATATTTTATCATTGAAGATTTCTTAAAAATAGTGTAAAAAGCTTGTATAATTCTCATGAACCCTGTCTTGTGTCGTCTAGTGGAGTAAGGGTCTCGCTACACACTTTATATATATATATATATATGTGTGTGTGTGTGTGTGTGTGTGTGTGTGTGTGTGTGTGTGTGTGTCTGTGTGTGTGTGTGTGTGTGTGTGTGTGTGTGTGTGTGTGTGTATGTGTGTGTGTGTGTTTGTGTGTGTATATATATACATATATATAATATACATACATATACATTATATATATATATATATATATATATATTGTATTTTATGAATCATCAAGGAGCACGGTTTCAACTATAAATCTTTTAAGTGTGAGTATATAAGCCACATTTTTTGAGAGCCACATTTTTCAGACTCGGTGCAGTGCAATCCAATGCTTTTTAATGGGCTCACCTAACCCCACCCCTAAACCTACCCGTCACAGTGACGTCACTCACTCCATTGAGTGCATTGAGTCTGACATTGCATCGCTGAGTGATGTAGTCTCAGCTTGCATCATAAAGGCTGCATCCAGATATTATTGCATTTTTTTTTTTACTTCTGGCTAAAATAGTACTTTAACCTCAATCAACCATTCTTATCCTCTCCAGCTACGAGCCCGAGTTGTTTCCAGGTTTGATATATCGCATGGTGAAACCACGTATTGTGCTGCTGATTTTTGTGTCTGGAAAAGTTGTGCTCACAGGTATTGTTTTTATTCATCTTATAAATCTATTTGTCAGCATTGCATTTTAAGGGATTGTTCACCCAAAAATGAAAGTTTCCTCACCATTTACACACACTTAAATGGTTCAGAACTTTATGGGTTTTTCTTCTTCTGTTGAACACAAAACAACATCATCTGAAGAATGTTAGGGGGAAAAATAAGTAAAAATACTATAGAAGTCAATGGCTTTTGTCAACAGAAGAAAGAAATTCAAACTGTTAATTGGATGAGTAAATGATGACAATTTTCATTTTTGGGTGAACTTTTCTTTTTTGTAATTCCTTTGTTTATTCATTTTTTTCCCTGTTGTTTATGATTTTAGGTGCAAAAGAGCGGTCCGAGATCTATGAAGCCTTTGAAAATATTTACCCCATCCTGAAAGGATTTAGGAAGCAATAGATGCACCGCACTTAAACTGAGCTTATATGCACATCTTGGTGGTACTTGAGAGGTTTAAATGCATTTATTTAATCATAACCTTGTTTATTGTTATTCCACTTGGTTAAATGTCTTTACATATACTTTTTGTATTGTCTACATTTGTGAGGGATGCTGAAATAACAGACCATCCCAAAGTGTACTGTGAAATAGAGTATGTTTTGTTAAAATGTTCAGATTGTGGGCTCTGTAATGGAGACACAAAGTATCCACTTGCGTTATTATGACTATGTTTTGTCCTATTTGTACTTGTCGAACAGGTTAATAAAATGTTTGAACATTTTGCAGGATCAGTGACATTTTTCATTTGGATGTTTAGTGTTGTTTCACAAAATATCAAGGCAGCGATTGCATTGTCTCCAAGGCATGGGACAAACACAAGATGTCCCATTTTTGTTAGTTCATGCTATTAATTTGACAAAAGTGATCTTACATGCATACAAGCACATGTTGTCTAATTTAGCCTGTTTTAAGTAGCTTTTGTGAAAATAGTAGGTCAAAATGAGGGTGAAATAATGTTTCAGAATAACCTATTTCTGTAAAAAGGGGAAAAATACTTATTGGTATTTATTTATTAAAATATATAAAGTTTAAAGAGATGACATCAGGTTTTATGATTTTATAAGTGATTAAAAACTTGTTGCTGGCATATAGTTAAAACGAAGCTATTTTAAAAGGATATTTCACCCAAAAAATTTAATTCTGCTAACATTTTCTCACTCTTAACTTGTTTAAAACCTCTTTTGTTTAACACAAAAGCTGTAAGTTTACAACAACAATTGGCTTCCATAGTAAAAACTGTTTGGTTTTTCTATGGAAATCAATGGGTGCCTTCAACCAGCATTTTTCGAAATATCTTCTTTCGTGTCAACAAAAGAAACTCATGAAGGTTTAAAACTACTTGAGGTAGAATAAATCAGGTGATTTTAAATTTTTGGGTGAACTATCCCTTTAAGGATTGTTGCAAACTATTTTTACAATGTCAAAAAACAACATTATTATTATAGCTATGACTTTACAATAGAAAATATATTCAACTACAGTGGTATTTTGAATACATTTATGATTCCCATGCTACATTTCTGTAAATGACCCAACCACACCACGCACGTGACAAAATATACATAAACAACATACGTCACGTGGTGTGCGTAGGACAGACAGGCGAAACGCACAGTTGTTCATATAGCGGATTAAATACCAAAACTACGAGTCCCTATTGAATACTTTCAACTACCGATCATGTAAATCTTACAATAGAGGCTTATATTATTTACAGAGCCTTTATCGTCATGGCTTGTCCCTCAACAGGCGAACCCCTTGCTTTGGGGCCTAACGTTAGTGAAGAGCATCCAGAGTCTGGATCAGAGGCCCGGGCGCCCGCTCGATCGCAGCCGCCTCACCAGCACCTTCAGCCGGCGTGCATGAGCGCTGGGGCCGCGGTCATGGTGGAGGCGCTGGATGATGCAGAGGGGCTGTTTGTAGCCGTGGAGAGATGTCCACTCTGCAATACAGCCAGACGAAGACTAACCTGCGCCCGGTGCATCCAAAACGGGGATTTCGTGTATTTTGATGGAAGAAATCCGGAGAGGTGTCCTTTAATTTCTTGTTTATTTTCATAATGAATGCTGAAACGGTTTACACTAACATGCTAACGTTTTTTTGTATTGTCGATCTGTTTCTAACGATTTTTGTTTTAATTAAGCATATAAATAATGTTTAGTGTTTTAAAGGTTGATGTGACTTTTGTTATTGGTCTGTATTTTGCTAATTCATGTCCATAGCATGCTAACATGCTAAGTGCTAACTTTGTAAACAAACGGGCAGAGATGAAGCTTCACGTTTCTGCGTTTTTTTTAACTTCTGTCAGATGTCATTGGGATTGGCTATTTTTAAAATAAAAATTAATAAATTGACATCTGAAGGTATTGTCGTGACTTATTCCAAAGTTTATTTAAAAAACTTGGAGTTTTTGATGTACTACGTTAACCTGTGGACATGGTTATGCTTAACTTAGCTGAGTCATGTTGACAAATGTGACCACCATGATTTGTATAATAACTTTTATTATATAAAGGTACAACTTTAAAATACAAATATTGTTATATAACGCTTTTATTCTTCGGAAAATGACAATCGGTCACTTCTAATGTTTTAATGGTTGACTAAAAAATTGTAAATCTGAAATAATGACACTTTATTATATGCAAAAATACACAGATGCGGTTCATTCAAGCAGATGAAATTGTGTATACAGGGAAGATTTTAATTTTTAAGTGTTAATTAGTCTATTTTAACGTACATTTAATTGATTTTTACAGTTCCTAGTATACAGTGCATCTGGAAAGTATTCATAGTGCTTCACCTTTTCCATGTTACAGCCTTATTCCAAAATGGATTAAATTAATTTATGTCCTCAAAGTCCCACACATTTTTTTTAAATTGCTGCAAATTTATTAAATATAAAAAAAAACTGAAAAATCACATTCACAGCCTTTGCCGTGAAGCTGTAAATTGAGTTCAGGTTCATTCTGTTTCCACTGATCATTCTTGAGTTGTTTCAGCAGCTTAACTGGAGTTGACCTGTGGTAAATTAAGTTGATTGGACATGATTTGAAAAGGCATACACATGTCTACATAAGGTCCCAGGGGCGACAGTGGATGTCAAAGCACAAATCAAGCATGAAGACAAAAGAATTGTCTGCAGATATCCGAGACAGAATTGTCTTGAGCCACAAGGCTGGGGAAGGTTGCAGAAAAATTTCTGCTGCTCTGAAAGTTCCAATGAGCACAGTGGCCTCCATCATCCGTAAGTGGAAGATGTTTGGAACCACCAGGACTCTTCCTAGAGCTGGCCGGCCATCTACGCTTCACAATAGCTGACCCAGCCAGAGCCTAGACCTAAATTCTATTGAACATCTCTGGAGAGATCTGAAAATGGCTGTACACCGTCGCTTCCCATCCAACCTGATAGAACTTGAGAGGTACTGTAAAGAGGAGCAGGCAAAAATTCTCAAAGACAGGTGTGCCAAGCTTGTTTCATCATATTCAAAAAGACTTGAGGCTGTAATTGCTGCCAAAGGTGCATCAACAAAGTATTGAGCAAAGGTTGTAAATACTTCTGTACATGTGATTTTTTTTTCAGCTTTTTTATTTGTAATAAATTTGCAACAATTAAAAAAAAATTTTTTTTTTCATTTGTATTGTGTGTAGAATTTTGAGGAAATAAATGCATTGTCCATTTTGGAATAAGTAATTATAAAAAAATGTGGAAAAATTGAAGCGCTATGAATACTTTCCGGATGCGCGCTCTGTGTGTTTATTAATGTTTTGCTGTTGCTGTGCTTATTAATGTTTACGGATTGAATGTTGATTATGAATGATATTCCTTGTTATGGATAAACATTCTTCATTCCATCATTTTGTCCTATTTTTGCTAACAGATATTCAGAAAAGCTTGAAAGACTCCAAAAGTTGAAAAATGAAAAGGAGGATCTTCAGCAGAGGTATTAGATTAGCAGCATATTTAGTCACTATCTTGCATTATGCTCAGCTAATACGCTTTCATTTTTCACGTGTTTCAGAGTCATCAAAGCAATGGACAAGAAAGTCCAGGCGGATCAGCTCGTAAGTATTATTATGTGTGCTTTATAATTGAATAATCAAATAAATAAGCCTGTTTTTAAGGATGTATGTCTCTATACTGTTTTTGTTTGTTTTGCTTAACACAGAGATGGAAAATTATGTCGTGCAAGATGAAAATCCAGCAGCTCAAAGAGGCCATTTGCACCAGCAATGAAGAAGTGAAAAGTGGTGAGCATCACTGCACAAATATCCCATAATCCCATGTGTAGACATGATTCAATATATCATGATAATGAAGATGCACACTAGTGATATCTTGATATTGATATTATATAAACTTTCACAGTGCTTTGTAAGATTATTCACATTGGATTTGCAGTAGTGTTCAGATGAGCAACAATTTTTATTCTATTATTTATTTTACTTTCTTTATTATTTTTTTGACATTTAAAGCACAATGTTTGCTGGTCGAACAAACATTCGCAACACAATTAACAATAAAGCATGCATAATACAAACAGTCCATAGATTGAGATAGTTATAATAGATTAATAAAATAAATAAATAAATAAATAAAATAATAATTAAATTAAAATGACAAAAAGGAAACAAATAATAAATGAAATACAATAATAGATAATAATAATAAATAAAATTATAATAATCTTCTGTTTTAAACTAAATTGCTCTAATCTTGTTCAATTGAACTATTTCTTGCAGAATTTGTCTTTTAAAGTAATGAACAGCAACAAATTCTTAACTTGTTTTGTAAATTGTACTTAATTGGCTTAATAGTTTAAAACTATTTCAAGCTGAAATTTTAATTGGTTGTTGTTAATAGGTTGTTGTTGTTGTTGTTGTTGTTGTCCTTCTTAGACTTTACAGACCTGAAACTTGCCTATAGCACTTATTCATTGTTGCTCTTATAGTTGTGTAAATTGCTTCCTTGTTCTCATTTGTATGTCGCTTTGGATAAAAGCGTCTGCTAAATGACTAAATGTAAATGTTGTTTTTACTATTTATTGGGATATTGTGCATCAACACTATCCAATAAGGCTCCGATAGTTAATTGTCAATTTATCTAAACTTGCAATAAAAATGACAAACTTTCATTAAACTGCAAAATTTATAATCAATTTATACAATTTTTATAATATTTTTGCTATGTTTTTTGTTATAGCTGTTAAAGTAACTTTTTTTGTGATATAACCTCCAGTAACAAGTAAATTTGGTGCCACCTATGTGTAAACTTGCATAAATAGTATCATATGATGAGTTTTATCTATAAGTAGTATCTTCACTTCAGGCAAGGAGTTGTTGTTGCGCTCCCAGGAGGAAGGGCAGCGGCTGCAGCGCAGGGCTAGCCGTCATCAGGAAAAGAGGGACAAAATTAAGCGGCACAACCAGCGTCTGGGTGAACTCCTGGAGAAGAGATCCAAAGAGATGCAGGGGCGGCTGGAGGCTCTGGCTGAGGTGCGGAGAGAGCACATCCTGGAGCTCACAACTCACATCTTCAACATCCAGGAGGAGAAACAGGGCAGCAGGTCAGAGACCAGCAGAAATATACATCTAAATATAGATGATAAACAGAGTGCTCTGGGTGACATCTTGGATGAATATAGACTATTTCAATATGGCGATATCAATTGTCCATGAGGAGTTCCTGCTTGACGTAAAATCTATTTCAAACTGTAACGTTTCAGTCATAACACAGCTGTCATAAAAAAAATGTATCAATATCTGGTCTTTTACACAAATCTACCAACCTCCTTTGGCGTTATTTCAATGACAAATGGAGAAATGTCATGAGCGCAGTATTACAAGTCGAGACTCAAGATCGCATTTATGTAATACGAGCATGCAAATCTTTTTGCTTGCGCACCGATTGCTTTTGCACAAAACCTTTTGCATGCCCTGTGATGAAACTGTGTTCATCTTAATTGAAAGCTACGTCGTGTTTGCTGGCCTCGCGCATCACGCACCTATCAGTCAGCCAGCATGTCACCTTAAAGGGTTAAACAAATAGCGCACAGCACTACTACAATTACAGAAAAGTTTGCGCTGTTACAATTAACTTACCTTTTAATGCGTTTTGGTGCGATTTATAACCCGCTATAAGAAACAACAACAACAATGACTGAATGTTTTGAATCAGAAGCTGTAATGTAGCCGTGGTGGGATGAATTTTGGTGTGGTGCCCCGCCATGGATGAATAAATGTAGCGGAAACCATGTAGCATATTAGAAAAATTACTGAAATAAATGAAAATTTTTCCTAGAGATGGGTTGCGGCTGGAAAGGCATCCGCTGTGTAAAAACTTGCTGGATAAGTTGGCGGTTCATTCCGCTGTGGTGACCCCGGATTAATAAAGTGACTAAGCCGACAAGAAAATGAATGAATGAATAAATGAAATTTTAAAATGTATTAAAATAGAAATTGTTAAATTTTAATGACACACCGATCCTACTTTTATTGTATTCAAAATCAAATGATTTAATCATATAAATTCCAGCATAAGCTACTTTACGAGTTCACTCTCACAGATATTTGACTGAATAGAAAATGCGTATTTGGCCTGCTGTCCGGGGAGAGGGCTCAGAAAGACACCTTAACTCGGATGTCAAACTCAATTCCTGGAGGGCCGCAGCCCTGCACAGTTTAGTTCCAGCCTCGCTTCAACACACTTACCTGTAGGTTAACAAGACTAAAGCACTTAATTAGTTTGGTCAGGTGTGTTTTTTTTAGGGTTGGAACTAAACTGTGCAGGGCTGTGGCCCTCCAGGAATTGAGTTTGACATCCCTGCCCTAACTCGTGTTATTACCCTTATCAGGATAGTGAGAGATGGGGTCCGAGCGCAGTGTCTAGCCTGGCTCCAGAACACTCTCAGATTTAAGCAGGTATCGGGTTTAATAGCGTGGTGCATGGGCGCTCAAGTCAAGAAAAAACAAGGCGTAGTATGAGGTATGGAGAGGTATGGCGTGTTTGACTATTTATAGGGGTTTGGTCTTGAGCTAATTGTATAATGGCTCGTTTCCACTGACTGGTACAGTATGGTACGGTTCGGGTCACCTTTATCAGGCTTGCGTTTCCATTACCAAGGGTACCCTTTTGGTGGGCGTGGTGTATGACAAAGTTTCAGTCGACGTCATTTTTGCTTGAGAAAATGTCTACAATAAAGCTGCACAGGTCGTTCACATATCATATGAAAAGCACTTCTCACAAAACAGATGCTTTACACACATAAATACTTGTGTATAAATGTTTATTACTAACTTTTCTATAAACAGGAGTTGTTTATAACTGCAGATCAATGATGGTGCGAAATAGCCTACTGTAACGTCTGTAATTATATTAAATAAATGAATAAATGAACATATATGAACACATACAGACCCTTACAGTCTCCGATATGTTACCAACTACAGAAGAACTACACAAAGCAGACATTTCGTCGTTAATTAGGTTCAAAACAACACAAAGTATAGCCTACAGTCAGTGAAAACCTCTCATCTGTGTCTGTAACCTTCAGCAGCACATGAAGCCTCTGTTAGAGAGTCATTCCATCATTCCCAGTTCATATTAGTCTAAAAGGTGATAATAAAGATTAAAACAAGGCAGTTTGTTCACGTTTGCTGAAGAAATAACGTGCTCCTTGGCTTCGCCTTTTTTCCCGCGCTCCACTCTCGCGTTTGTCCTTTTCTTTTTAAATGTGTCACTCTCGTTTGTCAGCTTCTCACATGATCGGGTTTCCAAAAGCTTGTCAATAATCAAGTGCATGTTATTATCATCAGCTCAAGAAGTTTGTTATTTTAGATAGAGACGCGCGGCGAGCGCAAGGAAGAAAGCGAAACCACTCGGGCTTCAGACTGGCTCGTTAAAAACTACACGGCACAGGGTGAATCTGCTCTTCTCCATGTCTTTGTGGCTGTTTATCATGACGACGACGACAGGGGTTGTTTGCAGGATCGACCATGGCTGCATATGTATATATAATTCCGCTGTAATCTCTCGCTGTGTATTTCAAACATGGCGGGTCCTTTGTTTACATTCTGGCTTGTTGCGTCTACGTATGACGTATCTCTGTAAACCAATAGCGTTCAGCTGCGCGTGTAGCTCCACCTTTTGGGACCCTTTCTGCAGTTTGGGACCCTTTCGAAAGGGTCCCGAAAAAGTGGTACGGTTTGGTTTAGTACGCCTTTTGACAATGGAAACGGCCATAAAAGCGTACCAAACCGAACCGTACCGTGCCACTCAGTGGAAACGGGCTATAATAGAATGATTGTCTGTGATGATTTAGCCTCGTCAAAGACTGATCGTGCTCCTCCTGAAATTTATTTATTAAACTTCACATCTTTCCAAAGCTGTCAAAAATAATACCAAGCTCAATCCTTTGAATGCTTTGACAGTGTGTATTTTATATATAGTCTCCAATAATCTTGTTTCTTTTTGAATTGAGCAGACTAATAATAACACCCTTTCTCCAGAGACACTGTTTGTATTTTTAGCTTGGAATTGATCAAACTAATCTTGTTATGCCAGGTGTTGAATATGATGTCTAAAGTATTTTAAATGTTTTGTACTGTTCAGGGACCCGGCGGATCCAGCCGTGGCTGAGTATGATCTGGCTCTGACCTCCAGCACTGTCAGTGAGCTTGCAGAAGCCCGGAGAACCACCTATCACTCGGGCCGCTGGATCTGGGATGATCAGAACGGAGAGACGAGCATCAGCATCACTGGACCACACGTCACATTACCCAGCAATGGAGACTGTTCAGCTTATTACAGCTGGGTGGAGGAGAAGAGTGGAAACCAGGGGCCAGGTGCACTCTTCACTTCTCCTCACTGTCACAGCATGTTTAACATTTTTGCATTAATTGAAATCTGCACTGCCAATCAGAGGTTTGGGATTAGGATTTTAAAGATTTGGGCTTGGAATGAGAGGGGACTGGATGCAGACCTGGTGCACTGCAATCTGAGCCAATCCAATGCTTTTTAATGGGCTCACCTAACCCCACCCCTCACCCTACCCCTCACCCTGACGTCACTTGCTCCATTTGAGTGCATTGTGTGTGACATTACATCGCTGAGTGATGCAATCTCAGCTTACATCATAAAGGCTGCATCCAGATACTAATGCTTGGAATACCCAAAGACATTTTTTAGCCTCTTATAAGGTTTTCTAGTCTTTTTTAGCATTTAAACTTGAGATGAAAATAGCCACTGAAGCTGGTCGTGTATTAACAGGGTTTGAAATTGCGACCAATTTGGTCGCATATGCGCCCGAAATTTAAGCTATGAGACCTCATAATGTATATTGGGAGCATTCATGCGAGTATATAATGGTTGTAGTGCGACCTGTTTTTTTTATTTTATTTTATTTTTTTTAAACGTGGTTAAATCTGTCTTCCCTGCCGCTATTTTGGTTCATATTAGCTGTCAATCACTCAAGACTTTCCTCTGTCAGATGACAGGGAGGGAGCTTTTGTGTCCGCGGGGAATGCAAACGGCTGAAGAGTGAAAAGTACACTGAATCTCGATGCGTTGCATGCACTGCGTGTTCAGCCAACACAATCTCACGGCAATTCGTAACATTTTCATACGATTCCTCGTGAGATCAGGCTGCAACAGCGCAAATATCCACTAAAACACCATCGACAAAGAAGCTTACCTTTACTGAGTTTAAACAGATGCGGGTTATACTTATAACAAAGAACAGTATTGCGCCGATGGTCATCGGGAGAATCCTGCTCTGCCCCTATCATATTGGGCATGCTTTTCCACAAACACAAAAAAATGTAATTCAGCGCGTAACGAGGCTGAGCATTAAAACGACACGAACCGAAACCAAAACTTTTAAAAGTGAGACTTTTCTTCATTTCTTTTCATTTGTCCGTTCTTTCTTGAGGTGAATATTATTTTTCTATTTAATTACTGATGACTGCTTTGCAGCTTTCAGCATTGAATTGAATGATTTATTATAATATTTTGTTTGTTTTGTAGCAGAAATATTATTTATAAAATTGACATACATATAAAAACAATAGTACTAAATAAATATTTCTTACTACAATGCTTAATTTGTGTTTGCAAACCATCAATTTATTTTTCATAAAGTAACAGTAGGACTTTATATAGCAGATAACTTGCATTAAAGCACATTCAAGGCAGCATGAGGATGAGAAATATAATTCATTATTAGTATTATTGTCATCATCATCATCATTAATATTTTATAATTATTCAACATTCATTTTGGAATTATTGCACAAATATTAAGTCATCACAGCATTAGTTAGATAGTTGTTTCTGGGTTTTGTTAGTCCCAATTGATGTTGTTTTCAAATACAATAAATCCCTTAATATACAACTTGTCAAATATATCACTCATTTTTGGTGGGTGCTCCTAAATTTTTTTTGGTGCTCCTAAATTTTTTCTGGTGCTCCTAAATATTTCGGATTGGGAGCACCGGTGCTACCAAGTAAGAAAGTTAATTTCGAGCCCTGATTAAGACTCTAAATAATTAATCATTATTTTTCAGATTGTAATTAAAGAGATAGTACACACCATGGTTTACGTTACATTCATTCTTCCATGGCGGGGCGCCACACCAAAGTTCATTCCTGCCACGGCTATATTACAGCATCTCATTCAAAACCTTCAGTTGTTGCTGTTTTTTTTCTTTTATTGTATAATCACACCAAAATATAAGTGAATTATAAAAGAGCAAACTTTTCTGTAATTGTAGTAATGCTTTGTGCAGTGGTGGAAAGAGTACTAAAATAATCATACTCAAGTAAAAGTACCATTACTTGCCTAAAAATGTAGTGCAAGTAGAGTAAAAGTATCTGTTGTAAATATCACTCAAAGTATGAGTAAAAAGTAGCCCTTTTAAAAGTACTCGAGTAGTAAGTAGTGAGTATTATGCTGTGAAAAGCTGATGCCACTTACATGCAATTCGTGGGTTTGTAAACGTAACATTCTGTAGTGCTTTTAGTTATTGCCCAGCAGGCACACAACATCATAAGACATTGATATTAGGTTAGATTTAGGTCGTGGTGTCAGGTGATCAAAATTCAATGTCTAGCAAGCATATAAGCACAATGTTAATTTGATGTCCAATAATGTTATCAAATGACGTTGATATTTTGTTGATTTTTAGGTTGTTAGAAAGTGACCAAATCCAACATCTTAAACCAACCATATTGACATCAAATACTGACATTTATTCATCAGGTATGGCGACCAAAATCTGATAGACGTCATAGTGGTAATGTCCACACATCGTCAAGTTGTAACATCATTTGATGTTGGTTTTAGGTTGGACATTGACGTTGGCCTGACGTTGAGTTCTGACGTCAACCCTATTTTCATTTTAAATTTTCGTCATCATTAAGTAAACATTGGTCATTTTCTCATCAGAGACATGCATCTAAACTGCATCTCTGGGTCAATGCATATTAAGATTTTGGACATCGTCATGGACATTTTTAATGCTATCAAAAGATTTGCTGCATTTATAAATCGCCCATGTCTTGAGGTAGTTTACTATGAGGCGATTTGCCTTCTATGTGCGATTTGATTGGACAGGAATGACTGGAAGGATTTTTCTAATCCCCATAGACAGGAAAAATGAAGTAGTGGAGTAAAAGTACCTATAATGCACTAAAAATGTACTCAAGGGAAAGTAAAAGTACACATTTAAAACTACTTAATAAATTACAATTCCTGAGAAAAACTACTCAATTACAGTAATTTGAGTATTTGTAATTAATTACTTTACACCACTGGCTGTGCGTTATTTGTTTAACCCTTTAAGGTTATATGCTGTCTAACTGACTGACAGGGCTGCTCGATGCATTTGGCCAGCAAACATGACGTAGATTTCAGTTAAGATGAACACAGTTTCTATAAGTGAAGTTTATTTATAAACAAATTTCGAGAGGATCACGTGCTTATGATTGTTCACAGCTGTTCCAACTTTAGCTAACGACTGATCATCCTATCAGAGGATCCTTAACTCACTATAAATAACCAGACTTTTCTCATCTCAATATCTTCGTCTTGAAGAAACCCTCCCACCCAACCCTACTTTCCCTCCTTTCAAACAGGCGTCACGGTGGTCAGCGATTAGCGCTGCCTCACAGCAAGAATGCCCCTGGTTTAATACCTTTCCAAACCAGACGGCATTTCTGTGCGGAGTTTGCTCGTTCTCCCGTGGTCGCGTGGGTTTTCCCCGGGTCCTCCGGTTTCCTCCCACAGTTTAAAAACAAGCACTCTAAACATTTAGTCCAAATACTTTAGCTAAACTCTAAGTACACCTTTCAGCATCCATATCTGACACTTAGCTACAACAAGCAAGAGGGGGAGTCATCGAGATCTACCTGAGCTCAAACTCCCCTCTCGCCTTGCAACGGGAGGGAGCCCAGGGCTCGAGGATCTTATAAGCTCAGGGCTCTCTCCCGGGACAGCACGCCAAACTAGCTTTATTATCAATCATCAGCTAAGTGTGAACTCTTGAATTATACTTTATTTAAATATAAAGGTCTGTGGCTGTGCATACAATGACTTTATCTTGCTGGAGTTTATAGCCGCTTCATTTTACTTCAGGACGCATCAATGCCATTCTGTAGGTGTATTAAATACTTTCATGAATATTCCTAGCAAAACTAATAAATGTTGGAGAGATGTTACATAAACGCACTAAATCGCACTTCAGCAGCGTTTATTCAAGAGTGCACAAGAAAATCTGCACTTGAGCAGCGTATATTTGAGGGTGTGCAAGAAGTTTTGTGCACGAACAGATGAAATCAGCACGCAAGCAAAGAGATTTGCATGCTCGTCAGAGGTGTGAACCTACACTAGTCTCACGGTTTGGTTCGGTTACGATTATCATGCCATCGATTCGGTTCAATTCGATATTTCGATGCATCACGGTGCATTTACGGTGCTTTCCATACACAGTTTTATATTTTCTTCACAGCAGCATTTCTTGTATTAAAATGTATGAATATATTTATATTTATATACTATTTGTAATACAATTTTGTCATTTAATACAAACAGTCAGATATATAAACTGTAACTTTAAACAAAACGAGCATTTAGCAAATAATATAAACAAATATAAATATCCAGCTCAATTTCTGATCCTTGTCTAGTTCTCTTACACCCCTTTGATTGGTCACACCCTCAAAAAAACGGTTGCGATTGGCTCTTGCGCGCTGCGTTCTGCACAGATGAGTGATGCTGATAAGCGGCAGGTGGCAGCGGCGATCTCACAGCTAATGTATGATAGACATGGTGGAGAAAACTCTGCAGACACGCGCTCGTTTCTGGATGCAAAAGTAACGCTGTAAAACAGCCGAGAAGAGAAGAAAAACCACGCCAGCAGGTCAAATGGGCCACTGTGTGTGTGTGAGAAAGAGAGAGAGAAAGAGAGAGAGAGAGAGAGACAGACAGACAGACAGACAGACAGTGCGCGCGCGAGAAAGAGAGAGAGAGAGAGAGAGAGAGAGAGAGAGAGAAATGGAGTAGGCTACTTTCATTCTCTCGATCTCAGTGAAATAGGGGCTATTGTTGTATATGTCAGTGAAAGACTGATCCAGCAAACACACACAATGAAATTGTGCACAGTTTATGAGTTTTAAGTAGTTAAAGCGCTGTAAATACTCGCGATCGCCTCCCTCGCGACAGAGCGCATATGAGGTAAATGACGTCAGTAATAACCGGTTATGATTATTGCTGAACCGATACCGAATTGTCCGCGTCTGCATCGCAGTGCACCAAAAAACTATTATTTTTTAAACCCCTAATGCTCATATTACATGAATGCAATCTCGACTTATAATACTGCACTCACGACATTTGTCTTTGAAATGGGTAGTCATGGGTAGTTGGAAGATCTGTGGCCTGCCACCACAGCTGGAAAACAATCCTAGAGAAAACACTGGTTCACAATAAAATGAAAAGTTGCAATTCCCTTTTTATCAATAATGTTTTTAGCTGATGGTCATTGGTGATTCATACAATGCAAATCAATGGCTACCATCACTTTGAGTCCAAAAAAGTAAATAGTAAAGAAATAGTATATATATTCTCCCTCTCTCCTTCTCTCTTATACACACACACACAAACACACACACACACACACACATACAAGTATATACATATATTATTTTTTTCGTAGCAAGGTTGACATTTGCACAACTGACAATAGCTGCTTTTTAAATATTTGACATATAAGTGTTTAGGAATAATAATGAGAATAAAAACCGATAATACTCCTTTAGGACTTGTAAGATATGAATAGTAATGCAAATATTGTGATGTTTAAACATTTGACATGTTTTCTTTCCTGTCTTCCAATCTCGAAAAAAAAACATTAAGAAAAATTACATAATTGTAACAATTGTCACATAAACAGTGACTTACACTATTGTAAATATTTAAACAATGGTAAAATGTTAAAGGGGTAGTTGACACAAAAATAAAAAATTACTCCATTTTCTCAGCCTCAAGTGTTTCCAAACCTTTATGTATTTCTGTTAAACTGTAAAGAAAGTATTTTGAAGAATGCTGAAAACCTGTAACTATTGACGTCTATAGTAGGAAATAAAGATGAAAGTCAATGGTTACAGGTTTTCAGCATACTTCAAAATATATTCTATTCTGTTTAACAGAAGAAAGAAACTCATGAAGGTTTGGAACAAGTAAAGTAAGAACAGAATTTCCATCCCTTAAAACGTGGTTCAATATTTAATATACCCCTGAAGTCTGCACAATTTCCTTTGATAAAACTTGTTTATCCAGTTTTTCATATAATGTAGTAAAAATAAAGGCTCTTCTTGTTAAGTACAAGTTCTACTACTCTGTTTTTAAAATCTCGATTCTTTCTCTTGTAGAGCTGGACTACATCAACCCAGCACACACCATCAGCGCGGCCCTCTGCTATGCTACACAACTCGTCAATATCCTCTCTCATATCCTGGATGTCAACCTTCCCAAAAAGCTGTGCAACAGGTTACAGAATGTTTATTTCATCAAAGCTTCTAAGTAAAACCTCTAATAATATCCAGTAATTATAATTTCTATAGCACTTTTACAATGTAGATTGTGTCAAAGCAGCTTAACATAGAAGTTCTAGTATTTAGGCTTTTTTTAGAGAGAGTTTGAGTGATTTCATGCGTCCTAAATCATATTTTGTCTTCTCTATAGTGAGTTCTGTGGAGATAATCTGACTCGCTACCGATTCACCCGCACCGTCAACAAACTCAACACCAACGTCCTGCATCTCTGCTTCTCACAGGTAACTATAACATTAAAGATGACCTATTATGCATTTACATTTAGTCATTTAGCAGACGCTTTTATCCAAAGCGACTTACAAATGAGGACAAGGAAGCAATTTACACAACTAAGAGCAACAATGAATAAGTGCTATAGGCAAGTTTCAAGTCTGTAAAGTCTAAGAAGGGAAGTATTAGTAGTATTAGTTTTTTTTTTTTTTTGGGTACAGTTAGTGTGATATTCAAAGAGGCAATTGCAGATTAGGAAGTGAAGTGGAGACTAAATAGTCGAGTTTTTAGTCGTTTCTTGAAAATAGCGAGTGACTCTGCTGTTCTGATGCAGTTAGGGAGTTCATTCCACCAACTGGGCAGATTGAGCGTGAGCGTCCGCGAAAGTGATTTCTTCCCTCTTTGGGATGGAACCACGAGGCGACGTTCATTCACAGAACGCAAGTTTCTGGAGGGCACATAGATCTGCAGAAGTGAGCGCAGATAAGAAGGAGCAAGGCCAGAAGCCACTTTGTAGGCAAACATCAGAGCTTTGAATTTGATGCGAGCAGCAACTGGCAGCCAGTGCAAACGGACTAGCAGCGGAGTGACATTTGCTCGTTTAGGTTCATTGAAGACCACTCGTGCTGCTGCATTCTGGAGCAGTTGAAGAGGCTTGATAGAGTTAGCTGGAAGCCCAGCTAGTAGAGAGTTGCAGTAATCCAGTCTGGAGAGAACAAGAGCTTGAACAAGGAGTTGAGCTGCATGTTCAGATAAGAAGAGTCGGATCTTTCTGATGTTTTGCCTCTTTTTACAAGATTTAAAATAAGTCTCTGATGTTCTTAGAGTGTGTATGTGAGATTTTACCTCAAAATACCCCTCAAATAATGTTATATTACTCTTTATATCCCATTTAGGCTTTGATCCTAATTGTGCCTTTTTGGTGACTGTCGCTTTTAATTAAAATGAGATTCGAGGCTTCAAATGCCTGTGTATCAGCATAGTGGCAGATTCAAAAACAAGACTAACATATTATGCTAATGAGGGAGAGATGGTCACTAGAGGGCGGGGCTTTCCCACTCTAATGACACGTACAAAGGGAAAATGTCAATCAAACTGTTTTATCAAGCGTGATTATAAAAAGTATAATTAATAAATGTTTACTATTAGAAGCTGGTTGTATTCATAGACTGGTGCCACACAACTGTGTTTAATAAAAGTGATTTTTGCATAATAGCTCTGCTTTAATACTATAAACCAAGTCTTGACCGTCCTTCACGTTTATGCTCTCTTCTTAGCATGTTGACGGTGAACTGCTGCATCCTCATCACACTTTGAGGAATATCATGTTTCTAGTGTCTCCGGTGAACAAAAACCTCGGCAGGTGAGAGTTAACACAATTCCTTGGTTGAATGAATGTACTTGAATTAAATTGTACATGTATTGAGATAAGCTAAATTGTTTGCAGATGGCTGTTCATTTTTTTGTTTGTTTGCTTTACTGTCATTCGAAACGTTGGAGTCGGTATTCAGTTTTATACATTTTTTTTAAGGAAATTATTTATGAATTGTTCACTTGAATCACTCAGGACACCGTTTAAATTCAGAGTGCATAGTTTTATATGTTAGTTAATATATTTTTAAGTTTTTGACTTTTCTAAAGCATACAAATACCATAATATGTTTGCAGATGCGAAGTGAACATATTTGTTTATCTAAAAAACAATGCCGAAGTCAGATATTCTGCTTTGAAAATGTGCATTTCGTGCCCGAACGTCTGACTTTGTCATTTAACCCACCCACTGCCAGTTTAGCCAATTATTTTTCAGCAGCCCGGTTTACCCTGGTGGAAAACTGCATGTTTCATTCATTCAGTCAGAAAGGCTCTCAAAGTATGTCCGCTACTGAAATGCGACTTCTGGTGGACAGTAGCAGCCTCCGAAATGAGACACAAATTCAGTTTTACACATGAGGTGGTTTTTAATTAGCAAATAATATAAATATTACAACTGTAATCATTAGGTGAGCAGGTTACATTGTAACCCCATGTCACGTTACGTGAGGAGATTTGCAGTGATAAGCAATTTTGGCTGTTTGCACCAAACGAAACCTGACGGAAATTTAAATACAACCATTCAGAAGCACCGAATGGTGCACTCACTGCACTCCAACGAAATGCTAAAGTTTATAATGTAATAAATACATATTTAACCTCTTTAACATTATTAAAAGTACATGCTAAATCACTGATATGTGTTGGCTTGCATTGAGTCACAGTTCTAAAGTTCATTTTTACCCGCTGCTGCATTCAGTAGTAGGGCAATAAATGTCACACAAAAATGACATTCAAACTCACATTATTAGCATTCGACACTAAATAAAGCACACGAGGTTTACCTGAGGTGGTCATTGTCAGTTTATCCTGTTGTTCAGCTACAAGAAATAAAAGCCGTTTTTAAAATATATATTTCAGGTGTTAGAACAAAAACTCCTTTTAATATGGAAATTATTCTTTTTAATCTCCTGCCGTTGCTTTTATTTAGAACACTGTTTCAATCAGCCTTTAGGCTTGATAGTCAGTCCTGCTGTTCATGTCATCAATCTGGCAACCTGCACTTGCATTTGTTTTGAACTAGGAATGTAATACCTAGTTCAACCACTGGGTGTCAAACTTAGATACTGCAGCTTTAACAAACCCAAACAAAGAAGTCTCCAACTAAGGCATTGCGTTCACAACTTGGCTATGGTTAAATCCGATTAAAACCTTTGATCTTATTCTACAATGTGGAAGTTTGCTTATTTTTGCGATTTGATTTAGAACTTCAAATTCAGTTGTCTAAGGGAGAAATGACTCAGAATAATAAACGGCAGAAAACTTACTTGGTCTACAAGCAAGTGTGTTCATGACTACAGACAAAGTAGAGTAATAAAATAAGATCAGTTTGCAACATCAAGCAGCAGAACGAGCTGTTTTTATCGTCTAAAAATCAATAGAAGTGAACGAGATTGGAAGTTTTGAGCCAAAAAGATTCCTGCTCGTATGTGAAGAATAAGGTCGGAAAGTGAGAGGGAGAAAAAAACTGAAATGAAAATCAAAATGTACAGTAAGATTAACACATTGCAACTTTTCTGCTAGGACGGGGCCGTTTGAGGTGAGCGCCGACCTGGAGGAGTCGATGGAGTTTGTGGAACCGGAGGCTGCAGGCCCTGCGGAAGAGAGCGGAGACGAGGCCGTGACGGATGAAGAGACTGATCTGGGTACAGACTGGGAGACAGTTCCCAGCCCTCGCTTCTGTGACATCCCTTCCCAGCCCATGGATCTGTCCCAGAGCGGCATGCAGGCGTCCCAGCCGGTGGGCAACGCAGGAGGAGGCATGATCTCCTCCGCCGCCGCCTCCGTCACCTCGTGGTTTCGTGCCTACACAGGCCAGCGCTGAAATCCGGGGTATATGCAAACATCCCATTCATTACTGTCACCCTCACTTGGCTGCTGGGGCAAATAAAGGGAACGACTGATCCTATTAAAGCCATAGTTCACCCAAAAATGAAAGCTGTCATTATTTTGTAGTGTTGATATTTTGAAGAATCTTGGAAACTTGTAACCATTGACTTCCATTTTATTTGTCTTTTCTACTATGGAAGTCAATAGTTACAGGTTTCCAACATTCTTCAAAATATCTTCTTTTGTGTTCAGCTGAGCAAACATCAAAGCAAAACTCTCTATTGGAAGAAATAAAGGGATGATGGCAATGTTGGTTTTTAGGTGAGCTATCTCTTTAAGTAAATGTGGGAGAGAAACCAGAGTGAAGGTTATATCCTTTTTTGTCATGATGTAAGAATGTAGTGAACTACTTTTGACATTTTTAATGTTTTGTAGCTCACGTTATACTGTAGACACCTGTCGGTCAACTTTATTCAGTGTACATTGCCAAATAGAGTTGCTTTGAAGAGACTTGACTGTGATGGATTGAATCTTCTCACCAGCTCTTCAAGGAACTTCACTGTATAAATGTTGCTGGACTGTGAGAGTGAGCGAGTGGCAAATATTATTGATGACTAGTTTTATTAGGTTATAAATTGACAAACGGAACTGATTTTATGAACAAATAGCTAGTGTTTTTCGTTGATTTTTGTCCTCAATCATTGCGAGCTGCATTGGGGTTTCAGTATCCTGCATTTGCTCTTAGGATTTATGGACAGGTTTCTTTTACATATTACTTGATGAAAGCAAGTGGTGCTCGCTGCAGAGCCATTTGAGGAGAGCTGAGCTCCAGCGAGGGGGAGCTTAAGCTTGAGCTCCACCTTTTTTGCACTTCTTCTACGAGTGATGTCACTGGGGGTAGGGTTAGGGGTAGGGTTGGTGTACGCATTAAAACAGCTTACAGGAGGAGGAGCAACAGCTCATGCTCCCCCTCGCTGGAGCTCAGCTCTCCTCAAATGGCTCTGCAGCGAGCACCCTCTCGATGAAAGTGCATATGTGCTGTTTTATTTTAGATATTTTTTTTTGTATTATCAATTATTAAATACATCAGCTATTAAACTGAATACCTCTATACAATTCAATAGTTTTTCTTGTGTATATAAGGGTCAAAAACATTTTGTTTTCAACATCTTATTGATTCAGGGTAATTAAATCTCAAAAATCACAATTTTAGTCCTGAAAAAGTCTTAAATTCACTGAATTATTGTGTTGTTGGTCTTAATTTTCCTTTTATTTATGTATTGCTAGTAGGGATGTAACGGTATCAATTTCACGATACGGTAATACCTCGGTATGAATGGCACGGTACTGTATTTATTGAATCATTTAAAGGAAAAACAAAACTATTGAAGAGACTCAAAAGTGCTAGAATGTTCAAGTTTCCTCAACACTAAACAGATCAATGACATACAAACGATCTATCTGTAAACTTTCAAACAGGAACTTAAATTATTCAATTTTAATAACAAAAAATATTAAACCATGTAAAAAAAAACACCACTCGAAAGGACAAGCCATGAGTGAGATAGAGGTCTCGTGGTGGTACAAGTCAATGTCTGCATCAATCTGAGCAGAGTGCTGTGTTCTGCTGTCCCCTCGACTAAAAGAATCCCCATCATGTTAGTCGTATTCCCCGACTTGTATTTCAGCACAGTCTGGCTGTGCCTGCAAACCCTTTTTTCTGTCTCCTTTTCTTCTTGTTTCTTTTCAGAGAGAAACTGAAATGCTTCCACTCATCTGATTTAAAACCTGCTTTAGGTTCGACCATTTTTAGCTCTTTTTCTTTGCCGCTACTAGCAGCACACTCCATTTCTGCATTACTGGATCTGTAGCAACAACAGACCGCAAAGGATGATGGCCACGCCTGGGCTGATGAAAATTGTAGTTTCCGCTACCTCCCATTCGCTCCATTTGCCTGAGCAAACTTTTCACCAAAAGACCTATGATTTTATGGAGTCACAACCACGGTAATATTGAAAGAAATTGCTATTGCGGTATGACGGTATTTACAATATTGTTACATCCCTAATTGCAGGGTTCAACGCTAAGCATTTTTTCTACTGGTCCAATTGGGCAAGTGGTTCAGATTTTTACTTGCCCTGCCAAAATTTTTACTGGCCCCACCTAAAAAAAAAAAGAAAAAAAAAAGGGAAGTTAAAAGCCATGTTTTAGCCGCATATTTTAAATAATGTGTCTAAAAAAAAAGTCTGCCAATCTAGAATTTCAATACTTAAAAAAAAAAAAAATTGTTAATAAAAGTGTAATGCAAACAAAAAGAGCAGTATAGAAAATGTGGAGGTATTTTATTGCGGTTCGAAATTATTTAACAAAAGGTGGGTGACTTGTCAAACTGACGGCAAACTTTGCAAAACATCACTTAATTATTTTTGTTGCGATGTTCACACAGAAAATATTTGCTTCCAAGATGTTAGAAACAGACATTTTCTTTTAGCCTTATAATTTGATGTTGCTGCCATGTTGTCATTTCTTCGCTGTACTGGTTGTTACCAGGTTACTGAAAAAAATAGCATGCTCAAAACATCAAATCAGAGAAGAGGAACCAGAAAGCAATATGGTGTTTACGACATCACAGAGAAGGTAGTGTTTAAAGACTTAAAAGCACAAACTTAAAATGCACGCAATTGAAAAATAGTCGAAGACAAACTAAATGTTAGTGACAAGGCAGCAATGTCCCAATCGGGCCAGTAATGATCCTGTCTACTGTCCCAAGCATCTCTCACGCTGGCCCTGGGCCACCGGGCAGTCCTTATTGTTGAGCCCTGCTAATTGCTAGCCAATGTGGCCAACACCCATTCAATCTCCAACAATCATCTCAATAAATCTTTAAACTTTTTTTATTTAAAAAAGTTATTTTTAATTATTTATCCTAATGGTTTAATTATTTTGATTACAGTAACATTTGTTTAAAAGTTCTCCATGTATTTACTGCTGAGGACACCGACCTGGGGGCTGTTCCAGAAAGCAGGTTATGTGACATACCCGGGTAAGTTTGAGAGTAAGTAGGTGGATAACCTCAACTTTGGTTCCAAAATCAGAGGTAACTTCTGGGTATGTTAAGTAGCCATAGCAACTTACTCTCTGAAGATAACCTGCTCCGGAGCAGGTTATGTTCAGAGAGTAAGTTGCTATGTTTAAGAGTTTGTCTGTTTCAGAAAGTTTACTGAGCATTGCGTGCTCTTTTGATGGGAATATTTATGGATGTGGACACACAGATACAAGTTTTTTCGTTGTGAGAGGGTTATAAGTGCATAGTTTTTTTCATAACCAAATTCATAATGTTAATGTATTTAACAAACCTTTTTGAAATCAAATGTGACAAATCCCGGGTCTGCGCTTACCATAAAAAACATTCAGTGCAGCTCTCTGTATTTGCGTCAGGGCATTTTAGGCAACTGTACAATGTGGCAGTAGGACCACCTGTACAGTACGCCTGGCACTGAACTGTTTTTTAAACTTTTGTACAGTTCCTTGGTCATAAATCACTGCGTATCATTACACAGATGATTCAGAGCACGGCAATAGTGTAGTGGACAGTGCGTCGTTAAAGAACAACGGTGCGCACAACGGAGCTAGTTCGAATCTCACTTACAGATCTTGTGTTTTTTCTCTTCTTCTGCACCCTCACATTTCTGTATAATATTATAAGTGGCAGCTTTGTCTTTTGTAGGAAAATATATCTTTAATTTAAGATGTAGGACGTCGTTCTTATATATACATTCACGCACACACACCTACATTTTTTAATATAATATTTTTTTCAGGGTTTCTAAATGCTATTGTGTGCATTAATTGCAGCCGATTTTAAAGCTCCATCAGTCACTAAAGGACACTGATAATATAAAATTTGTCCAAAGTATAAGTGTGCAGGTACAACTTAATTTTCTATCCTTAATCTTGGTGTGAACTTATTGCTGCTTCCACCTACCAGCTCATATGTGATGACCCCACCTCATCACTATGTTGAGGCTAAATGGCTGATTTTCAGGAAGTAATGATTCAAGTGTATAACACAAATATAGTAAAAAAAACTATAAAGCAAATGTTGCTTTACACAATGTTTATTTTTATTATATTTGTATTATAAAATAGAATCATTACTGGGCACTACATTGTTACTTGCTGGAGGACAAAAGATACCCTTTTCTGCCTTATACGATGACACGTACCTGCAGCCTGACCCAGAGGAAATCTCAGTGACCCAAGCAGACAAAACAGATGGAAGAGTGCTAAAAATATATAATTAGTCAAAAAAACATGTTTAATCAAATACTTTGGTCTGTTCATTTCTTCATTTCCTGAAATAAAATGAATGATTTTGTACACTGCTTTATACACACCTTTCAACGTGTAACATATTTTTCATATACATTTCTCACCTTAAGTTGATGCTCATGTGACTTTATCTTTGAAGATGGACCTTATACAGCTACTTTAGAATTTAAATATGTAGATAAAAGATTTTGTGATCCAAGAGTAATATTCAAATATGGAAAAGTGCAGAAAATTCTTACACTGCTTGTTAGTTGAGGCAGAAGGAACTTCGGCTGCATGCAAAATAAAAAGAACCTAAAGCTATCTGACAACAATCACTTACAACAGAGACAGAGTGTGTGGTTTAAGTCAAAAACTCAACCACTAAAAAGCATTTATTATAGGACACAGCAGTTAGACTAGCCTCTTTCTATTAGCTGCATGTCAGAAAGAATATTCTAGAGTGTTAAATAAAGAGCTCCAGTAATTAAATATTACCTTTTATGATAATGTTTCTGTGTTTAATGACTTTGGACAGAGTTCTAGCTCCAGAAAGATTACAATTTCTATAAGCCTTATTAGTCAATACACATATTGTGGCCTTAAGAAATTAATGGCAAGAAAAATAAATGCATGAATGGTTACACAACATACTTAAAAAGGATGTTAAAGAGTATTTTAATTTATCATTACAATAAAATGGAGGGTGGCATGTGTAATTTAATGAACTAACAAACTTTCTTATTATTTATTTTTTCTTTTCTTATCTATTTCTTATTCTATATTTCTTTCCTTCGTTGAAGCAGATGTGTAATCTCTGTGTTTAAAACCTCCAGCTTCGCCTCTGTAAAGTGCGCTGCCCTTTTTTTCTCACCGTGATTTTCTATGGTGACTCGTGAATCCGGCGATCTACTGAAAATGCCTTCAGGTGTGTGCCGTGCACGCGCATTAACCCGCGGTTATCTTCAGGAGGTTGATTTAACTAACTCTTGTCACCTGTTTTGGAACCAACATACTCGCGGTAAGCAGGTTTTGGGTAAATCAACCGAGAGTTTAGGTTTTAGCAGATGGTAAGTTAACCCAGCTTTCTGGAATACCCCCCTGGACAGATGGTTGTGCATAGATTTAGTTTATTACAACTTATGAAACATCCGTTTTTTTGTTTTTGTTTTTTTTTTAAAGAAAGTTTGTTGGAAATAAAGTAGGTACAAGTAGCTTGCTTGTTTTTATACAATATGCAAAATGTTTTGCCAACACATTCTCACTCCCAACTCGTCACATACTGACGCTTGGTCAGGAACCCTCGGCGTCAGTTATTGACGCACAGGGTACCCCTTTAGCGTCATATTTAGACGTGCAGGGATTCCCTATAGAATCTGTGCCTGAGCCTGAGGCGTCATAGGGAGACGCTGGAGGCTCGTATAATTACCAATAGATGTCAACAAACTTTTTAAAACCTGATTTACGCCTATTATCACAGTTTTCTTATTTTAAAAATATGTAATTTTTATTTTGTTTATGAAAAGCGTCTGTAAACGGGGTCGAAACTACTGTATGAATAAACTTCGGCCCACGTGACATCCCTTCACGGTGAGTTTAACGCCGCTCTGCTATTGGTCAAACTGCATCAGCGGTGAGTTCTCAGATGAGTTCAACTGTCAACATTAAATATTACGTTAATGCTGCATAATATATTTTTATTGGAGATTAGTTGGTGTTTATAAATATTTTATCATTTACTTTATATTTAATGAGTGAAAATATATTCGGTTGTCCAGTTTAGGGTAACTATGCCTAATAAAACTTTGATTCATTCATATTATTTATTATTTTTTTACTTTAAAAAAATATTAAATTTCAAGTACTAAGTTTAAAAATGTTTTCGGCTGATATTTTTCATTTTAAATTATTTATTAAAGTTGGGGTCATTGTATGTGGCGATCTATTTTTTACAGTCTATGCTCGCTAACCCAAGGTTCATTGCGATCCCAAGGTTCACTGCGGTTTCCACAAGGTAAGTAAAAAGTAAACAAATAAACACGATTTGTTGATAAAGCATGTACTGTGAACTAGCGACGTTATCTAATTACATCAAGTTCATTTATTAAAAACATATTTTTCTCACATATAACGTTGGTCATGCATTAGAACAATATATACATTTTAAGATAAGGAACAGTGTAACCAGATTGTTGTTTTCCACAATAGAATTCGTGCAAAATCTATATATAATATGCAATATGCAACTCTAATAATACAAATGTATTCGTAATTGTTTCAATATTAAAGAACATCAAGTGTTTCCAAAGGTTTATTGTAAAAACAATTATTTTCCATGCCTTTAAAGGAAAAAGGCAGAAATTTTGCCCGTCTGAGCACATTTTATTCATTGTACAACACAAAACTAAACAAAAAAAAGCTTAATCTACCACACACACACACACACACACACATATATATATATATATATATATATATATATATATATATATATATATATATATATATATATATATATATTTATATATATATATACAGGTGTACATTATAAGGTGTTCACTGTTCAGATATGAATATTTTTTCTTTGCTCTTTTCAGGTTCTTTAGATTTCTTTAAAAATCCAATTTTGTTTTCTAATAAGCAAAAAGTAAAATCACTTTACCCATGTTTATATGTTAAATTGCACTTGTCTCTCTCTCTATCTCTGTTAACACATTTATATTTTTTTGATTAATTCTTGTGTCTTTCAGCCTGTTTCTGCCTATCACCATGAGTGATTCCTCAATACTCAGATTTATCACCAAGATCTCAATTATAAGCTCAAGTTTTGATGACAACTTGGTGATCTGCATAAAGCACCACCATGTAAGGAAGGCCAAGACCACTCTGGAATCAGTCAAGGGTTAGTGAAGTTTTTCATTCCATGTATATTAAATATCTACATTGTTTAGGCATATGTGATTGTATGAGATAAAATGCATTTATTCTTTCACTACTATTGTAATAACAGAAAGAAACGCATTAGTTTTACTATTACTATTGTTTATGACAAACATTAAAAAACTACAGCATAAGCTCACAAAATATTGTGGCCTAACTGTTTAAAACTAATTGTTCTGGGTGTTGATAGTGGCCAACCATTTTTTTCTTTTTCAGAAAGTATTTTGTTTTGTCTGATTTTATGACACCTTATAGGCCATCAACTGCCCACATTGGGGTTTAGGAAATTAGAACTGCTTATGCTGCTTGTCTACTAGTCTTAGGATAAGTTAGAAATGTTATAAATGTACATTTTTTTGTTGTTTTTATCTGGTACAGCTCATAGGAACTCCAATCTTCCCAACTGTGAGAGGGCCTTGCTCCAGTGACTGTCAGTGTGTACTTCATTGTTTCCATTAGTCCCTGTATCTGTAGACCTAGGTGACAGTGGGCTAGAGTAAAATTTTGGTTTTATTTAAACTAAGGCATACTGATGGCCTTTTTTATCTCAGATTTGGTCATGCAAGTATTAATATATCCTAAAGTATTTTTATATTCTTTCCATTGGTGGAAAAGATGTTGGTATAATTATTTTTAATGGACTGCTAAGATCTCAGCAGACATTTTTCTGAGATATTCTTGAGTGGGAGTCTGTGCAATACAAGGTGGATAGTATTTGCAAGGAAGAGCCCTTTATCTGTCCTGCTTCCACACTAGATATACTGCCAATTTAAGTAGATATGAACCATAAGCATAACCATTTCAAGAATGCACGAGGTACTTTAAACTGTATGTGTTGAAACTAAATTAACAAGAAAACAGCTCTGTGATGTTCACCTAAGAAAATTAGATTAGAAGATAGAAACTGTTATGCACTTGTTCTGTACTGTTTCATTCCTTTTTCAAACACTGGCATTTTTGAAGGTTTATTTACAGTATTTACAGCTAAGGATTAAGAATTGACAGGAAGATTTGTGGACTACATCAACTAATGACACTACCTCCAAAGAGTTGCAAAAAGCTGTCCAAAGTTTCAGCACCATCTTTAAGCCCATGATTTTAGTGTGTTTCATGCCTAATCACATGAGTTTATATCTGAGATAGATGAACTATGTGATTGTCTTAAACTGATCTACAAGTAAATGCCAAAACCTATTGGTTTACTTATTTATTTATTTGTTTGTTTGTTTGTTTGTTTGTTTGTATATGTTAACCAGGTGAAATGGAGTGAGGCATACCAGGATATGCCTGGTTTTACTTTTGGGAAGGAGGTTGAACAGTGCAATATTTCTTCTATAGGATTGCAGTGACCAGACATGCTACTGTAACTCTCATGGTCATGTGCTGGAATTAGCAGATATTCAACAATTTGGCCATCTCGCTGACCTGTTGATATCAGAAGGTAACAATATCCAGTTGAATTTGTTTTAGTTGTTCAGTAACCTATTTAAATAGTATTGTGATTTTTTGATTGCTTATCATTGTAGACCGCAGCAGCTCTGCAAAGCAAGTTGCAAAACAGAATCCATGAAACTGGCAGTGACTGGAAACCAATTGGAAGACTTTGGTCTGTGATGTAGAGGAGTGGGCAGAGGGTGAGGAAATTCTTATTAATATTACATGTAGTCATGAAAAATTGTGTTACTATTACTGTCATTTTTTTTTTCAGTAGCAGAAGCAAAAACAACAAACAACAGAAGTGATATGGATGTCTTCGTCATATTGCATGGTATGTACACTAGACTTCTGTCAGTGTTGATTCTTTAAAAGTTGACGTATAATCCTTGTTATACAACTTTCTTTTCATAAATATATTTCAGACTCTGCTGACCCAGCAACAAAGAGGAGGGTGTTCAACATCATCCTGCTAGTCAGGATTCTTCAGGAGAAGCAGAGGATTCTTGTGGCAGAGATGGCCAACCACTATAAATACCTTTCAACTCATCCTGGTTCTTTCAAAGAACTTTCTTGCTTGTTTGCTACTGAAATGTACTGGTATGTATTTGTATTTTTTGGCACAGACATAAGCATAAGGTTACCCAGTCCAAAGAATATTAATATATTTTTATGTTGTTGTGTTCTTCTTTTAAGATTCGACATGTGGCCTTAACGAAGAGGGGTTAAAAGGTCTATGGATCATCATTCTCAAAAAGCAACAAAATAACTGAGAAATAAACAACAATACGATGGTGCAATCTAGAGACCTGCAAGGTACCTGCAAGTTTTGGCAGGAGCAGAGAACATACATTTTTTTTAAATAAAGCTCCAGCTGATGAGTATGACATTGACTGTGGATTTTCTTTTACTGTAATCCAGAAGAGGATGACCTTAACCCTGAATCTAAAGCATGTAATAAAATCTGTAAAAAATTAAATAAAATTGTCATCATCTATAACCAAATTGTCTTTTTTTTTAAATACATAGATATGTACAGTATGTAAGCATTCCTCTAAAATCAATCAGTGTTGTAAATTAAGAGCATTATTGTATGCCTAACTGCTTACAACATATAACGATTTAAGGAACTCTATATTAAAATGAAATTATTACATTAAGTGACATTAAGAGCTTTTAAAATATTAATTTTATGATACATTTTTATGATAAATTAAATTTTTGCATATACTTGGGCAAAAAATGTACATTATTATGGTCAACTGCTCAGATACCTCCAGTCAATATGTGGCTGAGTCAGGCAACCACACTTCTACCTCTGGAAAAATTAACCTATGATTTACATCAAAGATCTGATGGATCCATTTGGTCCTCATGGATTTTTCTAAAAAAAAAAAAAAAAAAATAATCTCCTTTTATTTTTGTCCTTACTTTGAAACATTTGTATTAATTTGTTAGAATGTCTAACAAAAAACTGCTGCACTTGTGAGATAACAGTGCGACTGTTGTTATTCTGAAAATAAAAATTAACTTTGTATAATGTTTTATTGAATGCAAGATAAAAAATAAAATATTTTCCAAGAGATGGATTGCGGCTGGAAGAGCATCTGCTGCATAAAAACATGCTGGAAAAGTTGGCGGTTCATAGCACTGTGGCGACCCCTGGTTAATAAAGGGACTAAGCCAAAAAGAAAATGAATGAATGAAAATAAAATATGTATTGAAATATGTATTTTTGGTAGACATAGAACTACACAGTAACTTATAAATACAGCACAGAACTATTTTACTTCTAGTTTAGATAATTTAAATGTTTGCATTTTTATTTTGTTGGTTAATGGCTATGTATTTTTAATCATTTGGAGGTTTGAACTATTCGCAGCATTTGAAAGGATATCTTTTCATCATTGTTACCTCATTTCTCAATATTTTCATGATTCTTACAATGCAGCAAATCTTACAATCATTTGATCATAAAGAAAATAATTAACAAATTAACCCACATGCAGGACAAAGACATTATGTGGAATCATTATTAAACACAAGTTCATCCATTGTCATCAAAACATACTGTTACACAAACAGTTGAAGATTTAGAAAGTAAAAATAATCAGATAAAGACTGGTTTTTAAACAAATACATGTCTTTAAAAAGGTTTTATTTATAAACATTTACATGTTTTAAAAGAGCTTTTATCCATATTTCAAATAAAGTGAAAACAATTAAACATCACATGATGACCATTAATGAAACACACTTACAGAATTACATCCACACATTTTATTCTGAACTCATAATATTTGTGATGAACATAATCACTATTGCTAATAACTTGTAATTAAAGAGGATACTAATGTTTAGCTTATTTTTACAGCTTTTTTTTTTTTTTTTTTACCACAACTGTACATGTGACAATACAATTTCTTGTCCATGTTGAAGATAATACATCTACATAGGTTAACTGCCCTTTTACTCAAAGGGGATGAGTAGAGCCCCGTAGAAAAGGAAAAAGTATTCACATTTCAAACGAGAAATGAGTGAGAGAATATCAGCAAGACTATTACCTATGCTATGTTCAATAAATAATGTTGGATATAATAGTCTGATATGTACTGATCAAGTCAATAAAAGCTGTTTAAAAAATACTCATTGTAAAATAACAAATTTATGCCTGGCTTTCATATATGTCATAAATATATGCACAATGACCTTATTCAGATAGTCTTTAGTTCATTAAAATTTGTATCTGTTCCATTTTATTACAAAAAGGCTTTAAACTACATTACCCACAATCCTTTGTCGCTGTATAGATGGGAGGGGAAAGACATGGCGCTACAAATTGTAGTTCCTTGAAAGGTGTAGTTAGGGTTAAGTTTAGGGTTACGATCTTGGTTAATCGTTAACTATTTAAAACACAGCGATAACTCATTGATAAAGGACACTGTTAGTAAAGTGGCAAAGTTAGCAAAACATAGTTAGCAACACGAAGGATCTTTTAATTTGGCTTTGAAGTTATAGTCCAATCACAACGTCGCAATCTACGTCACACTTTGTCTCTATTTGGTAATCTTCCGGCTGAAGGTTGATTATAACCTTATAATATAACTTAAATATCAAAATGTGTATTAATATTACATGTTATTTATTGTCTTATTAAAAATACAAATGTATATTTACCGTGAGATTACTTTGTGGGGGTAACCTGATGTGCAAAATGATCATAGTAAAACCAGATCATAGGCAGTATACTTAATTTGAAACGAATAATAAAATAATAAAAAAGCTTAATGTTTGAAAACATTTCAAGCATTTGCTGTAACTAAACCCTGCATCATGTAGGTATACAAATATAAATATATGTCAAACTTAAATGACAAATATAGTGCCCATTAAATAGTATAAATAGTAGTTTATTGTAAATGAGTATGCAAATAAACACAATACATTTTTAGTGAAACATTTATAATTTATTTATAATGCCACAAATAAAAATAAATAATAAAAATCACACAAAAATGCAAAAATATATATTTTAACCAAAAATATATATTTTATAAGTTTTTAATGCAATAATATATTACCATACATATATAAATGATTAAAAACAATTATAATTGAAGGAAATGTATATTTTGTATTATTATTATTATATTTATTTTGTGATATTTATTCATGTCATACATCTGGTATGTCAAGCTCAAGTAAAACTGCACTGCAAAAAATCTTTTCAAATGATGCCTTTGGAAATGCCATCATAATAAACAGCTTTCACAACAACAAGAAGTCAAGTTCATGACAAATGCAAATTATGTTTATAATAACAACTTTCTGAACTTAAACATCAAAAGTAGAATAAGTTCAAAACATATTCAAGTATTTACTGAAGAATAGCAAAAACTATTTTTACAAAACACTGAGAACCAAAGTGTGCTTGGTGAGTCCAGGTGTTTATGCTGACTAGACTGTCATATTGCAATCCGGTTAGCATGAGGAGACTTGGGCGTAAAGTGTCAGCAATTCCTGGAGGGCTCCCATGTGTTATTCCAGGTTTTGCCACTGTAAAGTATTAGAAGTGCACAACATCATTACTGAACAAAGAATGAGTGTTAGGTTTCATTTAGAAAGTTCAGTGATATTTATTTATATATGTAAAGTGTCATTAAACCTGGCACTCTTGAATTAACTGTATAATAGGTTAAACATTTCCAGCATGTTTCCATTTATTCCAAGCAGATCTGTCAGTTCTACAAACTCAGAGATCAGGATAGTGACTGCACTTCTCATTATGAACACCCTTATCCTTCACATACATTTTTATCACCACTGATGTCCACTGTTGTAGTTTTCATTGAAGGGAATGCTGACACAAATTCCAGCATGATTTTTTAAATAGCAGAATATGGGTATTATTGGGCCAAAACCTTAAAAAATATAAGATGCAAGATTTGAATCTTGATGAACATATTGTTAATTCACGTCTTGCAATTTAAAACACATCTCATGTTTGACTCATCAATTATATGAAAACTACAACAGCATACTGTGCTTCACCCTAAAATATTTCTAAATTATAACAAGCTTATTGTTTTACATGGCTAAACATTTATTTTATGCCTGCATGATTCACTGCTATTACTGTAACCCATTACACTCTTAACCCAAACTAGTTGACTTTATTAGAAAACTGCATAGAAACATGTTGCCTTAAACCCTTTATGTTTTTACACAAGGTGAAACTAAACAGCCCACTTTAAATTAACCAATAACCTTTACAATCTTCTTGAACTTACAGTAATATTTTAATTCAAGTATGGCTGTTAAGTTGTACCTTGTGTAAAATGTAAGGGGTTTAAGCCACTGGGTTTCTATACAATTTTCTAGTAAAGTCAACTAGATTGGGTTAAAGGAACAGTTCACTATTTACTCTCCTTTAAGTTGTTGTAAACCTTTTTTAAAAACTTCCAAGTTACTTTGTGTTGAACATGAAGGAAGTTTTTTGAAGAAAGCTGGAAAGCTGAAAACATTGACATACATAGTAGGAAAAAAACAAATACTATGGAAGTTAATGTTTGCAGGTTTTCATCTTTCTTTAAAATATAATTTTTTTGTGTTTAACTGAAGTAAGCAAGTCAGACATATTTGGAACAAGTGAAGGATTCAATAATGACAGAATTTTCATTTTTGGGTGAATCTCTTTAAGAGTATACTGAAAGAAATGTCCTACTCAATGAAGCTAACTTCAGCTGCATGTGTAGCCCCATGAGTACTTATCTAGAAATCAAAACAATGATCACATCAGTCCCATTTTAGGCCCTTTATATCATATTGGCCACAGAATGGACTACTTAGTGTTGCAATAAAATAAAAAAATTAATAAAACTATGACTTACCACACAATACAAGACAAACAGTGAATTTTCAGCTCTGCCTTTGCTGTACACAAGATGAGGTTCCAGCTTCAACACTGATCTGAGTGGGGCAGTTGTGCAGCTCTGTAAGGTTGTGACTGTTTAGCTGCAGTGCTGTGAAGAGTTCTTTATTAAAAGAAAGTACATTCTTTTAAAATCTGTACATAATAACAAAGAAAATACAATGATTTTAAATAATGATTAATTCTGAACAAAAACATTACCCTTAGTCAAGATGAATTCATATGTCAAAAGTTTCTGCATCTGAAATGAATAAAAACAGATGTGACATTAGTTAAACCCACTAAACTACTAGATACATCAGTACTGCATTAAGCAGTTGTAAAGTAATGTAAGTGTAGTCCAAAATGAGCCTTAATCTCTTTAAGATAATGATTTTAAAAAACGTTGCTTGTGTTAAAAACAATCCAGCCACTTGTAATACATTTGATCAATGGTAAATTTCTGAGAAGGTGCAAGGTAATCCTTGAATTTTACCATTACCATCCTGACTGACATAATATTTGAAAAGAAGACAGCTTGTTGTGCCTCTTTACCACAATTTAGAGATGATAGATTCTTTCTTTTATTAAATAAATTGGTAAAGGCCAAATTGTACTGGTAATAGTGTATGATATTCATTGTGTGACATACATCAGCTTAAGTTATACTTGAGCTTTTGTTATGCTATATATATATATATATATATATATATATATGTGTGTGTGTGTGTGTGTGTGTGTGTGTGTGTGTGTGTGTGTGTTTTAAGGCATGGAAAATAATTGTTTTTACAATAAACCTTTGGAAACACTTGATGTTCTTTAATATTGAAACAATTACGAATACATTTGTATTATTAGAGTTGCATATTGCATATTATATATAGATTTTGCACGAATTCTATTGTGGAAAACAACAATCTGGTTACACTGTTCCTTATCTTAAAATGTATATATTGTTCTAATGCATGACCAACGTTATATGTGAGAAAAATATGTTTTTAATAAATGAACTTGATGTAATTAGATAACGTCGCTAGTTCACAGTACATGCTTTATCAACAAATCGTGTTTATTTGTTTACTTTTTACTTACCTTGTGGAAACCGCAGTGAACCTTGGGATCGCAATGAACCTTGGGATAGCGAGCATAGACTGTAAAAAATAGATCGCCACATTCAATGACCCCAACTTTAATAAATAATTTAAAATGAAAAATATCAGCCGAAAACATTTTTAAACTTAGTACTTGAAATTTAATATTTTTTTAAAGTAAAAAAATAATAAATAATATGAATGAATCAAAGTTTTATTAGGCATAGTTACCCTAAACTGGACAACCGAATATATTTTCACTCATTAAATATAAAGTAAATGATAATATATTTATAAACACCAACTAATCTCCAATAAAAATATATTATGCAGCATTAACGTAATATTTAATGTTGACAGTTGAACTCATCTGAGAACTCACCGCTGATGCAGTTTGACCAATAGCAGAGCGGCGTTAAACTCACCGTGAAGGGATGTCACGTGGGCCGAAGTTTATTCATACAGTAGTTTCGACCCCGTTTACAGACGCTTTTCATGAACAAAATAAAAATGACATATTTTTAAAATAAGAAAACTAAGATAATAGGCGTAAATCAGGTTTTAAAAATTGCGTTGACATCTATTGGTAATTATACGAGCCTCCAGCGTCTCCATATGACGCCTCAGGCTCAGGCACAGATTCTATAGGGAATCCCTGCACGTCTAAATATGACGCTAAAGGGGTACCCTGTGCGTCAATAACTGACGCCGAGGGTTCCTGACCAAGCGTCAGTATGTGACGAGTTGGGAGTGAGAACGTGTTGGTTTTGCTAAGAAACATCTAAAATATTAAATTTTTATTATTATTAGTTTATTTTTGTATTATTCAATGTATTATACTATTTTTTTAATAGAGCAACTGAAAAATCTTTTCCATCTGGGCCATTTTTTAAACATTCCTTAGCGTTTAGCATTTAACTTGTCTATGTTAATAACATTAATGTCTAACATTTAACTGGTGAAACCTGCAGAAACCCTGTTAATTACATACAATTGCAATAAACTCAGGTTCTTTAAAAAAAAAAAAAAAAAAAAAATTGATGTAAATTATATAAAATGCAACAAAATCCTGTGATCATATGGAGTTAAATTTGAGATCTTTAAAACAATAAAAGTAAAACTTGGGGTTTAAAAGGAAAATAAAAAGTATAAAGATTCAAAACGACAATCTTGTTATTTTAAAAGGATAGTTCACACAAAATGAAAAATCGATCATTTACTTGTTTTTAGAGAGTTCTTCTGTTGAACACAAGATATTTTAGGGAAACCTTCAACCATTGGCTTTTTATAGTGTTTGATTTTCCTACTATGAAAATTAAGTTACAATTTTTGAGCTTTCTTTAAAATATCTTTAGTGTTCAACAGAAGAAACTGTTAAACACGAGACTCTTTTGTAGTCGAAAATATATATATATATATATATATATATATATATATATATATATATATATATATATATATCTGTGTGTGTGTGTATATATATATATATATATATATATATATATATATATCTGTTAATCGATTCTCAAAGGTGGGTTGGTAGCTGGGTCTATTCTACGCAAGCTATTATTTTCACCTTGATATTTTAGCGCGGATGTATACCTGACTGAATTGCACTGTAGGTGGCGAGAACAAGTCGTCGAAATGGTGGTGTGTATTCCTACTTTACCTGCGGTTCAGCAGTTTGTTTCACATTCACTCATGAACATTTTATTCATGCCCCCGTGACAAACTGGGGTATTAGACTCAAATAAGGAGTAAGGACTAGTGAGAATGTTATGGAATTTAATAGCGCACGCCAAATGAAAAGAAAAAACTTCCGCATTTCGCGATGTGTGTGTGGTCCTTTACTGACAGCCGTGTGTGTGGATCTTGTCAGAAAATATGGTGAAAAGTCCTACATGACGGTAATAGTTTGACCGTGGTGTTTACTTCAATAATGCCACAAAAATATATCCTTACTCTATGTCTTACTTCCAATTCTGTTTAGTTCAGTTATGACTTGAGTCGGATTAAGGTGATCAAAAATTGCAGTTTGGAGCTTATGTAGGGATACAGTTCAAAATTCATGTTTAACTGAATAAACAGTAAACACAAGTGCATCTTATTTTCATCACCAATTATCATAGTAGAACAGTTTCTCAAGCAGTTTGTGATGCATTTTGAGGAGATGAGCCCCTGGTCTAATGCGCCACCTGGCTTGAGAAACCCGTTCTCAAAGACTTACTTTTAGTTATTACTTGGGTAGCACACATATTCTGAATGCATTCGGCAAAAATCAAATGAGCCTTTTTAATCTAGATTATTTCCAAGATTACAGTAGGATTAATCTAAATCAGTGGTTCTCAAACTTTTTTCATCAAGTACCACCTCAGAAAAAAATTCTTTCTCCAAGTACCACCAAAATGAGCAAAATTGAGAAACGGTAGCGTAGTATGCCCGGTAAAGCAGCTACAACTCTGCACAGTTTAAAAAAACATGGCATATTACCTCAGAAATATAGGCTATATGTCATATATGTCGTATTATATACATACATTTTTATAAATTTTGAAATATATGTAGCATGTACACGATATATGTCATTCCTCCATGTATCACTAGAAGAAAGCCCGCGAACCACTAGTGGTACACGTACCACAGTTTGAGAACCACTGATCTAGATTTCAAAAAATCATCTATGCCCACCTATAATAAAAATACATATAAATACATTTAGATCATTTACTTTAATGGTTACTATTGGAATGTGAAGGGACTTTCAACCAGCACAATACAAAATGTTTCTGAAGACAATCAACTACTGCACCTTTAAGGAAATAAAAAAATGAATAGGAGATCAGTATATGTTATAAATTCATATTTTAGACATACTTTATTGAAGTAAAATGCCTTAACAGGCAGAGAACAGCGAAGTCATTAACAATAAATCTTTAAAAATCTGACACACTTTGGAAAAACAGAATATTGCAGTGAATTCTTTTCTTTCAGCCACAGACAAGATGGAGAATCTCTCTTCCCACATTCAAATGTGTTTCCTGTCGAGAAACAGTACATCATACACGGGAGACATCAATACTTAAAAAGTGAGAAGAATACGCACTACCTGTTCGCAACTGCGCAACAAGAGCAACCATTTCACATAGATATCTATACACACACAAAAGTTAGCATAAAAAGAACAAGGCGTTTCCCCATATTAAGATTAAATGCGTTTCACATCACACTCGTGCCATCATTCATCCCCCTTTAATGATATATAGGATTCTGTGCTATGTACAATGTAAACATCTGGGCTCAAAAAAAAAAAAAGTCAAGAACCCGCCGCGCCACCAAATATCCCAGGATTTTTCTTTTTTAGTGGAACTAAGAGATGATAAAGGGAGACGGAGCAACGTCAATAACTCATTGAAAGTTCCCATTAGCCAATGAGTTTGCATATGCAAGCATGTTAGAAGATAAACAAATGTAATGCTCAAATGTTTAATATTGCAGGCGACACCAACATCAGTGCAGAAAATACAGGGCAGGGTGTGCCATGAGGAAAAGAAAAAGACTGGTGAGTGGATTGAGAGAGGAACAAAACAAATAAGTTAGTCATTAATGCTTACTCGAAATCATCAAGCAGTACCAAGACAGAACTACGCAAGATTCAATCTTCGAAGGTTAAAGTGCAGACCAACATTAAGGACCTGAGGAGGGTTTTTGAACAGGGGAGTTGGTGATTGGTTGGCAGAGTAGAAATACAGAGACCCAGCAATTTCTTATTAGTTTCAGCAACCTGGTTGTAAGCACTATACATCATAAAGCGCACATGCTCATTGGCAACACACAGGCACATGAAACACACAGCCCATTCACGCTGGTTACTCTCAGAAATAAAACACGTGCTCCGTTTTTCTTTCTGGCACACTACGAGTCCTCATCAGTGTCCCTGCTTCTCTTGTAAATTGGTACGTTGATGCTATGAAAGGCAGGAACCCAGCGGTTATCATGAAGTCCCACATTGCAACCAAGAGAGTCCTTGTGAGACCTACGGCAGCACATCCAGTAGCCCGGGCCGTAAGGTAGAGACTGGCAGTAGGGCTTATGATGCCAACGGCAGAGCGAAACATCACCACGGTCATATCGCTTCTTGCACTGCTTGCAGGGATCATCTTTGTAGCGTGGGTCAATAACCCAACGAGAGTCCGCAGGCCGTACACCGTAACTCTCAATGATACATTTAAAGTAATGGCAGGTGCACTTGAGGGCGGCCAGGCTCTCAGTAGGCAGCAAGCAGAAGATTTTAACAATGATGTGGTGCGGCAGGAAAGCCATGTACTGCTGAGGCTCCAAAAGCAGCTGGATCTTGAAGCGAGTTTCTAAGAATTCATGAGACACTAGGCGGCGTAATGGAAAAGGCACAGGCTCCTGACTAACTAAACAAGTCTCCCTGCTTTCGGTTTCCTCAAAGATTCGATGGTTTTGGATTTCACTCGCAAGTTCATCCCTAATCTCCTCTGTGAAAGACGCTTTAATGTCCACAGGAAGCTTATGTATGCGAGAAGGCTCTTTGTTCAAAGATCTGCTCTTTAAGGAGGGCAGGTGCTGCGCCTTCGGAGGCTGAGGAGAGGATTTGGCAAAGAACAACATGCCTGGTAGAGGTTCCTCACTACTCTCTGAGCTGGCATCCTTTGGTGAGGACTGCAGGTTGTTTACAGTCTCAACAGCTGTGCAAGTTTCCAGTCGTGCAATACAAGAAGTTTCTTTCTCCTCGGGGGCACAGATGTCAAGCTCACACTTTGTGATCTCTATCAACTCAAGGGTCTTAATTTGGGAACTCCGTTTGTCAAAATCACTTCCGAGTTCCTGTGGGACACTTTCAACTCCAGAGTCCTGAGGATCAGTAGGTGACACGGGCTGTGATTGCAGTGGGTAAGGTTCTGATCCAGCCAGAAGCACACGCCCCACTTTCCTCCGTAAACTGTTGTTTCGAGAGAGCTCTCCTCCATTTTCACGGAGGTTTTGTCTGTTCAGGCACTGCGATTCCAACTTGGCCACCATATCCAGAACTCGAATGGACTCGCCTTCCTCTTCCTGGACTTCTAGCTGTTCTTTAGCCTTGGACTGTTGCTCGTCAGGCTGGGTGATGCTTCCAACTTTGGACAGAATAATAGTGCTGGTGCTGCGTAAAGATGGGGATTTGGAACCAATCTGCTGATCATTGGCCATTTGCTCCAAGTATGCCACCATCTCCACAACAGAGACTGTCTTTTCATCCTCCTCTCCCTCAGTCTTGACTGCATCCTCTGCAAGTCCTTGGCAAGGATTAATGTTCTCACAGTGGGCCTCTTGTTGAAGTACGTTGTGCATTTCAAGTTTTGGGGAAAGAGGTTCCAAAATTTTCAACTTGTCCGGGTTTTCAGATCTTCTCCTACGCTTAGGCAAAGAACAGTCAACATCCCAGCAACCTTTGTTTTTTACAGAAGCTGTCCGCAGCTCAGGGGCAATGGCTTCTGTTTCTGAGCCATCGTCAATAACACTATCGCAAGTACTGCTGCACATTTGAGATGCAAAAATAGCAATTTTCTCTTTTGTGTTACCAGGTTTAATGACAGCCCATATATCCAAAGATCCCTCTTCATCCTCTCCTTGATAGATCCCAAGTGAGCCTTCATTCTCCAAACCAGTCGAAGGTGAGAGCAGGACTAAAGAACTAGTAAATGTTGTGATGGGAAGTGATTTGCTTTTGCGGGCCCCACTAACTCTAGTTGGTACATTGCTTCCACTGTTGGTATTACATCGGAGGGTGTTGGGGGAGATGACACCGAGGGGACACCGGTTGGCTGTGCCGTTGCCAGGTGAGCCCATAAGGCCACACGACTGGTGAACGCCCCACTCTTTCCTGAGTACTCCCTGCTGGTCGGCATGGAGGCCTCGTGTTGCATCGCGCACAGATTCCCGATGTATCTCTTTATCTTGTGGTTTAGGGTATGGCTTGAGGTGCATGTTGTTCAACCTAAACAAAGGGAATAAATGCAAAGAATTTTAAAACAAATCCAATGTGCCACATTAAAATAAACAGATTAATTACGAGAAAAAGGCTTTATACAATTTCAATCCAATAATAAAGACAATAATACTGTATGATGTAAAATAAGATTATTGCTCAATTGAGAATTTGAATTGCAGTTAATAGCTGAATAATTCAAGGTCACCAACTGATCCAAGGTCACAAACTAAGTGAAGTTTCACAAACTAATTTTGAGAGGAGCACATAATATGATTGGCTTGAATGGGGGACCAATCAAATCATTCCAAATTTAACATGAATATCCCATCTAACTTTACTCCCTTATCTTCGTGTTTTTTTTTTTTTATGACAAAAAGTACAGTACATTACAGGTATTCAATGACAAAGGTATTTTGGTGGTTTTTTTTTTGCTTTTTTTTTTTTTTGCTTTTTTTGAACCAGACATTAATTTGAGACAGACAAATGAACATAATAAAAATTATTATGAAAAGGTAGTGGATTAAATAAAAAACAATAAAATGAATACAGATAAATAAATAAATAAATAAATAAAAAATGGGGTGTTGAGAATTTATGGTTGGAGGAGTACAATATGATGGTTGGAGGAGTACATTAGTCTCAATATGATTTATTAGAGGGTCCTTTGTTTTAAAAATTTTTTAGGTTGGTCCTCTGAGAAAATATAATTTTTTTTTTCTGTTTTCAAAAATAGCATTACATCACTAAGCCAAAGTGACAGTTTAGGTGGCATTGGTGATTTCCACTCCATAAGAATTCTTCTGGCTTTTAATGTTACAAAGGCAAAGGCGTTTTCTATTTCTTTGGCTACATGGATGTCATTTGGTACTCCAAAAAAAGCCATTACCGGATTAGGTTGAATTCTTAAATTGAAGGCTGAGTTTAAAATCTCAAATATTGAAGACCAAAATTTATCTTCGTTTTTTGAAGACATAAATTAAACAGCCATGTCATTCTGCAGCCCAAGACCAGTTACTCACTGAAGCTAAGCAGGGCTGAGTCTGGTCAGTACCTGGATGGGAGACCACATGGGTAAGCTAGGTTGCTGTTGGAAGTGGTGTCAGAGAGGCCAGCAGGGGGTGCTCAACCTGGGGTCTATGTGAGTCATAATGCCCCAGTATAGTATCACTGTGAGTGAGCAGTCTTTCGAATGAAATGTTAAACCGAGGTTCTGACTCTCTGTGGTCATTAGAAACCTCATGGCACTTCTAGTAAAGAGAAGGGGTGTAACCCCAGTGTACTGGCCAAAGTTCCTCAATCGGCCCTTAGGATCATGGCCTCCCAATCATCCCATCCGCTGAATTGGCTCTATCAATGTCTCTTCACTCCACCAATGACTGGTGTGTGGTAAGTGCACTTGCACCGTTGTCCTGTGACTGCAGTCACATCATCCAAGTGGATGATGCACACTGATGGTGGCGTACATTACTCCCGTTTCCTCCCAAAGACATGAGAAATAAGCAAATTAAAAAAAACAATAGGTAAAGTATAGGAGTACTTTAGTATTGAGCTTTCACCACGTGGGTATGCACTGGAGTGGTTGGCGGTCTATTCCTCTAGGTGCCCATGATAATAGAACTACCTGATCTCGTACCCCCACACATGCTCATTGACCAGGCGGGAGCCTTGTGCTCAATTATCTTTGAGTTCAGGGTTCTCTCCTGGGACAGCATGCCAAACCTACTAACATTATCAAGCAATATTTAAGTTGAACTCTCAAAATTATTGTTTAAAAAAACTGAATTTCATCAACACCTGCTGTTGTGGAGGGTCATACAGGTATTGAAAACTAGCAGGTATTGTTTTAAAGGAATAGTTGACCCAAAAAAAAGGAAACCTCTGTTATTTACTCATCCTTGACTTTTTTTTTTAAACCGGTTTGAACTTATTTTTTCTGTTGAACACAAAAAAAAATGGAATTTTAAAAAAAGTTTCATACAAATATCAATATTTTGTTTGATAAAAACCAAAACACAAATACTATGAAAGTCAATAGTTAAAGTTTTTCAGCATTATTTGGTACATCTTATTTAGTGTTTTACTGAACCGCAAAAGCCAAAGTGTTTTGAAACAAGTCAAGAACAACCCAAGTTTTGGGTGAACTCTCTCTTTAAGAAGCATGATTCTAATCAGACAAAACTCACTCAAACAAGCATGGCAGCAGCGCAATTCGCTACTGCACATTAGCTGCAAAAACTACAATGAGACAGAAAGAAATCTGCTTGTGACAACTGTCAGTGCAACAGGTTCTTAGGAATGCATTTGTGTCAGATGACCCTGTTTGTTGTGGAGCACGTGCAGAATAGCAAATAACTCCTTTGGCAGAAGATGTTTCACAGTGAGCACAAGAGCTAGCTGTTCCCCTCTGGCCCTTAGGCTGACATAATGGGAGCAGAGCCACCCAGGTCCAGACACAGCTGGGCTCTTACACAAGCACTCAGCTGACATGGACCCGGCTGCCCTAAAAACAAGCCTGCAGCACCACCAATAGCAGTGTCTATATGTGGGAGGACTTAACTCACAGACACAAGTGCATATAAGGCATTCCTCCACTGCAGATTCAGACCTGATAAAGGGGTACTGGTGATTCTCACGTGACTTTACATGGGATGGCATTCGGAGAGTGTGGATAGTTATTTCAGGGGCCAAGTGACCGTGGAAGGTGACTAGGCCACTCAAAAAGGAAGGAGGCTGCAGACATCCATTGCAGTTCAATGCAATAACATGCACCTTTTGTAAAGCTGCTTTGGAATGATAATTATTGTGAAAAGTGCTAGACAAAAAAAAAGGAAATTGAATATCGCAAACGTAAATTGAAGCATGGAATATGGTATATCCACTGAGAAGTGAGAGTACCACTTGGTGTGTCCTTGGAGATCTTGCCTAACCCAGCACATCTGCTCCTGTGCCAACTGTCCTTTGTGGCAAACAGCAGGAGAGGCCAATCTGTAAGGTCAGAATTGTTTGGCTGAGCTGGCGTCTCAAACAAATAGTGCGACAACACAAAAGGAAAGTTACCAGCGGCTCTGATTGTCCATGGATACGGGTACACTCACATTTCCTGGTACAACCCTGTCTCAGACTTCCTGTTCTTGCAATTTCTTGTGCTCTAGACTAACACTAAAATAGGCTACATTTGCACAATGTAGACCCAAAACTGAAACTTTTTTTTTCCATGCGCCATGTATAAAGTTTTACATTTACACAACGTTTGTTTTTAAAGTCACCTGTGTTTACACGTACTTGAAAACGTCCAAAAAGTATGCATTACATATGCTTGGCCAGTATTTGGTCACGGTCACCTAGCGGTGGGCATAGTGAGGCTTAATGAAACACTGAAACAGTTGAAGCAAATGTGTTGAAGCTTCAAAACCAGTCTCTACAGTGACGGTGGTCATTTTTTCTGGAACAGCTTCAGCAAATAAACAGAATTATACCCCACGTTGTAGAACTAAGGTTTCAAGCGATTAAGTCGAGCAGTGAGAGTTCATGTTCATGGGGTCACCAAACTTGTTCCTGGAGGTCCTGGTGTCCTGCAGATTTTAGCTCCAACCCTAATCAAACACACCTGAACAAGCTAATTAAGGTCTTACTAGGTATACTTGAAACACCCAGGCAGGAGTGTCTCCAGGAATGAGATTGGTGACCCCTGATGTATAGTATACAGAGATAATGGGTTCGAATCAGGGGTGATGAACTTAAAGTATTTAAAAACGTATAACTATATGTAATGCGTTTTAACATTGGTCAAACATCTGAATAAATGTTTTCGTCAAAAAATTAGCACAATAAATCAAGTCACGATTTCTGAGCATTTGTACAAGTCCGGATTCGAACTCAGGACATTTGCAGCACAGTTACTCTGTGCACACGCATAGTGCACTAGACTAAATGAGAGAGATTTTTCTGACCATATCAATCAAACACAGATTCGACAGGTCTTAAAATGCTTCTGAAATGATCAATGCTTTGACTTGATTCAGTCACATGACGTGGATGTTTCGGATCATGTTTTAGGATCTCGACAATGACGAAACGTTAGTTTTGCGTCAGTCATCCCAACTGTCACCTAGTTAATAAACAGTATGTGACGATATGCCATCAGTTGCTCTGCACTTGTGTGTGTGTGTGTGTGTGTGTGTGTGTGTGTGTGTGTGTGTGTGTATAATTTGCTGTGTGTGTAAGAGGAGTCTCTGCCGTTGGTTGTAATGTGAAGTAAATACACATGTTGCTGATGAATTTGTGTTTTTTCGCGATTGCCATTTTCAGGTGTTTACACTGACACTAAGGCCCAATCCCAATTCTATTTTTGTACCCCTATCCCTTTAAACAGAATGTGAAGGGGGAGGGCTTCAAAATTGACCCTTAAGAAAAAGGACACCACAACACCACCTGCACACGTCAGCACATGTCATCGTGATCTCTTACTTCATATGAGATCAGATGATCGTGACTGTTGTAGTGATTCCAGTTGTGCTTTTTTTTATATTTATCTTAAGGAAATCACTGAAGGCATATATCATGTTATCATAATAATCTAATATTTATCTATGTAAACACACAAAAGCAACATGAACATAATAGCAGACACAGTAAAAAGCTAATTCCCAGCCACTAGACTTTTCTGACAGGGTATTCGATTGTCATTGAGTGACAATGTTGTGGGACAGCTACAGGAGTTATTATTAGGGACTATAGATAGCAAAATTTTGCAGTTTTTAATTTAGCGCTTTTTTCTTTTCTTTTTTTTTTTCTTTTGTAAAAGCATGACGGTAAAACACAAACGTGGTAATGAATATATTAAAATGCATGTTTGTTTGTTTGTAAAAATTCGTAATAATGACAAAAAAAATTCTAATTTGTGGATCTCCTTACATCCAGATAGAGCTATGCTGCCGTTGTGGCTGGTGTATTCTGGGATATTCAGGGGTATCTACTAGGGATGTAACGGTATTGTAAATACCGTCATACCGCAATATTAAATTTTTTCGATATTACCGAAGTCGCATGACTCGGTAAAACTATAGGTCTTCTGAGAAAATTTGCTCAGGCGAATGAAGCGAACGGGAGGTAGCTGAAACTTCATTTCCCATCAGCCCCGGCGTGGCCATAATCCTTTGCGGTCTGTTGTCGCTACCGATCCAGTAATGCGGAAATGGAGTGTGCTGCTAGTAGCGGAGATGAAAAAAAGATGGAAATGATCGAACCTAAAGCGGGTGTTGTCGCCGCGCGCGTGCTGAATAGCGGTGCTGTCGCGCGCGTTCTGATCAGCTGTGTTGTGGCGCGCGTATTGTAAAGCGCCGAGGGGGGGTTGAGCGCGCATACTCAAGAGAGATGTTGTCGCGCGCCTACTGAAGGGCTGGACTGGACGGAGGTTGTGTCGCGTCGCGGGGGCACTTTTGATCGTTTTGGAAGGGCATTTTCTATCCAAGACTAAAAAGGGCATGTGCACTGCACAGGTTGAGCCCTATGTGTGCACGTGCCTGCAAGTTGGGGAATACGACTAATAACAGTCATGGGGACTGCAGAAACACAGCACACTGTTCAGATTGATGCAGACATTGACTTGTACCGCAAAGAGACCTCTATCTCACTCATGGTTTGTCCTCTCAAGTGGGGGAAAGACAATGCACAACGTTACCCCACTGCTGTCAACATGGGCCAAGTCATATCTCTGTCCCAGAAACCTCAGTCCCAAATGAGAGGGGTTTTTTCTGTTGCAGGGGACATTGTAAATACCCAGAGATATCAGCTTTTACCAGATTATATTTATATGATAATTTTCCTTTAAACCCATCTCTATCTAAGTGAGTGATTAAATGTTAAATGTGATGAGTTTTCAACAATACTAAATTGAAACTTTATTTTTTTACATGGTTTAATAATTTTTTGTTATTAAAATTGAAATTCCTGTTTCAAAGCTAACAGATAGATGGCTAATTTGTATGTCATTGACACTTTTGGCACTTTTTTGGAGTATTTTCATAAGTTTTGTTTTTCCTGTAAATGATTCAATAAATACCGTACCGTGACATTCATACCGAGGTATTACCGTACCGTGAAATTCTGATACCGTTACATCCCTAGTATCTACCCCTTCCCCTTAGGCCTACACCTTCAAGCTAAAGAGAATTAGGACACCCCTACCCCTTAACAGGAATGCGCAAAATGAGAGCTGGGAGGAAGGGCTAAAGGCTGATTTATACTTCTGCGTCAAACACCAGCGTATGCTACAGCGCTGACGCATAGCCCTTCGCAGTGGCCATCGGCGTCACTGACGTGCACCTCTCAAAAAATTTAACTACACGTCGCAACAACGCATAGCACAAGCTCTGTGATTGGTCGGCTTGTTAGCGCTGACAAGTCTGGGCGGGACCGAGAGCCGTGCGAATGGCGCGAGCGATTGTTTACAAGTGTGGAGTCCCATGAAGGAGCTCCGGATGGAAAGTTTTGTTTTGTGTTTACCTCATAGTTACAGTTGTTGCACGTCCGCCGGTTCCTGCCTCAAAATGAGCGAGTTTGAGCCACTTGTACATCCCGGAAGTGTTCAGGAAAAGCAAAAAAGCAGCGAAGAAACTCGACACAGAGGAACATTTACACCTCACTGCCAACTAGCGTTTCGAAAGTGTTAATGCAGACCAACAGAGACAGCGCGCAGAAGTATAAATGCACAGCCACGCGTGTTGCATGCGCCGAGGGTTACGCCGGTCACTTGACGCAGAAGTATAAATCAGGCTTAAGGCTGGGATGTCCAGACTCGGTCCTGGAAGGCCGGTGTCCTGCAAAGTTTAGTTCCAACCTCAACCAGACACACCTGGGCTAGGTAATCACGCTCTCACTAGGTAGTCTAGAAACATCCTTGCAGGTATGTTGAAGCAAATCGGAGCTAAAATCTGCAGGACACCGGCCCTCCAGGACCGAGTTCGGACATCAATGGGCTAAGGCAGTGGTCACCAAACTTGTTCCTGGAGGGCCTGTGTCCTGCAGATTTTAGCTCCAACCCTAATCAAACACACCTGAACAAGCTAATCAAGGTCTTACATGGTATACTTGATACATCCAGGCAGGTGTGTTGAGGCAAGTTGGACCTAAACCCTGCAGGGACACCGGCCCTCCAGGACCAGGATTGGTGACCCCTGGGCTAAGGGATAGAATTGGGCCTAAGCTTTCAAAAACATCCACTTTCTAACCATTTTTCAGATTTAAGCATTTTTTTCAATCTCAAAGCCACCATTGAAAGTGTAAGAAACTGTTAAAACACACTAAAAATGTTTTTGGCTGAAAAGTGTGTCATGTAAATGGTCCCTCAAAGTCAAGGTAATTCCACTGAAGATGTCAGCATTAAATCTGAATATAATAGATTTTGTTAGTGAGCTTCGCACCTTCGTTTATAAAATGATAAACTTAAAAAGTTAAATACCTTATCCATTGATGGATGATGAAATACCACATAAAAGATCACAGACTTGTACTGATTACTTCAAAATCTCTCAAGAACCTCCCAGTTTTTAAAGGAACACACTGCAGCTCCATTGCTGGACACGAGTATGATTACCCTGGAGGCACGCCAGCTCCTATCTGGCGCTCGAATGCTGAATTTTACCCATTACACAATCTGGCAACAACATACAGCTGCCGCCCAGCCCTTGCCCTCAACGCACTCGTAACTCAGAGTTTCCTCAAGACCATGGGCCAAAACACATGTGTGAGCTAATGAAAATTTGATGGCAAAAGAAACAGCACAACAGCATTATGTAAAAAGAAAACAAACACCCACAAGTAAAAAGCAAAACATTAGAATGAGTAATGATGAAATGAGCTCATGCTGGAATCAGCACGCGGCATCAGTTAACGGGAGATTTGTTTGCTCCCCTCTTCTTGTAAATGCTCATGACTTCCTCTATAAGGGGCCTGCCAGAGGACCTGTCCAACTATTGTGGGGAGCAAAGCGAACAAAGATGAGGTCACGATTATGAAGTTTACTGTGCTCCAATTATGTCGTAACACTGTGTTCTTCCTGAAGAAAAGACTGAGCATCTGGGTCTGCACACTTCATAACATGTGTCGCCACAGTCTATAGCTCATTGAGCTTAGTGAAACAAGGCGACAGAGCAATTACACGCACCATGGAAAGAGGATCTCACTTTTTCTGAGGTTTAATTCACAACATCTTGCTTTTCTCCATGCACTGATCGTGTAGCACAATATGCCAAAAGCAATTTTTTTTGCAACTTTTATTTAGATGTACACTTACTGGTCACTTTATTAGGTACGCCTGTCCAACTGCTCGTTAACGCAAATTTCTAATCAGCCAATCACATGGTATCAGCTCAATGCATTTAGGCATGTAGACATGGTCAAGACGATCTGCTGCAGTTCAAACAGAGCATCAGAATGGGGAAGGGGATTTAAGTGACTTTGATCGTGGTATGGTCGTTTGACGCGCTAATCCCTAGAGTTCGAAAATCTGAACTTCAGCGGACATTTACGCCGTGTTAACCAATCAGGAGCTTGCTCTTGTGGGAGCGTGATTGTGACGTATCGCCTGGTGTAGGTGTCCCGGGGGAAATCCTTCAGCCATCACCGACAAAAAGTTCATCAAACTGGGCTCTGCTCAGTCAGAAGAACCGCTGTCATTCAGGTTAAGTTTCTGGAGGAGTTTATGAGCTCACAGAGCTGAATGCACCTCTAAAAAGAATCTAGTGGACTCTAACACGGCCCTAAACGCATCGACGCTGTTTTTCAGCATTCATAAAGCACACAAACACTTATTTTTTTTCATAAAATCCATGTTAGCCATTTAGCAACGAAGCTAGAGTCACCGGGCTGACAGAAGCCGTGCCCATAACACGAATCCGCATCTGTTCTGAAGTGAATTTGACACACGAATAAAGCGAGTAAACTCAAACGTTCACGCAGCTATTTAAGCGTGAATAGCGCAATTTATCCGTGCGTTCCGCTGCTGGTGTGAACACAGCATAATGGTGTGGGGGATATTTTCTTGGCACACTTTGGGTCTATTAGTACTAACTAGGCATGGTGTCAATGCCACAGCCCACCCGAGTAATGTTGCTGACCATGTCCATCTCTTTATGACCACAGTGAATCCATCTTCTGATGGCTACTTCCAGCAAGATAGTGCACCATGTTATAAAATGTGACTAATCTCAAACTGGTTTCTTGATCATGAGTACTCAAATGGCCTCCACAGTCAACAGATCTCAATCCAACAGAGCACCTTTGGGATGGGGTGAAATGGAATCGCATCATGGGCGTGCAGCTGACAAATCTCAGAGGAATATGTATCTTGTTGAATCAATGCCATGAAGGATTAAGACAGTCTTAAAGGCAAAGGAGGGTCCAACCCTGTACTTGTAAGGTGTACCTAACAAAGTGGCCAGTCAGTGTATATTCAGCAGAAGATGAGAAATTGTCTGTAAAAGCAACACAAAGTTCAATCTACATCTACAGTCTTTATTGTTGTGAAAACATCAACCAGGATTGATGCTGGCTTTCATGTCCAAATAAAATGGAAGAAAAAAACACAAGATGATGATAAACAGATAAAAATGAGTTTGTTTTACTTTACTAAAAAAAAAAAATAAATAAAAAAAAAAATAAAAGAATGGAAGAAAATTTCTTTTTTCTTTCCATTTCTTTCTATTTTCTTTCTTTCTTTCTTTCTTTCTTTCTTTCTTTCTCTATTTGACAAAAAAAATAAATGAATACACTTAATTCATAAAGGATAGACACAATAAACTTTTAAAATCAAAATCTATTTCTATTGTGGTCCTTGATGCAACTAAAGTGGACTCCTTTTGTCTGAACAAATGCAAGCGAGTGGATAATCATCACGTTATGCTCAAACTGTGTGATGTCATGTATAGGCTTGAGTGCAGCAAGTGCTAATTACCTCCAGACTGCTGGCGAATTGGAGGCCCGTAACCGTGGTTCCCGGTAAGGGGTGGGGTTGCAGTAACTGATAGTTTCACATTTCTGAGGCATTAGGTTCCTCCCTCCAGTGTGAGCGACGTCTCAAAACAGAAGAACTCAGGACTCCAGGCTCACTGCAAAACAACATTGGACAAAATTGAAAACAGCTCGTCTTTCCATCTCTGAATACAGACTATATAAAGAGTTTTGAAACAAGACCTTTTAAAGTACACATGTATTTTTTATAGTATAGTTAAAATTCATTGCAGATATATTTTTATTAGTTTGTACCATCGTTAACCTCTTAGTTCTTTTTCTGTGGTATCACCTACATGTCTTTCTAGCTCATATTTCTCTTGAATCTTTTACTGCAGTACGTCAATTTTTTATGACTGAGGGAAAAAAACACAAATCTAATTCCTAAACTCAAAACACGATAAAAAAACAAAAAATAAAAAAAAAAAACACACAAATCCAATACGTCAATTCAAAACACGATTAAAAAAAAAAACAACATAAATCAAATTCGTAAAATTCAAAACACCATTTAAAAACACACAAATCCAATACATCAATTCAAAACACGATAAAAAAAAACAACATAAATCCAATTCGTAAAATTCAAAACACCATTCAAAAACGCGCAAATCCAATATGTCAATTCAAAACAAGATTAAAAAAAACAAATCTAATTTATAAAGTCAAAACACCATTCAAAAACACGCAAATCTAATACGTCTATTCAATTCATAAATTCAAAACATCATTCAAAAACACACAAATCCAATACGTCAATTCAAAACACGAAAAAAAAAAAAAAACACAAATCCCATTTATAAATTCAAAACACCATTCAAACACACACATAAATCCAATACGTCTATACAATTCATGAATTCAAAACACCATTCAAAAACACACAAATCCAATACGTCAATTTAAAACACCATTCAAAAACATTTACTTCAAAACACAATAAAAAAAAAATAAAAACACAAATCCAATTCGTCAATTCAAAACAGGATTCAGAAACACAGCTTATCCTTCCGTCTCTAAAATATACAGACTACGTAAGCACACTTGTATTTTTGTCAATTCAAAACACGATTCAGAAAATCCAATATGTCAAGTCAAAACAAGATTCAAAAACAAATTCAATTGGTCAATTAAAACACATGATTCAAAAAACACAAATATCCAACTCGTAAATTCAAAACACGATTTAAAAACTCACAATTTCAATTCATTTGGCAAAAACATGAATGATTTTTACATTTGAATTCAAAAATGGTGTGCTAGATTTATGGATTCTGCTTTAAACTTACAAACTGTTTTTTGTAAATGTGAATTGTGCTGTGCATTTATGAATTTTATTTTGTACATTTATTATTTGAGACTAATCTGGCTCCATATCTACATGCTGTCTAATGTGGAACAAAAACTCATTTACAGTCCACAATTGTGTAATCTATACACTCTGTAGCAACAGGAGTATGTTTTACAGGTAATTTAAACCATGTGAAATGACTACAAATGCTATGCCTCAAACAGTACATGAAACTGTACATTCCAATGAGATGGAGTGGTTATGGCTGTGATGCATTATGGAGTCTTGTGTCAATTACAGAGTATTTTACGTCAAAATGAATTAAGTTGCGGTCGAAGAAGGCCCAACGTTTTTGTCTTCCACCGCTTACTGAGGTTTGGTGAACTCTGACCTGCAAATTTGCACAAGCATCAATTCATCACACACTGAACTCTTGGCTCAAACTCAAATCTGCATGGCTTGCAGAGTGTGAAGGGTATAAAGTAATTGCCCATTTCAAAAGCCTAAATAGATACAGTATGCAGCAGCCACATGCAAGGGTGCAATTCTAAGATAACTAGGCTATTTTATATAGAGACACAGAAACCTAGAATGGAAACAGGGAACAAAGACAATGACGTGAGCAAGCTTTAACATCCTAAATTGGTAAACTGGGTCACAGCTAGGCATGGGCCCATACAAAATTCTGATGGTATGAAAACCTTGGACAGAAAAAAAAACATTTTATCACAGTATTGTTATTACTAATGTTGTTCTGGGTTAAAAAACACCAACTTTTTTTTATTTTTATTGAACAATACATTTTATTTTAACAAACATTTAAAATATTTTGAAATGTTATTCATGTCAGGCTATATAATTCAAATAAATCATCAACGTCTGCTGTCTTCATGAGTTTACAAAACACAGATTTCTTTACAACTTAAAAAAGGCATCTTTGGATATATCTTTCTCTTCTTTGGATATAAAGCGAGTGAGCCACTGCACTGTTTAGGTGCACAGCACATAGGATGCACATAGCAGTTTAGGATGTTGGTTTATAAGCTATTTGTTACTCAAATGTTTGCCGAATCATGTGTTGACCATTGATGTAGAGGGTCCTTTTCTGCTAGAGATACTGTTGCCCTAAAAAACTAAATTAAATAATTGTAAAAAACATAAAAATAAATTTTAAAAAATCATCTTACATATACCTTAAAAACAGTATTGACCTTATTTTTGGCACAGCCAATTGAATCTTTTTGGCTCGAGACTTCCGGCCCCATTCACTTCCATTCATTTTTAGACGTAAAAACAGCTCGAATGCTGCTTGATGTTACAAACTGACATTTTCTTGTTACATGATTCTGCTTTGTTTGCATAATCATGCAAACACTTGTTTGTAGAGCAAGTAGTTTGGCCGTTTTCTGTGGTTCGTTATTTCTAGCCATTTCTCCCATAGGCAACTAAATTAGAAGTTCTAAAACAAATCGCAAAAGTGAGCCCACTTCCGCATTGAAGAGTAAGGTCACTAAAACAATCTTTGCGGTTATAAAACTTTGACTTTTCCAAACTGCAGTAAACCTTGAAAACGGTTATTGTTCCATGCCTAGTCACAGTGTCCTCTTAATAAGTTCTTCAGATTTAAAGCACAATTTTTACTGATATAAATAAACAAGACTATGGTTTGGTCAAAAGACAATAGCTACGTTTCCATCTACCTATTTTCATGCACATTTTGCATATGCGTATAAAAAAACGACTGATGGAAACGTCACGATGCGCATAAAATTTGAAAATGCGCATAAAAAAATGTATGCGCATAACTGAGTAGGATAAACTTTTATTTCGATAGAAAAAGATGCGCATAAACTATGATGGAAACAATTTTATCGCACAAACTCCAACATGCGCATTAAAAAAGGTCATGCGATTTTGTTATAAGAGATCATGTGATGATGAAAATGTGTGCGAATGTGTTCAGCCTGCTTATTTATCCATTGTAAACTATCTGAACTGTTGTTTTGGTCAATCCAAAACGCTGTAACCGTTTCAGTATTAGTGTTATCATATTATTAATGACTTCCAGAATCAAGAGCATCTGTGCTCTTTGTCTGACACCTTCAAATGCCACCGCGCATTCACTGCGTGTCAGGATTGCCTTCTGAGGCGCAAGCCATTATTAGATGAAAAAATAAAAAAGATTGACAAAGCTTCTCCTACTGCAGCAAATTCAGCTTTTACTATTGATATTTGGCGCCAGTTAATTAGGAAGTGATTATTTCGTTCGCTTTGACTGTTGTATGGAAACGTTGCTTTATTCGCACGTCTTTCATTCGATAATCCAGTTTTGCGCATAGTTCATTCACATTTTTGGATGGAAACATAGCTAATGGCTGACAGACATCACAATGCTGAGCTGGGATCACGATCCCCCACAAAAAAAAACACACACTTAGGCCTCGTTTACACTAATACGTCTCAGATTAAAATGGCATTTTAGAACGAGAATGATCCACGTCCACACTGGCGTGGCACCTAGCAATTCTGAAAAACCCTCCGTACACACTATACTGCTGAGAATGTAGCGTAGGCGCACATCTGAGCTCCAGCCGTAAGCAGGTGCTTTGAGCACAAATCTCCAGAGAGCAGTGCACGTCGGACGGTTTATCAAGGATGTACCGCTGGGTCAAGTCTCACTAGTAGTTAAACATCTCTATCTAACGACTCTTTGGTCTTTTTAATCTATCAGATCACAGCATCAGTACACAGCTTCAATCATTCGCTTTCACACTTGTCTGAGGTTATCACTAAAATCAAGCTTAGTAATTATAGCGTAAATCTCAGGTATCAGAATTTCACGGTACGGTAATACCTCGGTATGAATGTCACGGTACGGTATTTATTGAATCATTTACAGGAAAAAACAAAACTTATGAAAATACTCCAAAAAAGTGCCAAAAGTGTCAATGACATACAAATTAGTCATCTATCTGTAAGCTTTGAAACAGGAACTTCAATTTTAATAACAAAAAAATATTAAACCATGTAAAAAAAATAAAGTTTCAATTTAGTATTGTTGAAAACTCATCACATTCAACATTTAATCACTCACTTAGATAAAGATGGGTTTAAAGGAAAATTATCATATAAATATAATCTGGTAAAAGCTAGTATCTCTGGGTATTTACAATGTCCCCTGCAACAGAAAAAACCCTCTCATTTGGGACTGAGGTTTCTGGGACAAGAGAGATATGACTTGGCCCAGGTTGACAGCAGTGGGTAACGTTGTGCATTGTCTTTCCCCCACTTGAGAGGACAAACCATGAGTGAGATAGAGGTCTCATGTCTGCATCAATCTGAACAGTGTGCTGTGTTTCTGCAGTCCCCATGACTGATTATTAGTCGTATTCCCCAACTTGCAAGCACGTGCACACACAGGGCTCAACCTGTGCAGTGCACATGCCCTTTTTAGTCTTGGATAGAAAGTTCCCTTCCAAAATTATCAAAAGTGCCCCCGCGACGCGACATACCCTCCGTCCCCGCTTTACAGTACGCGCGCGACAACACAGCTGATAAGAACTCGCGCGACAACACAGCTATTCAGTACGTGCGCGACAACACAGCTGATAAGAACTCGCGCGACAACACAGCTGATAAGAACTCGCGCGACAACACAGCTATTCAGTACGTGCGCGACAACACAGCTGATAAGAACTCGCGCGACAACACAGCTGATAAGAACTCGCGCGACAACACAGCTGATAAGAACTCGCGCGACAACACAGCTGATAAGAACTCGCGCGACAACACAGCTATTCAGTACGT